GGGGGATGCAGAGGAGGTCAGAAAGGTCGATATACTCCGTACAGCCGCAAGACTAGACAGGGATTTTACACAGCTGGCGAGCAGAAAGGAGAGCAGAAGGCAGCGTTGGCACCACCGTCGTTGGACTCAGGAGTCGAGATGGCGGTCGGGAAGGACAGATCTGGAGGCGGATTCGGGCGTAGTGCGTTTCGAGACGGGATGGCGCGGCCTGAGGGATCAGGCATGACTATCGACGGCGTTGAAGGGGCCAGGAAGACTGTGTGCGCTGGAGTTGGGGAGTTACGAGCGTTACTATTTATTGTCCAGGGTGAATTCCTCTTCTGCAGGACTTGTATAAAAATTCCACCTCTGGCACTAGGTACCTAGGTAGTAGGTACGCCGTAATGACTCGGTCTCGTACAGCCACGTCTGCAGCCAATGCATGCCCAGTTCAACCTGGTACTATATATACTCTGCCGCCGAGCCCATCGCGCTTTTACCTTGACTAGAGCGTCGATGACTCTGTATTTCTTCCTACAATTAACCTCGTGTGGCTCGCCCAGCGGCCGGTGCCAAGCGTGAAGCGTGAAGCGTTAAGCAGGTCCCGTGAGGTCACGTGTGCACCGGCTTTTGCATGCCCGAACGCCAAGGCATCACGCTATCCCCAAACCAGCAAGTGCGTGGCTGCTCCTATTCCGGGTTTGGGCTGCGCTTCTTCATCCCTCCGAATCGTCGAGCCTCGAGTCTTTATCGGGTTTTTGGTATTTACTGAACCGTGTTCTGCCTCTTCAAAGACTTATCTGGAGGAGAGATCAGTTTCTCTGTCGTGTGCGTGCGTCTCACGTCGAGGGCGCCCCCCCCCTCCCCCTCTCCCCCTTCCGGTTCCCCGTGTGTCACCACTAGTCACTGGCAAGAACCAGCTCCGCTAGACTATCGTCACCGCTACTGTCCTCGTCCTCGAAAGCATCTGTTCCCGACGATCCTCGGCGAAGGGCGGTCGCTTTGATGGATAGGAACGCCGATTTTGAGGCTGATCCTCCCCGTCTGCCGCGGTTGCCATCGCCCGCGGACTCGCCTAGTGCGTCGCTAGCTGCGTCGTTTAGACTCGACGAGGGATACTCGGATGACACGACCGGCAGCCAGCTGGATCATGACAAGCTTCCTCATTTGCCTGGAGACCTCGTGACTCTGCCGGATTGGATTCTCGCGCAAACCGAAGGAGACCGAGCTGGTGGGTTGGAGCCGCGGTACCCTCGCGTTGTTGTGATGAACGTCGCTGACTGGCCCTGATAGAACTGGCCTACAACCTGCTGCGAACTCTACGAACCTCCGCCCTGGCTGCAGTGGTCGACCGGCTCAATCCGCTTTTACACATGGACCCTGTTTTGAAGCTTCCCCCTGAAATCACCTCGGAGATTTTCTCCTATCTGGACCCGCGATCGTTATTGACATCCTCGTTGGTTTCTCGCGCGTGGCGCAGCCGGATCAGCGATCCGCGGTTATGGAGAGATCTCTTCATTCGTGAGGGTTGGCGCGTCGACATCGATGCTATCCGAAAATATGAACAGGAGCAATCCGAGCAGTTGTCGCTTCAGTCTCGCAAGTCCCGGTCCAGACAGGCAGACCCGGACATCGGGGAGCCCAAACTCAAGAAGCGCGTCCCCCAGGGCTGGTTTGAATCTCGTGGCGCCGACTCGAGTATCCACGCGGGCGAGATGGACACGACGGAATCGGGGAACCTGCCCGACAAGGAAGGCGATCATCAGATGAGTGACGCCTCGAATGACCGCAAAGCCTCCTTTGCTTCCCAGCCGCCTGAATCTCCCACGAGCCACAGCCGTGCAGCGTTTGAATCCGCGAGAGCAGTCGTGCAGGCCGGTCCGACCGCCCAGCCGTTTCCCCCAAAATCGTCGATCTATACTCGACTACCAGGTGGCACAGTCAAGATCAACTGGCCTCACTTATACAAACAGCGAAGACGACTGGAGGAGAATTGGCTTAAAGGACAATTCACCAACTTCCAGCTCCCACACCCCGCACATCCTGAGGAGGCCCATCAAGAATGTGTGTATACCATCCAGTTCTCCGGCAAGTGGCTGGTGAGTGGGAGCCGTGATAAGACCGTACGTGTCTGGGATTTGGAAACACAGCGTCTATTGTACCGACCGTTGCTCGGGCATTTGAAGTCGGTTCTGTGCCTGCAGTTTGATCCGTCACCTTCGGAAGACGTCATCATCTCCGGGAGTAGCGATAAAAATGTTATTGTCTGGCAGTTCTCGACGGGCCAAAAGATCCACGAAATTTCTTCGGCTCATAGCGACTCCGTCCTCAATCTCCGCTTCGACAAGCGATACCTCGTGACGTGTTCCAAGGATCGGCTTATTAAAGTTTGGAACCGCCGCGAGCTCACTGCGACAGACAAGGACTACCCCAGCATCCATCAGGGCTCCGGCGTCACCTATCCATCCTACATCATTGACACCACCGAGTTGCCGTCACCGGTTCTCGAGGCAGAGCTGGCCAGGGGTCATATCAAGAGTCTAGAGCCGTACTCTCTTCTGTTCACTATGGATGGCCATGGGGCAGCCGTCAATGCGATCCAGTTGAACGAGGATGAGATTGTCTCGGCGTCTGGTGATAGACTGATCAAAGTTTGGAACATTCGCAATGGAGCGTGTCTCAAAACCATCATTGGCCATGAGAAAGGGATTGCTTGCATCCAATTCGACAGCCGTCGTGTGATCAGCGGCAGCAATGACGATACCGTTCGCATCTTTGACCACGCCTGTGGTGCGGAGGTGGCCTGTTTGCATGGACACGAAAATCTGGTGCGGACCGTGCAAGCTGGTTTCGGGGACCCCCCGGGAGCCGAAGAGACGATGCGCCTGGAAGCCCTGGCGGTGGATAGCAGCTTCTGGCGTGCAAAGCGAGCCGGGGAAATCGTGGATCAGGCGCCTACGAGCATGAGGCGCTCGGGCTACGTCCAGAACACAGCCGGGTCTCGGGAGCCCAAGGATATCCGTGCGATCGGGGCAAACATCCCACCGGGCGGGGGCGGCAGTGCATGGGGACGGATTGTCTCTGGATCGTACGACGAGACAATCATCATCTGGAAAAAGGATCGCGAAGGTCGATGGGTGGTCAGCCATCGTCTCTATCAAGAAGACGCCGCGGCAATTGCCTCTGGCGAGCAAGCCCCGATTCGCCCCGGGACAATGCATCACCCCGGGCCGCAGCAGACTGAAATCCCCATCCCCCCTCCACAAGGACAGGGCCCTCAACAACCTACACCAGATCCCAATGTCAATGTCAACCACGCAGACGCCGCCACAGGTGCCGGGAATGCCACCGCTCGTCCACAGCAAGGCAACGCCTGGGCACAGGGAATGGTACGTACGAATACTCTCTTGCCGCGAGGCCGGCTGCATGCACCGAATTTCCGAAGTGCCCCCGCCGGTCATGGCCCAGCTGCTCGACTCCGAGCTCCGCAGCACTATGCTCGGTATATGAACCACCGGATGAATAATGGCCAGGAGGAACCGCCTCGGTTCCGAGTCTACAAACTTCAATTCGACTCGCGCAAGATCATCAGCGCAAGCCAGGATCCCCGTATCGTCGGCTGGGATTTTGCCTGTGGTGATAGAGAGATCATCGAAGCCTGCCAATTCTTCCAAGGCTTATAGTTCATACCCTGATTCCCTTTCCTTTCCCACTTCTCTTCTCCTCTCTCCTCTTTTTTCTTTTTCTCATTCTCATTGATAATATTCCCCTCTATTCTCTCTCTTTTCTTTTTCTTCTTCTTTTCTGTCGACCTGCAAGCACAGAGCACATCACTACTTTCTGATGGCTCCAATGATAACCAATGAGCGTTGTTGCATATTATTACCTACCTAACCTACGAACGTATCAACTGATATGTCAATAATTCCAAGTGTCTTGAAGCTTCCTAACGACTTATGACTTGGTTACCTTGGGCGTACTCTATTCACATCCCCGATGTACTCTGGAGCACAAGGATCAAATCGTTGCACAAAGTATTGATAGCAAAGTGTTTTTCTTTTTAAAGAAGAAAAAAAAAGAATAATATTAAGGCTAGAAGAAACGAAATTAAATTACCAGCTAGTCAGGCCCTTTTCTCTATCGAATCCAGCCCGTAGCTGGGATCCCGGCTTGACGAGTTTGCCCTGCAGCACGGTGAACTTGATGATGTTCTCGCAGTCCTCTGGCCGGACGCGAGCAAGCCAGATACCCTGCGCGGCGCCCTCCTCGTCCTCCTGCTTCTTCTCTCCGTCGCCCCTTTTGTACCATTCCATGTCGCGCCGGCGGTAGATCATCACGTTGGCGGAGTACTTGTGTCCACCGACGTGGCTGATGAAGTAGACCGCGACGCCGCCAGGCCGCTCGTCGTCCATATCGCGGTAGAGGCCGAGCGGGCGGAGATGGCGCTCGAACTCGCGCTTCAGCAGAGGGGCGGACTGGCCGCAGCGGGCGTCACGGGTGCGCTGCGAGCAGAGGAGGATTACGGCTGCGTGAGGGCAGGGGCGCGCGCGGAGGGGGGTCAGCGATGCGAGGTCGAGCGGCGTCTTCTCTGGTCCTTCTTGCTTCTGTTCCTCTGATGACGCTGCGAGCGGGGTTGTAGTGGTAGCGGAGGGGCTGACGAAGTACTTGATCAGATCGGGAGCCAGATCAGGGGTGACTTGCTCGACAAGTGTGAAGCTAGGGAGGAGGAGGACGTTCGTCGGCTGCTTGCCGATCTCGTGGTGATGGTATTCGTCAGGAACAGGCATGTTAGACGCGGTCAACTTGAGTCTCTGGAGGTGGGAAAATAAAACCGTGAGTATATATAGAAAAAAAAGTAAAAAAAAAAAAAAAAAAAAGTGATAGGACATGGCATTCTTACCCCATTGCTCGGCTCCAGTCCGCCCTTTTCAATGGCCTCCATCAGACTGCCCTTCTCGTCGGCTACATCTCTCACCCAGTCGCTTTTCCCCGTTGCGACGAGCATATGTGTCGACCAGCCATTCACCTTGCCGTATAACTCGTCGGACATCTCTACGTCGAATTTGGCAGGGTAGCGGATTGTGCACGAGGCACAATCGTGAAGGCACTCCTCGCCGTCGACCGCGGGATCGACCTTGGGAAAGAGTGCATCTACCTCAGCCACAGACCGGAACCCATCTTCGCCGGGGCGTTCCTTGGGCGTGGAGGCGAGCGACGAGACGGAACTGCTGAACAGGGATGCACCCTTGCGAAAAACAGCCTGCATTATGATAGGTTTATTCTATCTTGCGGCAAAATGCACGGGGATCAGGTCAAGGATGAGTAAAAGGGATGGATTGGGAGGGGGGGGAGGGGTGCCAGGTGGTGACAACAGAGGCCTGCTGAGTGGACAGGATCTTATCAATCGCTTTGCGTGAAAGTGCCGAAAAAGCGGCCGCCACCTATCCTGATTCGGCAGATATGTCCGACAGCCGGTCGGCCGTTCCGTCCGCGTCCGCCGAGCGGAGCGAGATGGGATGTCCAAGTTGCCAAATTGCACGAGAGGCATAGTAATCAATTGGCATTTGACAGGAGCTACCTTCGAGGAAGGTTGATCGTATATGGCAGCTCTGAGGGGCTGTGGTTTTCCACCAAGCGGATCACACTCCCGGCCGAGCTTCCCGACAAGTTCGAGACTTCGGGCCGAAGGGACCGCATTGAGGGGGTTCGAGGAGAAGCACGTAGGCTGCGGTTGAGCGTTTCTCTGGAAGGCATTCGGCCTACCGAGACTGAATCGGATGCGGATGCCGCCGTGTATAGTGAGCGGCTACTATCCCATGTCGACGACGCATCCGACAAACGGACCCGATGGCTCCGACCGCGAGCAAGCGCCTCGCTGTCCTCGTCGTCGTGGTGCAGATCCACCGTGTCTGTCTCTCCTTCCTCGTCTGACGGACCGATGCGTGATTCGCTATCCGCGTAAGAGCTTCCATGGCGGATTTCGTCCAACAGCTGTGGACTCAAAGATACCATGCCCCGTAGGATCTCGGTAAACAGACGCATCATCTCTCTGAATTCGTCCTGGTAAAGCTCTTGTGAAGAAAAGCGCGCCTTCTCGTAGATGGCGAGGAACTCGGGGCCGAGATCAGGCGGGTTCACCAGGTCCAGGGTAGTCAAGTGCTGGAGGTACTCGCGGAGACCCATCGAGGTCGGTCGCTTCAAAACCTCCACCACGCGAGTGTCAGGCACGGAATGCGCATCTTCGGAAGCGTGCGATGACGAGGGCATCAAAAGCGGATCCGAGGGCGCCAAGGAGACAGCCTTCGCTTCGATCAGATGCGGCAGTTCCTTGACCACGTCGCGGTAGGGAAGATCGGGTAGATCCAGCGACGCAGGCGACGACCATCCTCGGTGTTCGACGCGTCCCCAGGGCGGCCGGTCCCGGTCCACCAACAGCATCTTGTAATCCAGAAACCGATCCTCGTCCTCTCTTGTGTTCCTCGGGCGCGCCTGGTACGCGATGATGGCGCTCCGAGCAAGCCCGTCCATCACCAACCGCCGAACGCTCTTGCCGACATCCTCCTTCTCCACGGGAATCCAGGCTTTGGGAATCCCCGCCAACACGCTGCGATTCGTATAGATCCGGCTGGCGTAGATGAGAAGCGCCAGTAAAAAGGTCACGATGTATCCGCCCGCGATGAAGTAGACGTTGGTGAACCGGCGCGTCACATAGCACTGGTAGATCGCATCGGCTGGAGTCAACAGAATCAGGCACAGAAGGATAAAGGATAAGAAGATAAACGTGCTGGATTCAAGAATGCGATAGATAAGCGGTGCCATAGCCTCTGTCGAGTCATATTGCAGATCCCTGCCGTGGTGTTGGAGGAAAACATAGTCGTTATGTCCGGTCTTTGCTGCTGAAGGTGAGGCTCCAGCCTCCAAGTCACGTGGGAATGATGTCGCAGTCTCGCAGAGTCGCAGACATTAGAATAACAGCTTATAGATTGCTACCATTACAACAGATATACAAGCATTTCGATCGAGAGCTCAAGAAAATAGTTATTATCATACAGTTTGAGTTATCTCTCTATAAGCTGATCATGTAGTGAACAGGCTATGCACAGTGCTATGGATACCTGTCAATGGAGGATATGGATAAACACACCAAAAGTCTAACAAGTCGCCGGGAAAAGAATATACAAAAGAGAGGCAGGGAATGTAGAGAGTAATAGTTGCTTGCTTGGCCTTCATCCCCATAAGAGGAAACCTCCAAACCAGTCACCTATCGTTTTTCTCCGGTATACGGGGTCAAGGTTTCTGGGGGCTCCCATGGTGTCGACCGAGAACCGGCTGCTTCTTATTGATGACTGGGCTCATTCGTCAGGGCACTCCTCGCTGTTGCAAAGGTCTCGCGGGAAACTACTTCTTCGGCATCGGCACCATTCACCCCATCCGTTTCAGGGGTCTCCATGTCGTCGTCGTCGTCGTCATCGTTTTCCGGGGCCCAGCAACAGATGACATCCTGAAAGATCTTGAGGAACCGGTCCCAAAGCTGAAACGATTGATTTATACGGAAGCTTTCATCGGACGCAACAGTTTGTGGCTGGATATCAGGTAATGACGATTCCACGGCTGATGGATAGCGACCTGGCGTCTCTCCTGTGATGTCCAAGAGATTGAGAAACGACCGCACGTCACTTGCACGGCTTGGAGGTGTCGGCTGTAAGTGCAATATGCGGCTCTGGGGAGAAACATCCCGAGAACAGACTGGAGATGTGTTGGTCGGAAGCGATAACTCAGCTGGGGGAGGTACCGCTTGTCGTGCTGCCATGCCTCGAGACGTATGTAATAATACATGGCGCACACGCGACTGTCTTGACAAGCGCAGGGGTCCAGTAGGCATAGGCTGTTCATCTTTCGAACTGACCTCCAATCGATTCGATCGTCTTGTTGTCGCGGCGGTTTGGCTGGTACCCGAGACAGCTTCTTCACAAGGGGAAAGGGACAGACTTTCCAGATGGAACGGATGATCATCCAGACGTCTTGCCAGGCTCATACCGTGGCCACTCTGCCTGTATGGAAATCTTCCCTGGACAGCGGTACCGTCCTCTGCTCTTCCAATGGCCAATGGCCGCCGTTCCGCAGGCTCAGAAGCAGGGGATGGCGTCAGACCAAGAAACCTTCGAAAAATGTCACTGTAGCAAGTCCATTCACTGTTGTTTGCACACCGGGATGAGCCTCTTCTCCCTGATTGATGAGAATGCCGCTGTCCAGGTACAGAGGACGATGGCATTGTGAATTGGGCGGCATAGGAAACCGCTTCGCGCGTGCCAAACGACGGCAACCCAGGGGGGGTCGGGGCCCTTACAGGTGGCGGATACTTGGGAAGGATTGGATTGACAGGTGAAATCAAGTTTCCTGGCCAATGTCGTACCCTCAGACTGTTTTCTGCGTCATTGAGGGAGACGGCTTTGCGGTGGACGGGATCTTTCGAGTCTTCGAACTTGAGCACCGAACAGGTTGACAGCGTTTGCCTTCCGTTTGTGTATGCTGTGTGCGAGATCATCTGCGAATGACATACAGTAGACGACGCAATCCCTTCTTCAGTTGTCGCCTCCCATTGGCGATTCAACCAAGTACTGTGCGGAGAGTCCGGCGGAGATGGTAGAGGGATAAACAAAGCAATATTTCCAGCAAAGGCACCCTGCAACGCATCGCTCACTCTTGTTTCGCCATTGTCTCCCAGCACCACCTCTGTCTCGGAACCTGTCGGTGCAGCATTGTATATGGAGCCCTCATTGGTAGAGAAGGAGCCCGGTAGCTCCAAGTGGCGTCTCGCTGCATTCTTTTTCAGACCGTGGCTTTCGATTTGATGACCTGGAGTCGAGTTTTGCTGCGGGTATGCCACGAGATCTCTGGTATACGGAGGCCTGGTGCCGAATCGGACTCGGCGACCTGACGCCATAGTGTATAAGCAATAGGGGATGAAGAGACCAGAAGGACCGCAATGAATAATAACATGACGATCGATCAAGTCTGCCTGAATATGAGAGCAACAACGCTCTCGCTCAGGCGAGGCTCTGATGATCGCAGACTGCACCCAGTCGTGCCTTCCACAAGATGGGGGGATGTTCGTAGTGGGCAAGAGCATCGTCAATAGATCGACAGAAGAAATTAACCAGTTCAAGCAGCGTATTATCAAGCTGAACACCACCCTGGGTGCTCTCTATGTACACCCTGACTGTCTTGAGTCATGCATGCAGAGCATCCAAATATGCCGAAATGCTGAATAATGAAATTATAAGTACAGCGAGTATATACCATGAAAAAGAGGGATAAAAGGGATATCCGTATAGAATACAGCCGAAAATTGGGGGAAGGCAAGAAAATAGTCGACAGTTGAAAGAAAGTCAAATCAGAGAAAGAAATGAGAATCTAATGTTTTTTTATCGTAATCATTATCACAGAATCGTGATGCTTTGGATGGGTGATTTGAGAGATTGCTCTCGTTTCAGACTGCGAACCAATGCCTCGAGTCGTCGACGTTCTTCTTGCTCCGCCTGTCCTCCGATTAGCTGGCTACCTTCATTTGGAGGGATGACCCCCGGGACGATATGATAACTGACCTTTAGTATCCTTATGTTCTCGGAACGAGTGTCGCGCATCATCTTCTTGAACTCGTTCTTAAGAACCATGGTGGACGTTGTTTCGGAAGGTCCATCTCGACCGACAGACGTAGCAGGACTGTGCAGACCCATGCCATTGATGCGTTCCTCGCTAAGCTGTGTCTCCAGGCTTTCGCAGCGGTCGCGAAGCCCGTCGATGATGCTTTCAAAGCCTTCTCGCTCCTTCTCGAATTCGATGCTCGACTTTGTCATCACCTCATAGTCGTCAAGCGTTTCCCGGAGCTCTTTCTCAAGCAACTCCACTCGCTGTTGAAGGTCACTGTTAACGTCCGATCGGCCTCTGAGCGTAGCCAGCTCCTCGGTGAGCTCGAGGTTCCTTGTATTGAGATAGTCGATCTCCATCTGAATGGCGGGGTTGGCAGCGACCTCGGCGGCTCTTTGGGCCCTGGTGCCGTAAGCGCCATCAAGCTCTGCCTTGACGACCGTGAGTTCGGTCTGAGCTCGCACAATTTCACCCTCCAGTTCGGTTAATTCCGCCTGCAGGCGGTTGGCCTTCTCTTCAGCAAGGTCACGCGCTTCGATAGCTTCCTTGAGCTGGTCGCCAGTCTCGGCCTGAGCTTGCTCCAAGGCAGCTTGTAACCGGGAGACTTCGCCTTCAGCCTGAGCTCTCAACGCAGTGGCTTCTACTGCATGAGAATCCGCGTCTGCGCGAACTTCTTCCAGAGTTGCTTCCATCTGAGCCAGTTCTTGCTCTGCACGAGCACGCGCCTCAAGAGCCTCCTTCAACTGGGCATCAGTCTCAGAGTGAGCTTGCTCCAAGGCAGCCTGGAGCCGAGAAACTTCGCCTTCCGCCTCAGCTCTCAATGTAGTGGCTTCCACCGTGCGAGAATCAGCATCTGCGCGAACCTCTTCCAAAGTTGCTTCCATGTGCGCCAGTTCTTCCTCCGCGCGAGCACGGGCCTCGGTGGCTTCCTTCAACCGAGCGTCAGTCTCGGAGTGGACTTGCTCCAGGGCAGCTTGTAACCTAGAAACCTCTTCGGCCTGAGCTTGTAATGTAGTGGCCTCCACCGCGTGAGAGTCTGAATGTGCGCGAACGTCCTCCAGGGTTGCTTCCAGGTGCGCCAGTTCTTGCTCCGCACGAACACGCGCGTCAACAGCCTCCCTCAGCTGGGCGTCACTTTCGGATTGGACTTGCTCCAAGGCAGCCTGTAACCGGGAGATTTCATCTTCAGCCTCGGCTCTCAATGCAGTGGCTTCTACCACACGAGACTCTGCATCTGTGCGGACCTCTTCCAACGTTGCTTCCATGTGCGCCAGTTCTTCCTCCGCGCGAGCACGGGCCTCGGTGGCTTCTTCTGTGTGGGCACGAGTTTCGACCTGCAACTGTTCGAGCAGCGACTCCAAACGAGAGATATCCGACTCGGCCTTGGCACGAGCTTCCCTCTCGGAGTTCAGGGCACTGCTATCTTTGCTGCTGCGTTTTTGGTCTTCAAGGGTCATTTCTTGTCGCACGGAGTCAAATTGTTCCATTACGAGTGAGAGCTCGTCTCTCGTCGCCTGGTGCTCCCTGTCTGAGAGTTCGAGATCCTTACGCGCAAGGCTCAGCTGTTCAACCAAGTCTGCGATGTGCGCATCTCTTTCCGCATCAGACTTGGAGTTAAGCTCCCGCTGCTGCTGGATTTGTGTGGTCAGAATGCTCTTTTGTTCGAGAAGCCCATCAATCCGGTTTTGAAGGCTGTCAACTCCGGTATTAGCATATGAGAGCTGTTCCTGCAAGCCGCCTTCCATAGGTTCAGGCGGAGGGGGTATCGTTGGTGAGCGAGACAACCCCGATTCTGCTAGCACATGATGCAACCGAGCATTGATCTCATGTAGCCCCTCCACAGTATGATGCGGAATGTTGTTTGGGTCGGAACCACCGCCCCCGGCCTGGTATGGGCTAAGCGAGGCTAGACAACTCTCGATGTACGCTAAATGCGCTTCAATAGACGCTGTGGGATTGACGGGGCCGCCGTTGGAAGAGGACTGAGGGAAGAGCTGGATTTCATCCGGGCTGTTGGCCTGGGTGACCATATCACGCACCCGCGCGCTTAGTTCCTCCAATCTCCGTTCCGTGCTTTGAAGAGAGTTGAGACTGCTGGAGTTCTCCAACGCTCTCTTGCTATTGGGTCCAAAGTCTTCGAGATTCTCTGGCGCTTTGTACATACTCCGGTTGTCAAAGCCGTAAGCACTGCCACGAGTGTTGCTGTATATGCTTTCGGGGGTGCGAGGCATGCCGTTCTTGAGATTCTTCTTCAAACCCTTGTGTGTCAACTGCAGGATTCCTGCCGTATGTTCGAGCAGCCGTTGATGCGTGTCGTGTTTTCTGCGCTCCAGTTTTGACAGTTCTTGGGCCAGGTCTTCGCATTTGCGTATGCTCAGGTTGAGCTCCTCGTCGGTGCTTTCCGACGTGTCATACCCCGGGGAGCCACCATTCTCATATCCCGGGTCGTTATGATGGATCGACTTCGGCTGATGCAATCTGCTGAGGGACCGCGCGGCGTCGCGCAGCTTTGTCTCCAGCGCCAATTTGCGTCTCGTCGACTCCACCCGGCTTGTGAGGAAGACATGTTCCTTCTTCAAACTCTCGACATCGTCTATGGATAGGATCTCGTAGTTTCGACTGTCGCCTATCGCGTTCTCGGTAAGGAGGTACATCACAATGGGGTCATTTGCGTCGGGTACGGCTGAGCTCCGTGAGTGGACAGGGTTGAGCTGTATACCATGGAAACCACAGGGCGTCAGCCAGCAAATCTCCCTCTCTCTAGATCTTCATATTTTGGTGTCCTTACCGCGTTGTACGGTAGTGTCTCCTCGTTCCCCGGCTCAGAGGCAGTTTGGTAGTCCCCCAGACCGAGCTTCGCTGGCCCGGCGAAAGCCGTCGAAGGGAGATACGACGACTCCCCGTAGGAGGATAGACTGTCATGAAGGCCGGTGATGTTCATTTTTGGGGTCGTAGGTGAAGACTGAACAGGAGGAGGTTTATCCAGTACAGAAGTAGGAGAGAGTGGAGTTCTCGAAGAATAAATAATAAGAGCAAGAATAAGAATAATCACAGTAAGGCGTTCATCATAAGCCCGTTATTGACCCCTGCCCTGGCTTCTCAACGAATGGAACCCACAGAGAATAAATAAATAAACCAAACCAACAAGATAGGAAAGAAGCTCGGTCAAGCGAGTCGTCGCGACATAAGGTATCAATTAATACAGCAGCGGCCGTGGATTATTATCCCGAGGGGCCAGGACAAGACAAGGGGAGGGAAAAGTGGAGGAGAAAAGTGGCTGTTGCTGGTCAGGATCTTCGAAACGATCGATCTGCTTCGCCTCGAACGCAGCCTTGCTTGTTTGTAAGCTTGCGCTTGGCTTTGCTTTGCTTTGCTTTTTGCTTTAGCTCTGGTTTTGCTTTTTCTTTTTCTTTCCACTAATCTTTTCTTTGTCAGATCATTCTACTAGTCTTGTGAGGAGTTTCCAGCACAGGAGTGCATAACCGACCAGCAACTGCAATCAGTTACTCCATACAATTCTATTCTATCGATCTACCCGACGCAATGACAACAGCTAGCAGTGTCTAGTATCTACTATGGAGTACAGCTAACAGCTAACTAAGAGCTCTGTACAGCTGATTAACAGACCCCCTCCGTTTACCAGGACACTGTTGCCGAAGCCAGGGCAGTGGTTGCACCATCCCAGCCATCTTGGCGTCGGCTCTTTTGTTCGTTTGGAGTCGACACGGATGAGTCATGACTTTATTTTCTTTCGTCAGGCTGTGGTGTGATGACAAGGTCGGAGCACCGGAGTACGAAGAAAACTCCATGGGTTGTGGGTTTCCCACGCTCTGGGTTGGTCGTTACACGATAATAATACGGTCCTTCGATTGCTGAGCTGCAGCTGCAGCTGATGCCTGATTCCGATTCGATCCCCCCCACGCGAGGCAGACCAGAGATACCATGTTTCCCGTATTCCGTACGGCGTATTCGCGTGGAGGGCGGAATATTGCTGCATAGTTACCCCTGAATCCTCGAGGGGAAAGAGAAGGAAGAAGAGAAGGGAAACAATGATGCTGGGGTTCGTGGTTAGATCCTGACACAGCCTCCAAGTAGGACCAGCTGTAGCTGTGTCTTCTTGACGGTTAAAGGTGTTAGGAATTCAATGGAATAGCTTTCAACTAATTCACAGGGAGTTGTCTCTGCAGCCTTCAGAACGGAATACCCGTATACTGGAAAATACTCTTCAATGAGGTCAATTAGCAGCCTGTGGCGATTTATCTACTCTATTTCCATTATCAAATTTACTGCAAGACAATAGATGTCAATATGGTTGTCAGTGGCTTCGAATAATCGTTGTAGATGCGGCTGATAGTCAAGGCACTTATTTACTACACCATAGTCACTATTATAGAGATCTTGGTACTCCTTTCCGAGTCACAACGACATCCATCTAGATAATTCTACTAAATATATTCCAGGCCAAATTAAACCAGTCCATGGAATATGTTCTTTCTTTCCAAAGAACACTCCATAGAACCTGGTAGAGGACTCGCGTATGCTCATGCACTGTTCAGCCTTATTTGGACAAGGCTGAAGGAATCAACTCGACCTCCGCCAGTAAACATCAGATAAACTATCGCCGAGGCTTACTATTTGCCTGCCCAGGCAGCTTGTTTCCCCTCCCATCAGATGGCAAGGTTATAACCTCCTCTTCCAACCCACAGATTATCTCGTCGACTGGCTAATTTATGACAATAGAATCTCCCCCAAAAGCCAACTTCTCTGTTTCACTTTCAGCAGCAGACTACTACCTACTACCTACTACCTACTACCTAACATTCCCTACACTCGCGACTACTGGTCAATACGATGCACAACTGAGCAGGAAAACAAGGCATGTGGAAGATATGGACAGGATAAGACCTCTCTTGGCATGCTGAGGTCAATTTCGAAAGTTTAAAAACGACACGCAGATGGCGCCCGTGTGAATCCCCCCCCCGCAGGTGTCAACCATCGCGCTGATCTCAAGTTTGCGAGCCAATATCGAGTACAGATGACTTCTTACTCGTCGCGACGATGGAGGGACACGGGATGCCAGATGGCGTGAGCATGTGAGATGGAGGTGTCTCCCTGCTTGCCTAGGCATCAACTCGGTGGGGACTGAGCCAGAGCAGCCACCCTCTCTTCAGACTCGCCGAGTAATATATCGACCGCGGTTAAGCCTCTCTCAGAGTCTCAGAAATGCCCTCTCCTCGCCGTTTGTCACTGTGATGGTTGCAGCGACCCCGCAGAACCAAATGCTCCAGCGTAGCAAGCGGCCCAGTTGGCGGGTACGACCCCCCAGCCGGGGGGGGGACTAAATTTAAGCCTGTCGCAAGCTATCTACCTAGTACGACTTACCACGCGTTCAAAAACTGTTCTTTTCTTCTCACCTGATGCCCATGCGAGGTGCTGGGCTGAGAGTTCCCTTCGCCATCTCGCTTTCTCTCGCCGGTCGAGGTTCTCGTGTGTCTTCCAGAACCGGAAATGTCAAAAACGGCCGAGATGACGGCGAAGCGATCGTCCTCTAGCGACCCTGATCCCCAGGACAGAGAGCCGCTCGATCAACTGGTCTCTGAAACTACAGTGACATACAAAGTCTATAAACGACGGTTCTGGGGTCTCGCGCAGCTGGTTCTCCTGAATATCGTGGTGAGCTGGGACGTACGTATACCTACTACTCCCGTCCCGTTAGTTGTCGTACGATTGCGGATGATGGATGCTCTTATCTGTCGGTGATCGATGACCGCAGAATCTCCATACTGATTGATGCGCTGTCGCAGTGGCTTACCTTTTCCGCCATCTCGACCACGGCAGCAGAGTATTTTCAAGTATCGGAGAGCTCCATCAACTGGATCAGTACCGGCTATCAGTTTGCCTTTTGTGTCGCCAGTCCGTGAGTTTCATTGATTCCGTCTGTCATCTCTCCGCCATCTATATGATTGTTCTCAAAAAATAAACAAGACTGACTGTCCTGTCTTGCTGGCTGAAGTTTCACCATCCTCATCCTGAACAAAGGCGGTCCTAAACCGGCCATCATCGCAACCTCTACCCTCCTACTCTTGGGGAATTGGATTCGCTATGCCGGGACAAAGGCGCGCGGAGGGATGTTCGGGGTCACGATGTTCGGCCAGATCATCATCGGACTGGCGCAGCCGTTTTGTCTGAGTGCACCTACGAGATACAGTGACCTGTGGTTCACGGATAAAGGTCGCACCAGTGCCACCGCGCTGGCCACGCTGGCAAACCCTCTCGGTGCTGCTCTGGGAGAGCTGGTTGATTCCGCCTGGGCGACCAAACCGAGTCAGATCCCCGATATGATGCTATACATCTCCATCATTTCCAGCGTTGCTGCAATTCCGTCATTCTTCCTGCCTGCGCGGCCGCCAACGCCCCCCAGTGCATCTTCAGCCGTGGAGAAGACACCCCTCGTTCCGGCCGTGAAACAGTTGCTCCGCACGCCCGAATTCTGGCTCATCTTCGTCCCCTTCGCCGTGTATGTCGGCTTCTTCAACAGCATCTCCTCGCTTCTCAACCAGATCCTCTCCCCCTACGGGTTCTCCGAGTCTGAAGCAGGCATCGCGGGCGCCATCCTCATCGTCGTCGGGCTCATCTCCTCCGCCATCCTTTCCCCCATCACAGACCGCTACAAGCACTACCTCGGCACGATCCGCCTCCTCGTCCCCATCATCGCGATCATGTACATCGCTCTGATCTTCGCGCCGTCCAGCTCCGCAGGGATTGGCCCCTCGTACGCCATCTGCGCCATTATCGGCGCAGCCTCCTTCTCCCTTCTGCCCGTCGTGCTCGAGTATCTCGTCGAGATCACCTACCCCTTCTCCCCGGAGATCGGGAGCACCCTCTGCTGGACGGGCGGCCAGCTTTTCGGCGCCATCTTCATCGTCATCCAGGATGCCTTGAAGGCCGGTCCCGCCGCCTCCCCGCCGCAAAACATGCGCCACGCCCTGATCTTCTCCGCTGTCGTGGCTGCCGCTGCGGCGCCCTTCGCTCTCTCCCTCGGTTTATTCGGGCGAGACGTTCGACGCCGCCGTCTGGATGTCGACCGCGCTGTTCATCCAGACAACGTAGAGAATGTCGAGACCAGTGAGACCGTTCAAGGCCCGTGAATTCAAGCCATGACCCCCCCCCTCCCTTCCGAGTAAAGCAGTCCTGTGGCTGCTGTATAATGAATAACCATCCACCCTTTTTTCACCTCTCTTTTTGTAGAGTTTTAGCTAGATATTATCTACTTCTCATTACATAGTTTCCAGATAATCTTGTTAATGATTAATATATTCTCATACCAATCGTATTTAACCCATCAATAGCCATATTCTAAGATATATCTCCGACTGTATGGCTGCGGTAGAGATCATCGCTTACAAGGAATAACAGCTACACGATAGAATATCTTATGTCAGATCAAATCATTCCAAACAGACGAAACACAAAAAAGCACAGTTGAAACAGGCGGAGACCAGCTATCTGTACACGAGGGAAAGGATAAGAAGAAAAGAGAAGAAAATTTCTCTCCTTTTCTTCTTCCATGGATGGTTTTCTCTTTTCCCAATCCCCGGGGTGAAAAAAAAAGTAATCAATCAAAACATAGACAGGCAAACGATTAAGAAGATGACCCGGGTCCATGCCTCATTTGACTTCTTTTTTTTTTCAAGATTGATGGGCAGGTTAGGATTGCGGAAACAATCCCAACCATCACGAAAGACCGCCTCCTCCCCGTTCACATCTATATAACCCCTTGCCGAGAATTATCCAGAGAAGAAAAGCGGGGACGGCGACAGACAGAGTACGCCCTTATTTAAGAGCCTTCCAGAGCTTGGGGGCAGCGCATTGAGTCGCGCAGTGGGCGAGGTGGAAGACTAGACAGACGGGTCAGTATTAGCGATTGAAGTAGTGTCACAAAGTACGACACGGCAAGACTTACACTCCTCGACGCAGTCCTCCTTGGGGCCCTTGTAGTCCTCATCCTCCTGTTGCTGGGTGACGCGCTCGACGCACTCGTCGTAGTGGTGCTTGTAAGGAGCGCATTGGGAGGAGTTGGCACACTCTGTATCAGAATAGGATCTGCATTAGCAATTGCATTTGGCTTGATTGTGGTTAGGGATGATTCGGCCCAGCGGGGAGCGAAAGCCCGCACCAGGTCAAATTATTCCCATTGAGATGCCAGTTTCCATCCAATTCACCAGGGAAATAAAGAGAACCTCTTCTATTTGGGTTCCCTTTTTTTTCCCTCTTCCTTTTGGGGAATTTCTGACTCACCCTCCTCGAGCTTGGGCTTAATGTCCTCAACCTCCTCCTCCTCTTCCTCTTCCTCTTCCTCTTCCTCCTCCTCTTCGGCCTCCTCTTCTTGCTCAGGCTCCTCCTCGGCGGGGGTCTCTTCGGCGGACTCCTCGGTGCTCTCCTCAGCAGACTTCTCTTCCGCCTCGGGCTCGTCCTGGGTGGAAGGGGTGTCGACGTCTTCGGCAGGAGCCTCAGCCTGGACTTCGGCGAATCCCAGGGAGGACATCACGTCGGAGAAAAGCTCGGAGAAACCCATCGTGAACCGTGCAGAGCGATCAATTGAGTTGACTGGGTGGGAAGTCGGGGGGGCGGTGGTGATGGTGGTGGTTCAAGAAGCTCTCTGCGCGGTGCTCAGGGAAAATCGGAACGCCCCGGTCGCCGGCGAAGAGCCAATTGCGGCGCACGTGATTGGCTGTCGGGTCCCACGCAGCAGAAGGTGAGATGTTGGAGAATAATTATTGACTGAAAGAAGTGCAATGTTTATGATAAGAAGATTTGATTGTAATTATCTATTGACTATTCCAAGGGAGGTACGAAGAAAAAGGTAAACGAAAGAAGACATTCATTCATAACTAGCTATAGGACAACGCTGGCATTAGGCATCACCAAGCTTAATGTACATAAGTCACCATTCTCTCAGTCCGTACTGAAACGACGCATCGATTCATCTAATTCCGCAATGCTCTGCTGCTGGACCTCTTCGTAGCCCGGAGGCGGCTCCAGCGGTTCGGCCTCTATAGGGGGAACAGGCGGCGCTCCGTGGCTTTCGGGACGAGTCTCCGTGAAACTGCTTATCTCGTCGGGAGAGGTACGCCGACCATCGTAAGCTGGTAGCTCGTCGAGATGAACGGCCGTCAAGTCGACAGATCTCTGCCCTCGAGGCGCCTCTTGGGTGTTTTCCACAGCTTGCTGCAGACGCTCTTTGATCCGCTCAAAGTTCGTATGGAAATCAAAGGCCCCGCCTTCCTTGAAGGTCACTTTCAGCTGTACTGCCGGCAAAGAGCTCGGGATTCCTCCGCCGGAGACCGGTTGCACGAGCGACGTCCATACGTTGGGGCCAAAAAAGGGCGCCGAAACATGGGAGTCCAGCACGTTGAGTAGTGGAGCAGAGAAACTCTGGAAATCCTTGGTTTTCTGGGCGGGCAGGTAAACTATCTGTTCATACCGGGGTCAGACCATACGTCGAATAGATAAATGCAGCGCCAAAAGGGATGGATGTCATACCCGCTGGTTGGTAAGGTAGATGCAGCCGGCGTTGCTTTGGACAGAAAGGGTATCTTTGCCCTTGTATGAGCTGAGTGGTTGCAACGACAGACTGGTACGCGGTGGAGAGGTATATATGAGACGTTCGTTTGGCAGATAGACGAATCCCTCCCCCTCACCCATCATAACCCAGCTGTTTGACAGGGATGAAGTTAGCCACAAATTATCTGTCCGTGGGGTTTTGTCATATGCAACAGACTTGGATCAATGCCGAGGGAGACCTGTATGAGGAAAGGGACATACTTGAGAGACATCTTGGCGAATATGCGACACCAAGCAAAGGTATGGGATTATAATGATCGCAGTAGGACGTCGGCTAATGAGACGGACTTTGTAAAGCGACACCTGGGGGGTATAATAATAGCGAACGAAAGCTCGAGAAAGCTTAGATCATCATAAATCTTGGAGATGTCGATCGGGTACGTTAGGATCGGTGTCTCGCGGGTTATAGGGAAGGTTCCACTCGAATAAAGCTGCGAAACCTAACCAGATGTGAGGAGACAGTCCTATAAACAAGAGCAAATGCTGGAAGGGGCAGCTAGCGACACTCACAAGCGGGTTATGCAATGAGCAGCAGTACTCCGTAGTCAGGTCACTGATGCTCGCGGGGCATTAATGCACCACACGAGGGGGAGGCGAGAATTCAAACAGCCGGGCAAGCCCGAGGAACAGCACAGCACAGTGCAGTGTCCAGTGCCCACAACCCAGGCCCCAGCCAAGGCGATCACACACAAGGCTCGCGCATACGCCTATGCATAGAACCCGTGGAGCAGACGCGGCATTTCCGTTGCATTGGCCAGCAGAAAGGATGTGAACCTGGTCTGGTTGTTAAGACGGTTCCTGGGATCGTCCCGCAGTCCCTGAGGCAATCGGCGTCACTAAGCCTAAAGCGGGGGTTTTCTACAGCTCCCACCTCACTTCTTCCTACGACACGCCTGTTGCAACGACCATCAAGATAGGATACGAGATTCACCAGGTTGAGTGAAAGGTTGGCGAAAGGGCTAAAGATTCAGAAAGAGTATATCGGGCTGTGGTGATCGTTTCTGAGATGGCTATCCTTCTCGACGTCTACAAGAGGAGTACTGCATAGACATGAGAGTATCAAGTTGGTTGGATCAGAAGCTGTCCAAGAACTTGTTCAGAATTCTGACCGATGAATTTACAGGATTGTATGATTACCCCAGTGGTTCTCACGCAGTTAAATTAACATCGCCATCTCACCCTCAGCCGTGGACGAGCCGACCGGTTATAACCCATCATTGAGACCCTCCCCACGCGAGAAGACCCCTTGGATGTCCTTGAGATGAAGGAATCGGTAGGCAGGGCTCACTGTCTGCCGTCTAGCAAATGTAGCAGTCAAATTGCAGGACTGGGATATTCCTGTCGTTGCCATGATGATCCTGAGGACTGCCGTCGATATCGAGGCCGGAAATGACACCCGTACTACATATCTTTACCAGCAGAAAGAGCCTTTCAGAGACGGCTAGCTAGGCATTTCATAGTACCTGGTAGGTATTGATCTGAGCAACACAGTCTGTCGAGGTGGAAAAGGGGTAGAGATTACCTGCCTGGAAGGCTCCATAGGCAACACTACACGCCATATCCTTGCTAGCTATATACCAGGTTCGAATTCTCTCTTCTGGAATGAAAGTAACACCAATCTTCAATTTTAATATCAAGCGTAACTACCTATTTAATTACCTGACACTGTACTTTCTGTAGTATTCATCGTTCCCGTTCCGGTCTAGCGTCACCTCCAGACTTTCCAACTTCCCCCACCACCAAACAAGACTTGAGGACAGACTCCAGTGCAACAGAGCATCGTCTGGATGCCTTCCAGTCCGTGGGCGCCGATCTATCTTCATGTCCAATCAAGCGTGACGCTCGCCTGCTGTGCATGACCCCGCCCAATCGAGATTTCCATCTCTCCGGGGTTATCTGCCTGTGTTTTTTCCCTTGCCTTGCGCCAGATACGTCAGAGCGATCTCACGTTGCAGTTGGGAAAATCTACGGCTCTGTTTGGGAGTTCGCAGCAGCGGTTTATACCTGATACGGATGTTTGGACCTTGCGATTGCTCCTAAAGCTCTTTTTGAAAGCATACGAGTCATCGTGGACGTCTCTATCGTCCTCCTGCTCTGACTTTTTTTTTTTTTTTTTTGACTATATCAACTTACCCGAGACACCCGGCAGCGTGCTTGCGTTCCTCTCTCGACAATATGGCGAAGAAGCAACCATATATCCCTCCCTTGATCGGGTGGTTGTACGATCTGGTACTCTGGTCCTTCTCCGTGCTTATCGACCTCTTCTTTCGAGAGGTCCATCCGCGTGGATCATGGAAGATTCCCAGGAGAGGCCCCGTCATCATTGTCGCCGCGCCTCATGCGAACCAGGTAAAAATGATTTCAACCACAAGGTATCCTTGTCTTTCAGCGTACTAATTGTTGAACTTCTTTTCTTCTATAGTTTGTGGACTCGTTGGTCCTTATGCGCGTTATTCGGAGCGAAGCTCACCGTCGTATCTCCTGGTTGATCGCGGAAAAGTCGTTCAAGCGTAAATTCATCGGATTGTTGGCTAGAGGAATTGGAACCGTCCCCGTTGCGAGAGCGATGGACAACTTGAAACCTGGCGCAGGAACTATCTATCTTCCCGACCCCGTCTACCAGCCCACGCTGGTCCGTGGTGTGGGCACCAATTTCGAGGGCCCTGGCTACGAGGTAGAGGGCACTATTGCCCTTCCGACCATCAACGGCACATCCCATAGTGCTCCCATCGCCGAGATTCGGGGTCCGCAGGAGCTGGTGTTGAAGAAACCATTCCGGGCCAGGGATGCGCTCTTCCAGCTCACGGGGAGACAAGACATCACCGACGATGGGAAATTTGAGGACCAGGTGTCCCAGCAAAATCTTTCTGATTTCCAGGGTACGAAGTTCAAGGTGGCTCCGCATGTAGACCAGACTGCTGTCTATCAAGCGGTGTTCGCGCGATTGAACGCTGGCGGCTGTGTGGGCATTTTTCCCGAGGGCGGCAGTCATGACCGCCCCGATCTGCTTCCATTGAAAGGTAATATTTTTTTCATCTTCTTCTCCTCTGGAATCATTTGCTGACGATACCAGCGGGCGTTGCTCTGATGGCACTTGGTACACTGGCCGATAACCCTGACTGTGGCTTGAAGATTGTGCCCTGTGGAATGAACTATTTCCATGCTCACAAGTTCAGATCCAGGGCTGTCATCGAATTTGGCAACCCGATTGATATACCTCGGGAACTGGTTGATCAATTCAAACAGGGTGAACGTCGTGAGTCTGTTGGCACGCTACTGAACACAATCTACCAGAGCCTCCTCGCGGTGACGGTTAATACGCCAGATTATGACACCTTGATGGTATGTTCTGCCTACCTATAATCCAGTCTTTTTTTTTCTTTCCATCCTCATAAATTCTAGGTGATTCAAGCGGCCCGCCGTCTGTATAATACCAAGGGCAAGAAGCTTCCCTTGCCGATGGTGGTTGAGCTCAACCGCCGCTTGGTGAAGGGCTACACCCATTTTAAGGACGACCCTCGTATTGTGCACCTGCGCAAGTCCATTACAGATTACAACAAACAGTTGAGCCTTCTCGGTATCCGGGACCACCAGGTGGACTACGCCAAGTTTTCCTTCGTTCAGGTCATTGCTACGCTGATCTACCGCCTGGTCAAGCTGGCTCTCCTGGCCATCGGGACCCTGCCGGGCTTTCTCCTTTTCACGCCCGTGTTCATCGTTACCAAGACTATCTCCATCAAAAAGTCGAGGGAAGCCCTGGCGGCCTCAACGGTCAAACTCCAAGGCCGCGACGTGATGGCAACGTGGAAGCTGCTGGTTGCCCTGGCATTTGCCCCCGCGCTGTATGCCTTGTACACAGCTCTCTTCACGTACTGGACCTATCGCAACCGCATCAACGGCTACGTCCCTGACTGGGTGCCGCTCTGGCTGATAGTTCCGATCGGAATGGGGCTGTTCCCAACCATCACGTTCGCTGCTCTCCGAATCGGAGAGGTTGGTATGGACATCATCAAATCTCTCCGCCCTCTCCTGTTGTCTTTGAACCCTTCTTCGGCCAACTCCCTGGTTGCCCTGCGAAAGAGACGCGCCGAACTCGCACAGCAAGTGACCGATGCCATCAACACCCTGGGTCCGGAATTATTCCCTGACTTTGACGCTGCCCGCATCGTCACCGACCCCTTCCGCGAGACCCCTGACACGCACAAGCCCGCCGAGAAGACAGAGGAGAGGCCCCAGGGACCCCCGGAGACCGCTAGGCCGCACATGGCCCTGGCGGAACTGCGAGAAGGCTCGGCCTACCAAGAACCTCTACCCCGGAACGAGTCCTTCCACAACCTTGCAAACATTGGCTTCTTCTCCACCCGGCCCCCTAGTCGCAGCCAGAGCCGCAGCAGCTCCATCGGTCGACCGGGCTCCTCGCACCAGCTGAAGCCCTTCAGTTCGCTCTCCTCCAAGGACGGGCTAGAAAGAGTGAGCTCCAAGATCCGTGATGCGATGCGTGAGCGTGGAGAGCGCCGCCGCCGACGCAGCGAAGACAGCAGTTGGGACATGGCTAGCTCAGAGCCCGAAACGCCCTCGAGCGAAGAGAACCGAAAGGACCTCTAAATCCCGGGCCTCTGCGCATGTCCTTCCCCCCCTCTGTAGTCATAGCGGCGGTGTTTGGCGTTGTCTGTTTGTTCTCCCATCTCTTGGTACGACGTTGGCAAGAACAATTAGTTAATTGGCGTGTGGCAGTATGTTCGTTGCAATTTTCTGCTTAGAATACCCAGTCTATCAAATAGTGTCTTTTTTTTTTTCATTTAAACAGTGATTTTACCATGTAACCTAGAATCATCATTTGTAATATCACCCGTATCGAATAAGCTGTCGCGAAGTATCCTCCTGGTAAAGGAATCATCAAGGCAGCCTGGGCCGACGTGGACGAGCTCCTTTTTTTGCACGTGGGCTGACGCAGGGCGAATACATCATTCTTGCCAGACAGGAGAACACACCCGCTCGCCCTTTCCTGGTCGCATTTCATGATCTCTTCACATTCTCTCGTTTGGCCCTTCTAGCGCTGCATTTATATTGCATCTGAATTTGAATTCCACCATTTCATACTACTGTGTGCTGTTGGCAGGATCTTCGGCCTGTCTTCCAGTGACGACACGTAGTGGCAACTTGTCAGATCAACTCTTCTCACCTCGCCTCCAGACCACCTGGGTTTCTTCTTTTTTTTTTTTTGTCTGCGGAATTCAATTTCAAGACCGAGGTTTGTCACTAGAGAGATATTCTTTTTCATTTCTTGGTGTTGGTTGCAGTAGTTGACAGTGCTACAGGGTTCTTTTTCCGCTTTCATTCCAGACTGTTTTTTTTCCAAATCGACAACTTGCATCCTCACTTAATCACAACAATCTCCTTTATCGCATACCTATTTCTTCTATTCTAGATACAATTCAAACACAATGTCGACGTCAATGCATCTCTCGAAGCTCCGGAAGTGGTTTCTTGCCTCTCCGCCGGTCGAGTTTGCCATCTCCAACCTCAGGGAGCTGTTGATTGGGGCATTGAAGCAGGGCCCCATTCCCCAGCATGTCGCTTTTGTGATGGACGGAAACCGGCGGTTCGCTCGGACGCATGGAATTGAAACGGTGGAGGGACATAATCTGGGCTTCGAGGCGCTGGCGAAGGTATGACGACCTTGGCTTGCTAGACCAGCTTTTTTTTCTCCGATACTGGAGACTGACTCGGAGTTATTTTTTGTCCAGATTCTCGAAGTATGTTACAAAAGCGGTGTCAAAGTCGTCACGATTTACGCCTTCAGCATTGAGAACTTCAAGCGCTCGAAATTCGAGGTGGATGCCCTGATGGACATGGCCAAGGTGAAACTGTCTCAGATGGCGCAACACGGAGATTTGCTTGATCGCTACGGGGCAAGAGTTCGCGTTCTTGGCCGCCTGGACATGCTCAAGCCAGACGTTCTCGCTGCCGTCAACCGAGCCGCGGAATTGACGAGCCGCAACGGTGATCGGGTCCTAAATATCTGCTTCCCGTACACCTCCAGAGACGAAATCACGACAGCGATCCGCGATACTGTGGCTGAATACAGCACCCCCGTGAAACGGGCCCATTCTTCATCCGTGCCGCGCGCGCCATTTTCACAGTCTCACATCGCCCTCAACATCCAAGCACAATCACTTCATGCGAAGGTACAAGATCCAACGAGCGACATCGAGTCGGTTTCCGTAGCGTCTACGGCAGAAGACGAGGGCGCCACGTCGAATCAAGAACCGGATGAGCTGTACGAGTCGGAGTCTTCCTTCTCCTCGTCAACCACCCTCCACCACCTCGGACACCAAGACGGACAGGCTACGGGGGTCAAGGGACCCCAATTCATCTCCCCTGAAGCTATCACTCGACAGACATTGACCGACCACATGTTTACCAAGGACAACCCTCCCCTCGACCTCCTGATCCGGACGTCGGGAGTGGAGCGTTTAAGCGATTTCATGCTCTGGCAGACTCACGAGGATACCGAGATTGTCTTCTTGGATGTCTTGTGGCCGGAATTTGATCTCTGGCACTTCCTCCCCGTGCTTCTCGGCTGGCAACGAAGGATATCCAAGATGAAGAAGAACCCCGAAGCAGAGGGCAACTTTGACGGCGACGTGCTCGATTCCTACAATGACAACGCGGATGGCTATATGCCCTCTGAGGCAGCCAAACCGAAGGCTATATAATTGATTCCATAGACCAGAATACCTGTGTTATTATACATTATCTGCATTGTTACCGGGGAGTTGGGAGTTGGCTGGATTCTGCTACCCACAAAATGAACTTATTTCTTTCTCCTATGTAGTACCTTACCTTGTAACTATTTTACTGTATAAATATCCGAAAACAGTCTGTCGTACAGGCCGATTTCGGAGTGCTGCTTATCGATAGAGTGGGCCATTAGTCACGTGTAGAATGAGTCATCCGCTTTCCAGTGGGGGAGGAAACAGGGCGAGAGGAGCGTTCAGTCTTGCTTGACTCTTGAGAGAGAAGATTCATTCATTGTTTCATACTCCCTGTTTGCAAATCACATCTAGTCAAAATGGTTCAGCAAGTTGCCGGATCCAAAGTCCTCCTCCTTGGCTCGGGCTTCGGTATGAACTCCTTTCACGATGCGGAGCAGCAACTCATCCCAATTGCCCCGCACCGCACGAGAATGGATGAATAATATAATATACGGTAACTGACTGTGTGTGTGTGTGTAGTGACCAAGCCCACTGTTGAGGTTCTCAGCAAGGCTGGCGTCGAGGTGACCGTCGGTATGTAGATGCAAACATCCTCAATCAGTGGTATATAGGTATTCCCTAACATCATATCAATCTATATAGCCTGCCGTACCCTCGAGAGCACCCAGAAGCTCGGCGCTGGATTCCAGAACACCAAGGCCATCTCGCTGGACGTTAACGATGCCGCGGCCCTTGACAAGGCCCTGGAGCAGGTTGACCTGGTCATCTCCTTGATCCCCTACACCTTCCACGCGACGGTGATCAAGGCGGCCATCCGCACCAAGAAGCACGTTGTGACTACCTCGTACGTCTCGCCGGCGATGATGGAGCTGGATGAAGAGTGCAAGAAGGCTGGAATCACGGTCATGAACGAGATCGGTCTGGATCCTGTACGTTCCACTTACCAGCTTGCTTGAGGAAAATGGCTAATAGTGATCTTTGATTGCCAGGGCATTGATCATCTGTACGCGGTCAAGACCATTTCCGAGGTGCACCAGGCTGGCGGCAAGATCACATCCTTCCTGTCGTACTGCGGAGGACTCCCCGCCCCCGAGGACTCGGACAACCCGCTCGGGTACAAGTTCTCGTGGTCAAGCCGGGGCGTGCTCCTGGCGCTGCGCAACGCGGCCAAGTTCTACAAGGACGGCAAGGAGTTCAGCGTGGAGGGCCCGGAGCTGATGGCGACGGCCAAGCCCTACTTCATCTACCCTGGTTTTGCGTTTGTCGCGTACCCGAACCGCGACTCGACCCCGTACCGCGAGCGGTACAACATCCCCGAGGCGCAGACCATCGTCCGCGGCACGCTGCGCTACCAGGGGTTCCCGGAGATGATCAAGGTGCTGGTCGACATGGGATTCCTCGACGACACCCCCGCCGACTTCCTCACCAAGCCCATCGCCTGGAAGGAGGCCACCCGTCAGATCCTCAGCGCCACCTCGGCCTCCGAGAAGGACCTGCAGTGGGCTATCGCCTCCAAGACCGGTTTCTCCGACAACGAGGAGCGCAACCGTCTCCTCGCCGGGCTGCGCTGGATCGGCCTCTTCTCTGACGAGCTCATCACCCCGCGCGGCAACCCGCTCGACACCCTCTGCGCTACCCTCGAGCAGAAGATGCAGTACGCCCCGCACGAGCGTGACCTCGTCATGCTCCAGCACCGCTTCGAGATCGAGCACGCAGACGGCGCCACCGAGACCCGTACCTCCACCCTCTGCGAGTACGGTGTCCCCGGCGGCTACTCCGCCATGGCCAAGACCGTCGGTGTTCCCTGCGGTGTCGCCGTTAAGTTGGTCCTTGATGGAACCATCAGCCAGAAGGTATTGTTTCTTCTCCAAAGAAAAAAAAAAAAAAAAAAAAAAAAAAAAAAAAAAAACTTACTGTTGCTTTTTATAAACTAACTAATCTCAGGGCGTCGTCGCTCCCATGTCCTGGGATGTCTGTGAGCCTCTCATCAAGACGCTCAAGGATGACTATGGTATCGAGATGATCGAGAAGACTCTTTAAATTAGATGACCCGCGGGAATCAAAAGAAAAATTTCCCTTCTATTTTCCTTCTTTCGGAATAATATATATATATATATATACAAAATACAGGTCTAAATCAATACTCCCATTGAATACGAATGCCTTTCATCAAGTGCCAGGGCAACTCGAACATGTACCAGGTACAGATTGTTCATTATCATTGTTCTATCATAGATCATTTGTAACATTGCACATGGCAAGCCTTAGAAATTCATTTCGCATTTCTTTTCATATTTAACATATTATCAGAGAATCGTGCCAAACCTATAGCCAGAAAAAGGAAGAAAATCATCAGTAATCGAGTCCAAGTGAAGAGCGAAGCAGACTGTGAAGGGGATCTGAAAGAGATCACGGTAAGGAATGCGGGTGAGAAGGTAGCTACAGCTAGGTAGTGACATACCCGAAAGTCTGCTTGATACTGCGGACGTAGTAAACGTCCCAGTTTTGCTTGGTGACGTCTTCCTGTCCCACCGGCACACCGGTCCAGGTGACACGCATCTGAGTGACGCCGTCGACGTCGTTCTGGTGGAATTTGACCTCGAGGGTGCTGTAGTGACCCGCCGGCCACTGGGCGAGACGCCACTTCTGAACAATACGAGTGGGTGCCTCCAGCTTCTCATACTCGCCAGTCACGTTGCCGTCGAAGATGGAGAACTTTCCGCCGACGTGAGCTCCGTCAAACTGACGGGGTGGGGCACGGGTGAAGGCAGCGATGCGTTGGGGGTCGATGAAGGTGGTGTAGAGCTCCTCGGCGGTGGTACGGAACTCGTCCGACGCAGACACCGTCGTGGTGTTGACGGCAACCTTGCCGGCAGTGGAGGTGGAGGTTGAGGGGGCAGGGACAGAGGTCTTGGTCGCCTGGGGATGGTAGGTAGGGGTAGCAAATCCGCTAGAAGGGTTGGAGCCCGGCGCATGCTGGATATCCTTGCCATGCTCGGCGATCAAGGCCGGGGCGAGTTTGAACAGCGCCTGCCTCAGCTGCGGGATGATCTTGGAGCGCACAAGGTCCTTCACGGGCTGTTTGGAGGGAGAGTCCGAGTAGATTTCAATCTCAAACTATTCGAAGAAGAAAAAAGAAAAACACGCACAACGGTTAATACCGTACGAATCTTTCCAGGGGAATTTCTTTTTTTTTATCTTGGGGGCGGGGGGAAAGGGAACGTACGACATACTCGTCTTCCTCGGTATCGTGGGCTACCTCAGGAATGGTGATTGTGCCACTGACGGACTCACCGTCCTTGGTCTTACCTACGAAGTGCAACGGTTTTTAGTTTCAAATCTAATTGATAATAAGAAGAGATACCAAAAGCCAAGCCACAAACCTTGGTATTCCAGCTGCAGCTTGACATCAAACAAGGTGATCACCTTGCCCTTCCGCTGGCTAACGTCTACATCGCCATCCATGGTCAATAGGCTTTCTACTTTTGCAGTCACGCCGTTTTCTTCTGCGCTGATGACACAGAGGTTCTCCTTCAGGTATTCTTTGGCCCAGGGTGAGGCATCCTTATTGACCCAGTGCCAGTTGTTAGGGTTGTGAAGGACCATTTTTTATATATCTTTTTTTTTTTCCAACGGCTGCTCTACAGCAGGAAAAGCGAAGCTAGATTCTATCCAATCACCTCATATGTTAGCCATGACCATCTCAAAGCAAAACAGGTGATATAAACACGAGCAAAAGATTGAAAGCAAGAGATCAGGATCCTGGGTAGCGTTCCCGGACTTGAGCTAATCAGCAGCGACGACAACCATACGATCATCGTTCTATGACTGGTGCCAGCTATGGAAATATCATCATCTCGAGATCAGAGCAGGGTGAGAGGCAAGGAGGAGTCCTCAATGCAGCTCACCCGGCGCTGAATGATAATAGGGGGGGGGGGGGATGAGGTGGAAATTTTCACACAACACAAAGGGAGAAAAAAACCAACTTACAGTACCACACAGGGGAGATCCAATTATAATTTCCTGCACGGAGGTAGATCAATGAAGTCCACAGTCGACCACAGAAGACAGAGCTCAAGGGAGATAGATACCGTGGCAGAGGAGGGGGAAGGTCTATTTAGACCGTTTTATTCTTCCATTCGCAAGAAGTGGAAAAGCCGCAGACGCGGAAGGAAAGCTCTAGAAGGGAGAGGTCACGTGTGTGTTAGTAATACAGTCTAGCTATCTTCGTAGTAGTGGTATATTACGGCGTATTTCTGTGTAAAATATGTATTACTATGTATTAAATACTCGAGATCCTCTTCTATAGTACTATGAGGCACAACTTTGAGTGTACTGTCAAGTAGTCAATTTGTATTTAGTAAATATTTGTAGCGACCGGATGGGTATCATTCAGAAAAAGAAGAAAGAAAGAAAAAAAAACCATATTCATTATTCATCACTCGAGTTGTTCCATGTCCTCCCACCCATCCTCAGCCTGAAGCTGGGCCTTGACCCGCTCACGCAGCGCCTCGATATGACTGCCCAGCGCCTCGGTCCACTGGCTCTCGACAGTACCGACTTTATCCTTGAGATCGGCCGTCAGATGACGCTCTTCGTCCGCGCGCAAACCGTGCGTCTCCTCGTGGACGGTGTCTTCCGGCTCGCCCTGGCGGATGCGCTGCGCTTCGATGTGCTTGTAGTTGGCGCGCATGACGGCCGACTTGACCTCGTGCAGCAGGCAGAGTAGGTTCGTCTGCGACTCGATGTACTGGTAGCTGGAGCGTTCGGCGTGCCATACCACCGAGTAAAGATACTGGAGCGGGTGGGCCTGGTAGCTTGGGTTCTCGTCGTACTCGCCCGCGGGGATCTGGATCTCGAAGCCGTCGAGCTGGTCGGGAATCTGTTGGACGAGCGCCAGAAGGCTCGGGGCAATGTCCCAGAAGCTTGAGAGTTGGATCTCCACGCCGCGCACGACGTTCTGTTCGATCACGTCAAGGAAGGATTCCAGCCGAGCCAGCGCCGCCGCCTCGTGCTGCACCCGGCGGTCCATCGCGTCCTGGGCGAAGAAGGCGCTGGTCTCGCGCGCCTTGTCCTCGTTGCCGCTGTGCTTGTACGGTAGCGAGACCACAGCCTGGTACTTCTCATCGCGGCCGCCGACGAGCTCATAGACTTCCCGGTGGAGCTGCTCGCGCGCCTCGAACAACCATTTCAGCTGCGTGATCTTCTCCAGGAGTTCCGGTTTCTCGTCTCCCTCCGCCTGCGTCTGATCGGGCGTCTCGTTCTGCGCGTCGTCAAAGAGTTGGCTGCAAAGCTTGTCCATGGAGGCCGTCGCCCGTTCGATTCGGTCGGTCAGAATCGCGTGCATCGGCTTCAGTACTGTGTCCTGGTATGTGTCCAGCTCGGCCTTGGCTAGCTCGCGCTCGGCCTGCTGCTCTTCGATGGCCAAGGCAGCCTCGGCTTCCGCAGCCTCGGCGAACGAGAGGCTCCCCTGTTGGATCTGACTCTGGATGTTTTCTTTGAATAGCCGTCGGTTCTGCTGTACCCGTTCCTGGTGTTCTTTCTGCAGTCGCTCCGTCTGCGTCTTGTGTCTCTGCCGAGTCGCCTTGACCTCCGACAGATCCGTGATCGACCGCACGGTCGTCCGGTATGCCACCAGGTCCGGATGGCTGTTGTTCACGGCGGGATAGTGGCGCGGGTAGGGCGGCGGTAATGTGATCAGCCTCGATACGTCCATTTTATGCGTCTCGGTCGACACGGAGAACGTGTTCAGTGCGTTGGGGGTGCGCTCGGCAGGACAGACGGTCTCATCACCGCCATCTTCTTCATGCCAGCCGACCTTTTCCGGCGGGTACTCGTCCGGTCCGTACACGAAGTGAGTGCCTGACTGGTCTTCATTCAACGCTGAAAGCGACGGCATGTTTGCCCACTGCATCGCCTCGCGTATTTCCTGCTGCACGCCCATGTATTTAGACTCGCGTTTGGATCGTTGTACTCGTGGGTCCCGACCGTCACTGCTCGACACAGATTCCCACCAGCGACTAGGCGCCCGGCCACGCGAGCTCTCATTGCTCATGCTCATACTAGCGATGGGTGACAGGGAAGGTTTGTAGTTGTTCCACCAGCCCGATTCAGGCCGCATTGGCGGGTTGTCCGTGACGTTGGAAGTGCTTATGTTCCCTCTGGATGCTGGACGAGAAGAAGAAAGAGACCGAGACCGATACGGAGAACAATGCCCCGGTACAGGCTGGTTGGTTGGCGTTGTTGCTGCCGCCGTCTGCTCGAGTGTCTGCTTGACTGGTACCTCGAACAGATTCCGACGGACATCCTCCACATCAAAGCCAGAATGATCCCATATATCTTTGTACCGTTCCCGTCTGATGTGGGACTCGCTGAGAACGAAGTCTGCAAACAACTTTAGCGCTTCCTCTTCACTAGCTGCGGTCGCCTCCTTTTCAATGAACTCCTGATGTCGCCGAATGGCCTCCTGCAGAAAAGCAGTATCTCGAACCTTCTCCGTCGACCTGGTCGGCTCTGGTGGAGGGCGACGGGGCGTCAATGGAGGGGGCACGGTTATGGTATCGTTGGGCAAGTGAAGTAGATGAGACACTGGTCGATCGCCCAATCCGCCGCCGCTATTGGATCCACGGCGACTAGCAGGGCTGATCTCTTGTGGATGCTGCGGGGGAGGTGTTGGTAGCGCTTTCGGATTCACCGGATGAGGCATCGTTTTGGCGTACGGCGAAGGGTCTGCATGGCTACCCGGGGAGAACGGCGGGGTGTGGGCGTATGCGCCCCCCATCCCGAATCCCTGGGGACCAGAGCCAGAGCCGGAACCAGAGCCGGAAGTGACTTCAGGCCGCGGGGTCGAAAGCGAGGATCGATTCGAAAAAAGGCCCGTTGAGGAAGTTCTCGGGCGGTTCCCTGTCGGCTGCCCATCAGAGCCGATACTTCGGGCACTCTTCGGCGTGAATCTGGCTGGGAACAGGGAACGGTCAGAGTCTATCTGTTGACCTGGAGCCGGGAAGTCCAGGTTGGCCGGCTTCACTGCTTGGGTTCGGTCCAGATCACTAGCCCACGGGTTGCTGCTTGATGAGACCGCGCTGAGGTCCTGTGAGCCGAGACCCTGTCGGCTCCGTCTTTCAACGCGCCGTTCGCGAATCCCCTTGGCACTTGGGTCTCGAACTGCCGGGCTACGGAACAACCCGCTATTTGAAGGCCTGCGGCTTGGAGGTGATGGATGCACACTAGATCCCCCAGGCGCGGCAACTTCCGGGAGTAAGGTGGATGGCGGTCCGGTCACAATGTGCAACGGGACTTTTTGCTTAAGGCTGGGATCGCTGTCGGTGGTGGTATCGTCCACCCAGTCCGCCGGTGTCGGCGGGATTCTGTCCAAAGTGGTCCCCATGACCGGAGGTTGCCGTGCTCTCGCGCGCGGAAGATGCATACTGTGCCTTGATGATACAGTATCGGATGAGCCGCTGACGCTCTGCGACCTGGTGGTCGGCGGGGGTCCAGGAGGGGGCGGGGGTAGAGGCATTCCTGGCTCCCAGCTCCCTTGAGGGGGGCTATCACTGGATTGACGGGCGTTCCAGGACGATCCCGCACTACTTACGACAGCGCCGGCAGAAACAGCTCGTCTGGAGGCAGGAGGGATCGGTGAGCCATCCATCACATAGGGTGTGCTGGGCATGTGTTGGAGATCAATAGAGGAGAACGACTGGTTGTTCTCCGGTGGGGAAAAGGCATTGGACAGTCGGGACCTTGGGCCGTGAGAGCGATTCTGGAGAGAGGAGTTGGCACCCAGGGGGGGCGGTGGTGGAAGATATGCCACCTGCCCACCAGAACCTGTATCACCCAAGTGGACCATGGAAAGCGGTCGCGGGCGAGGCATTGGTCGTCGATGATTCAAGGGACTCTCCCCCAGGGATTGCACAGGAGCAGGATACGATGATGACACCGCGGCAGAAGACGAAACAGACGCGACAGACACAGCCGGGTCAGTGGACTGACCCTGGCTCGGAGGCGAATACGGTGGCGGAGGCAGAGACGGAGAGATATCTATACCAGTCGCATTAGACCATGGAAGTCTCTACATTTTACTAGAGACAGACTGTTCAATGGAGACTGGAAGTAAACGACAGTAACAGACCTGTACGAGGATTATTCATCGCCGGAGCCATCCGAACCATGTGATTGCCATTATGATGCCGGCTGCTATTTCCTTGAAGCGACGGTGACGATACCGAGACCGTCATCGTCGCCGCTGGGCCCTGACTGCCGCCATTCCCGGGCAGCCCCCAGTCGCGAGGGTTATAAGGAACGGCGTACGAGGAAGACTGCCGTAGTGCCATGGGTGATACGCCTCTGACAGCACTGCTAGGAGATGGTGCAAAAGACGATTGACTGTGGGTGAAAGGGCTAGATAGTGCTGTCGTGGAGAGAGGCGTTGCAGAATTCAACACGACTCCAAGGCCTTGTAGATGAGGGCTATTCACCGCGGTGTTCAGTGGCGGCGGTTGCAGCCCATGGTCTCCTCGAAGGTTCGGAGAAAATTGCGAATGTGCGACGGCCCTCGTCTGACGACCAACGAGATAATCTGGAATGAGAGGCGGTTCTTCGCCGGCATTGCTGGACGATGGCCACCTGTAGTGGGTGGTCATGGGCGCCGTCAGTCGTGGCCAGAGATGAATACAGACCAACTCCCTGGAATCAAGAGCATCCCACACGGAAAAAAATAATGAAAGAGGGGCAAGGCCTACCTATTCATAGCGGCTAGATAGCTGAACAACTAGGTAAAGCCATGGCGGATGAAACAGCGCCAGAGGGACGCTCTGATGGGCCACGCGCAACCGCGCATTTCTATATTTCGCGCACCCTGTCGAGCCGCGGCGGCGTGCGGTGAGTCGTCCACAGACTGGGGAAAGACAAGATAAATTTGGAAACTGCCAAGACGAGGCTCCAGGGTACAGGAAGCTAGGGAAGATTGTCTCCAGGACGATTGCTGCAGCCGGAGGCCAACCGTCACAGGCCGTGGTTGAGGCTAGCAGCAGTCGGCGCTTAAGGTGAGCCCTGAGAGGCCTCTTGGCCAACAGGACGCGAGCCAGCTGTCCAACTAGAGCACGATGCAGAACAAAGGACAGGGATGTCGACCAACAGAACCATGCGAATGGCCAAGATTGGCTCCAACATAATCTCAGGGTTCATCATAACACGGGACACACTGAAGGTTACCAAAAGAATCTCAGGCTAAACACTGGCCTAAACCAAAGAAATGGTAATCAAAAGGGTTTTCAAGAAAGGATAACTTTATTATGTATTTATAAATATGCACTACTGTGCTTTTCTACAAGGAATATCATCCTCGGGAAAAGAGAGGGAGGGGTCCAGGTGGCGACGCAGGTCGGCACCTTGCAACGGCTGAGGGATTCATTCAGCCTTGCTCAAGAATAGGACTGCAGTGAGCCCCGAAGAAAAAAAGGATTTGACCGCGAGTCATGGTTCTGGAATCACTTGTTAGCCTTTAATCTTTATAAGGATAAGCAAGCAGCAATGCGTAAAAATAATTTTCAGATAAAAGCCTTGTCAAAGGCGGTGGTCATCAATGTTAAAGTTCTGTTGACCGTCGTGATAAATAAAAGAAAAATCATCATTTTAAAGATACAGAGGGGGAGGAAGAGAATAGAAAGATAAGAGATAGATCTCTACTCACCATCTAATAAACAGCCTTGGCCTGTGGAATGACACGGAGTGGGTGTCGTTCCACAGGCTAAGGTGTACTGTAGTGTATACCACCATGGGAACCAGACCTAAATCGAGTGATAGGTCAGACCTCCAGAAATTACAAGGCAGTGCAGTATCGAGAAGATTTCGAAGAGATCAGTCTTGACAGGTGTCGTCTTTGCCAGAAATCTGACTTGGACATATGCTTGTCTTTATTGTGATGTCAAATCATCATGAAAGGGGTAGAGAGGCAATGAGCACATGGCGACATACAAGAGAAGTTCCTAATTTCGAGACGTTAACAATGGTTCTCAGCCACTTGAATGAGTAACAGTTCTCGAGTGGAGGATGTCAGAAAGGCATGAATGGTAAAAAAAAGAAGGTTGTCTGCATCGAAAACTCGAATAAGACTCGTCATCTAGGTAATCATCACAATGATTGGGTATGAGAATGAAGAAAACAAGATAAATACTAACCATTATCACCGACTAGGACCATACTCATAGCAAATGCTAGAACTAGCACTTTGGACGTCAGAACTCTTGCTAACTAAGATGACTATCGAGTGCGTATGAAAAGCAATGTATCTCAGTGGGCGAGGTTTTCTAGGCCTGCCGCAAAAAAGGCATATCCATCACGACCGGACGTCTGTCGGACGCCGTCGGAGCCCAGTGCCGCTTCATCTTCGGAGTGTATGAGGCAATGAACAAAAAATATTGTCTACTCACCCTAGCGGGGCAGATGGTCCATGCAAGACCGTATCCTAGATGACACTTAGGTATGTTAGCCACAATTCTATAACCAACAAACTCCGAGTAAACAGTAAAGTACAAGAAGGATCAGAAATAGCCATTAAATATCTTCAAGAGCCCGAAAGCCTCAGCCGGTAATTTCCAGCGTATATATTTCGCAATTGTTCATCATGATAGGGGAAAACGTGGACATAAGAAGAAGAAAAAACCAAGGGAAAACTCACTGTTTACGAAGAACTGGAAGGCTGATTATTGTATCAGGGTTAGTCCTAGACCAGACAATTAGTCCATGAATGCCACACTGAATATCAAGAGACATCGACAGCAGTGGGCAAGAGTTCAGCCTGACGTGCAAAAACCGAGTTTTCATTCCATTTAGGTCAAAGACTCTAGTTTGTATATGGTTGAAGTTGTCATCATAATAAGGGGGGGAAACCAGAGGGAAGAAAGAAGAGAAAAGGTTTGATGCTTACCACAACTCAGAGCACTGTCGAGAAAGTACATCCCCGAGTTAGTCACAGTCAATCAACAAGGCAGCATCGTAGAATCATGTCTAGATCCCAACTGTCCACCTCACTCATCAGTGTAGGCAGAAGATGAAAACAACCTGCTGGGTTGTTGTTGTGTGAAGTTGAAAACGTCGAGAGAAATGCGAAGCGAACTTTTTCAAGCTCCCCGCTAACCGAGCGGCTAGTCTTTTCCTGGGTTAGCGACACATATTACATAACATCTCATTATGTAACAGGGTCACCTGATCTACTTATCACCTGACAGCATTTATGCCTCAGGCCTCAGTATCCCATATCACGTGGTGTCTATGTTCCTGCCTTCCTGAGAGCGAAACACTTCAAGACTCCCTTCTCACGCAGAAACAGACGACTCTCTGACGATCGTACGCCAGATTCTCCCTCTCGAGACGGCTCTCCGTTGCGTCTGGCCTGGATTCCACTCTCAACGGCCTCTTCGACGTCTCCTATTGATGGAACTTCTCTGTCCGACCATACAAAACGGTTTCGTCTTTCCACCGCGATCCGTGGTCTAGGCAGCGGAAGCCATACCAAAGATTAATCATTATTTCTCTTACTCATCGGCTTCGTTCGTCTAGAACCTTTTCCCCCCATCCTCTTCCCCCCTTTCCCCCGCCGCTGCCTCCTGTTCTGAGTCCCAAATCGCGGGTCATCTCGGAGATTCGGCCAGTGCAAGAAAAGCAGCCGGGGCCGGCTGTAGGCGGGGACCTGTGGGAGGTACCCGTGACCTGGCCAACAGGTATTGTTCCCACCTATTCTCAGGTATCGGGTACTTGGTGGGCTCTGACGTTACCGTTATCCACCGGCAAAAGGTTTTGGGGGCAACTCACGCTCCCCCACATCCGGAGCACTGGAATGGCTCTTAAACAGCTGCTGGTCAGCTTCTGGGTTGGGTCCTGACTCCTGAGTGTTCGTCTCCGATCGTGTCTTTCTGTTTACCCTCGACCGCAATTGTCAAAAAGCTTCAAAAAACCCCTGGGTTGCTCTTGGCCTCCACCCCGCAGTCGATCTTGTGACGATATACAAAAGTATCACCCGAAGGGAACCGGGATCGTTGAAGACTGGCTCCGTTAAACCGAGGTTGGTACCGGTGTAACAGCTTAAAAGTCAGCTAAAGTCAGCTGGTGCTGCTCGAGAGACGTCGACTTCATTACATCACCCCAACAAGTTCCATCTATATAACCAGGAATATCTTCATACCATCATCATCATCATCAACAACATCATGGCGGCCAACGGAAGCGCTCCTCCCGTCGGACATGAGAACATCAACACCGACATCGTCACGCTCACTCGATTCCTGACTGAAGAACAGACGAAGCACCCGGAAGCCACGGGAGACTTCACGTAAGGCTAGCCCCGTGGATCTTGTACGAGAGAGATTATGATAAAACAGTGCTAACATGACGGCTGGCGTTGCAGACTCCTGTGCCATGCTCTTCAATTCTCCTTCAAGTCGATCGCATACTACATCCGTCGGGCCTCGTTGATTAACCTGACGGGGCTGGCGGGTTCGTCCAACACAACCGGAGACGACCAGAAGAAGCTTGACGTGATCGGGAACGATGTCTTCATCTCGGCCATGCGTGGCTCTGGCAAGTGCCGCATCCTCGTGTCCGAGGAGGAGGAAGAGGTGATTGTCTTCAACGAACACCCGCATGCACGGTACGCGGTTGTGTGCGACCCGATCGACGGGTCATCGAACCTCGACGCCGGAGTGTCGGTGGGCACGATCTTCGGCATCTTCAAGCTGCCAGAGTCGGTGACGGCCGAGACCACGGTCAGCGCACAGGACCTTCTCCGCGCGGGCACGGAGCTCGTTGCCTCGGGCTTCACCATGTACGGCGCCTCGGCGCAGCTGGTCATCACGATGCGCGGCGGCGGTGTCAACGGCTTCACTTTGGAGAACTCGCTGGGAGAGTTCATCCTGACCCACCCCAACATGCGTCTGCCCCCGAAGCGCGCCATCTACTCCGTCAACGAGGGCAACAGCATGTACTGGGATGAGTGGTGCACGCAGTACTTTCACGAGCTCAAGTTCCCTGGCGAGGGCCAGAAGCCATACAGCGCCCGCTACATCGGCAGCATGGTTGCCGACGCCTACCGTACCTTGCTCTACGGAGGTGTGTTTGCCTATCCGGCCGATAAGAAGAGCCCCAAGGGGAAGCTACGTATCCTGTACGAGTGTGCCCCAATGGCCATGGTCTTCGAGAACGCAGGCGGCCTCGCCGTCAACTCGCGCATGGAGCGCCTGCTCTCTGTCGTGCCCGAACACATCCATGACCGCAGCGGTGTCTTCCTTGGCTCCAAGGACGAAGTGCAGAAGATCATCGACACGTACACCCGCTTCAACAAATAAGTTCACCAGGGAAAAATAGGGGCGAGTTTCCTGTTTTATGACTTGATGTAAAACTTTTATATATATTTTAAAAAAAAAATTGGAAAAAAGTTATACAAAGAAAATATATGTACTACTGTAACCAGTGATAATTCAACAGTAATATATTTCTAGTCTACAAAGAATGACAGAAGTCAGATGTGACTCTTTAAGAAATAAAAAAAAAAAGAAAGAAACAAAAAAGGAACGTTTAATCGACCGGCTCGTCCTCGAGCAAGGTCTTGAAGCTAAAGGGGGTAAAGGCCAAGCCGTCACCCATGAAATGCTTGCTCATGGCTTCGACCCAGTGCAGACGCAGGGAGTGCAGCATGGCGGAGGTGCCCTCCATGACGCACAGAACGGCGATGGTCATGAGGAACCACATGAAGAAGGTGACGAAGATCATGATGGTGCGGACGGTGGGGTTCTCCTGGGAGAAGGCGGAGCCGAGGGTCATATCCCAGAGGACGATGGAGAGCTGCTGGTGGGCCAAGGACAAAGCCCACAGACGCAAGTAGGAGGCCGTGTGCGAGATACAGTTGAGGCAGAACTCGATGGTGTGGATGACCTGGTGGATCATGATCTCCGAGAAGTCGAACTCTTCGTGTTCCTCGTCGCCGTCGGCGCCCAGGTCCTGCGCGATCATGGCGACGCCCTCGCCGGCGTCGTCGCTGGCCAGGCTGTCGCGTGTGAGGGGGAGTCGGGCGTCATCCTCGTCCAGGGCGCTGACGCGCGAGTGCTCGCCCAGCCCACGGTAGCCCAGGGCACGCGCGCGGTTGTGCTCCCAGCGCAGATAGAAGGGCTTCAGGAACAGCATGATGGGCACCTGGCACACGGCTAGCAGGATGAGCACAACCTGCACAAACGCCTGGCCGGAGTACAGGGGCTCGGCCACCGTGCCGGGCGACAGAAACATGAAGATCAGCATGTTGAGCAGACCGGGCGGAGACTGCCCGCGGGCAGGCCAGTCCACGGACCACTTGTACACAATGGTGATGACCAGGTAGCCAAAGATGGACTGGAAAAAGATCATCCCAGGGATGAAGTTGCCCCAGACGTCGATCTTGGACTTGAAGTGGCGGGCATTGATATATTGCAGACACAACGCATATGTCATCTGTCTTGTTAGAGAAGAATTGAATAAAAAATATACACGTATGCGAGAGACTTACGTGAGCCCAGCCTAGGCAGATACTCATCTTCATCTTCAAGCTGTTGGTGAAGAGAAGAGAGTTGTCGGCCTCGTGCCAGTTCCAGTCCAAGCCAAAGGGATAGCGATAGCTGCTGTCGAGGGAGGCCTCGACGGCCTGGCCCGGGGTAATGTGCTCGGGCCAGTTCCACCCACTGGGGAACAAGTCAAGGGAGCGAGAGAAGATATCGTTGTAGATGAAACCGGTGTAGATGGAGAAGAGACCCATCATCAGCATGATATAGCGGCCGTAGAAGGCCATGTAGGTCAGTTCGTCGAGCTTGGTGCGAGCCAGTTGCTTCTCGAAGAAGATCATCGCGGTGGCGGCCATGGCCATCAGGAAGCCGTGGCCCATGTCACCGAACATGACGGCGAACAGGAAGGGGAAAGTGACGACGGTGTAGAGGCCCGGGTTGACCTCGGAGTACTTGGAGATACCGTAGGCGTTGACGATGGTCTGGAAGCCCTCGGTGAACTTGTTTGTGCGCATGTAGGTCGGGGGCGTCTTGTTGGTGCGGATCTGGTTGACGATGGTGGGCACGGTCAAGCCGGCGCGGTCGTTGACATCCTGCAGCGTAAGCTTGATGAGGGAGAGCGAGTTGGTCGGACACCACGCCTCGGCGATCAGGGTCTTGCGAGCCTGGTCATACGAGAACTTGTTGAGCGTGTCGTAGACGGCCTTCTCCTTCTTGACGATGATCATCCACGCGACAAGAGAACGGGCGATCTGGGAGAGCTCGCCGTCGAGGGTGTTCTTGGTGGTGTGGAGCACGTTGCCCACATCGCTCAGACGGGTATTGACCTCGTGGATCTGATCGCGGCGCAGCTCGCTGTTCTCGTCGACGCTGTACAGCGAAGCCCCCAGCGACTCGGAGATCTTGCGGATCTTGGCCAGAATCTGCCGGCCGTGGGCGAAAATAACAAAGACGTTCTTGTGGATCTCCTCGTTGGTCGCCGCGTCGATGATCGGCTCGGGGATCTCCGACTGATTCATGTACAGGTTACCGCGCAGCGTACGCCACAGGATGCGCTCAAAGGCACCAATCCGGTCCCGCGGGATGACACCTGCCACGAAGCCGATATTCATCTCCGTGAATGACTGCTGCTGGGGCTGGTGCTGGCTATGGCCGTGAGCGTCACCATTGGGCCGACTGGCGCCGCCGTGGTGCTCGACGTCACGGAGCAAGGGGGCTTCGTCGTTGTCGAAGGACTGCCGGATCTCCTCCGTATGGCTGTGGGCGCGGTCGAAGAAGCCGCCAGCTTCCTTGAGCACCCAGCGCCATTCGACCAGCTCGACCTCGCGCTTCTTGAGCGTTTCGTAGCTGTCGTTGAGCGAGACGATCCGCTGCTCCAGGCCCTCGCTCCGTTCCGCCAACTCGTCAATCTCCGACGCCAGCGGCGCGGCCAGTGTATCCGAAAAATCCGTCGACGGTCTCATGGGAATCGCTGCCTTGTCGATCTGAGCCCCGAAATACCGCAGCTGCCTCTCGACGTTATCTAACCGCCGGATCTCCTTGGTGAAGGTCCGCTGGAACGCGTTGGTCTCGGGGTTGAGCTACATCATCAGTACCTTACACAGTCAACCAAACCAAAAATAAAAAAAAAAAAAAAACATACATCTCTGAACTGCACCTGCCCCAGCTCTCCCAACGCACTGACGACCTCTCTCCCGATCTCGTTGGCGATGTAGAGCTGCGTGAGGCTCATATCCGCCGAGCGGAAGAAGGTGTCCTTGGGAGCCATGGCGGGCACCTAGGATGGAAAAATAGAGACAGCGGTAAATATCTCAGGCTGGAGTATAAATATAACGATGGTCCGGGTGCACACGTCGAGCCGTGACTGTCGTGACGTCGTCGCGTCTTTGTCTCCTGGTCGTTGTTGAGACTCGAGATACCTGGCGGTTTAGTCACGTGTGGCACGTGATATTACATAAGCGACAGGGCTACATGTGATATTACATAAGCAACAGGCTGTATACAAAGACACTTTATAGAGTAGACAATTTGATTAATTGATGAGTTACTTATTTATCTACTGCAATAGACTAGACTCATATACTCCGGCATAAGAGACATGGAACCAGAACATTGAATTATCTATAGCATCAGGCAAAATAGCTCTTCCACAGGACGCCCGAGAGGTCTTCTAGTTGATCTTGGGTAAAGGCCTAGAGGGTTAGTCATTCGCTTAAGATACAGATATACTTGGATGAAATGCTTGAGACTTACCTTGCAGTCGATATGCCACGTATCCTGCCTCGTCTTCTTGAACTCGCTAATGATGGATTTCACACTCGACCCGACGATCCCCGGATCACTGGCGGCGCGGATGCTGAGCGTGGTGAGGGCGTCGGGCATCCAGCGCGGCGGTGGGCTGTTATAGGGGAACGCTTGGATCAGGGCACCCAGCCCGAGGACGGCGCCGTGGCGGACGAGGATGAGCCGGGTGTGTTCTGGGGTCGGGGTGCCGGCGCCCGAGGAGACGACCGAGGAGAGACCCGAGCGGGCGGCGTGACGTGGTTTCTTGGGCAAGGGGTTCTCGATGAGGGTGGTTGTGAACCGCTGCTGGAAGCGCTGGACCATCATCTCGCGCAGCTGCATGGGCGAGCAGCGGATCATCCCAGACAGGGTGGCGGAGGCCCCGGCGCGGACCTCGTGCTGGGGATCCTGCAACATGCTGGCGATGCATTCGAACAGGCGTTCGCGGTCCGTGGCCGAGAGCAGGAACAGGCGCCGGAAGTAGATGATCTGGATGTTGATCATGACGCGCAGGCGCTGGTGCCACGAGGGCGACGTCTGTCCGATCTGGATCAGCGACTGGATAAAGGCCGAGTTGGTCTCGGCCGGGTAGGGGATGTTGGGCAGATGGCGGAAGACGTGGTAGGCAAGCGACTGCAGCTCCGGGTCCTCCTTGACGTCCATCATGTGCAGCAGCTGGCCCGTAAACACGTCCGGGAAAAAGGGGACCAGCTGCGTGCACTCGTGCGACGAGAGCGTCGAGTCCAGCCAGAGCAGCACCGTCTTGCTGCCGGACGTATACGGTGATGGGGTCTGCTGCCCCGCGGGCCGGGCCTGGCGCCACTGTTCCAGCCGCTCGAAAACCTCACGCAGGGTGCTTGTGAAGTCCTCGGTCGGCTGGTAAGGGTAAGTGCCCACCGAGGAGGCGTCCTGCTGGGCCTGCACCAGCGCGGCAATGTCGCGGTACGACTCGTGGTAGCGCGTGCGCCAGATGGTGGCCAGCGTCTGGCCGATGGCCTCGCGGACCCCCTTGTACGGGTGGTCGAGGTGGGCGAGGAAGTCGGCGACGATCGGCTTCTCCAGCTGGAAGTGCCAGCCCGCGTCGATGATGCACTGGTGCAGCAGGTTGATCTTGGAACTCTCCTTGAAGGCGGCGTTGGTGGACATGTCGAGCCGGAAGCTCGCCAGCCAGTCGACCAGCGGCCAGGCCCGCCGCGGGTCGCGGCACTGCAGCACCATGTGCAGGAAGGTGGTCCAGTAGCCCGAATTCTCGGGCGTCAGGCCGTCCGTGAAGATCTTGCGCACGATGGGGAACGCATACTCCCACACCAGGGTGCGCTTCTCCACGCTGGAGTCCGTGACGGAGCTGATCAGGGCGCCCAGGATCTCCGCCGTCGCGCGGTGCTGGTGCTTGTCGCTGCCGTCCTCGAAGACGGCCTCGATCTCCTCCTGGACGTCGGCGAAGGAGGCCGCCGTGAGCCCGTCCCGGAGCATGAGCTCAAACGCATAGAGCAGCATCATCGCGCACGGCATGCGGAACTTGTCCGCCGAAGGGTCGCGCGGCTCTTGCTTCAGATACATGAAGAACTTGGAGAACCAGTCGCGCGTGAACAGCTGGCCCATGTGCGTGCGAATCTTCCACTCCACGCCGTCGTACTCGATGTCCCGCTGCACGTTGGCCCGGTACGCCGGCATGTTCGAGGCCCAGACCAGCCAGCCCGGGAAATCGTGGTCGACGTAGTACTCGGCCTCTGGTTTGGCAAACCCAGCCAGGTACGCCTCGGTCCACCCTTCTTCGTGGCGCTTGGTGGCCACCTGCAGTTTCGAGGGAAATGTCTGATGGCCGAGGATGTACTTCTTGTAGTCGTGGCCGCAGATGGCCCGCACATCGATCATGGTGAAGAGCGCGATCAGAGCCTGCGAGTACATGCCACGCAGGCCCGGATGGTCATCGATCGACCCCATCGTGACCAGGTCCACCAGGTTCTCGCTCGCAATGTAGTCGAACCGCAGGCCCATGGTGATCACTATCGTGGCGGCGCGGCTGGCGATCTTCCAGTGCGCCACGCGCGCCAGGTTCACCAGCTGCTCCGCCAGATCGGCCTTCTTCTTCTCAATCACCACCCGCTTCCTGTTGATGCTCTTGCGTTTCCGCTCAATCTCATCTTTGATCTCGCTGGCTGCTTGCGGGTCCTTGCCGCCCCCGTCCACATCTTCAGGAGGAGCAATCGCCTCCACGATGTCCCGGTCCAGAATGGCCATCCGTTCCATGGCCCGCCCGTAGTCCATGACCTGGAAGACGGCGCTGGAGCAGATCTTCTGAACAGAGGGGCGGTCGATGGCGCTGGCGTCGATGAACGTGCGGATGAGGGCGGGCGCGTACTTCCAGTGCCGGCCGACCGTCTTGGCCAGACTGCTGAGGAGGAGCGTGTACAGCGCTCCCTTGATGCGGGCGTGATCGTTCTCCTTGACCCCCCTCTGTAGGGCTCGTAGCAAGGGTGGGATCACCAGTAGCCGGGAGCCCCAGATGGCCCGGAGAGCGGACTCGCCCGCGCTCTGTGCGTTACGGCGTGTCTCGGTGTAGAGCGAGACGCACGACTCGGCCAAGTCCAGCAGGAGGACCTCGTCCAGCGCCGAGCGCGGGCGCGGGGCCGCGTTGTGCCGCAGCCGTTGCAGATGGTACACGTTCGCCCGACGGACCAGCAGTGGGCGTGGGTAGTCCTTGCGGATGCCGCTCATCTTGTACGGATGGATGTCCGCGGCCAGGAGGCGGGTGACGCGGTCGAGGACGTGTGCGGATCGCTCGATTCCCACGTCGATGAACCAGGACCGGTAGGCGGAATACAGCGCCCCGAAACACGGCACGTCGTCCTCCTGGTTCTCCGTCAGGAACCGGTGTACCTCGTGCAAGACATGGCCGGCCCGTTCGCGCAAGGCATGGATGGAGACGTAGAGCGGATCGTTCTCCCTCTCGGGGAGTGGATATCCCGCCGGGTATGAGAAGGTCTCTCGGATGGTTGCCTCGTCGGAGCTATCGAGCGAAGCGTCCGAATCGATATCTTCATCTTCATCATCATTGTTGTTATTCGATGACTCTATACCATTCGCCATTTCCACGTCTCCAGAAGATGCGGACCCTGTTTGCCCCTCTGGGCCGCTGTCCTTGGTGGTGGTGGTGGCGGCCGCGGCCGCCGCCGCCTGGGAATCAAAGAGCATCGAGATGCCGGACAGGATCAACCGCAAGAGAACGAGGTTTCGGGTGACCTCATCGGACCAATCTTTACCGCTACCATCACGTTTCACGCTGGAGGTCTCGTTGACGAGTCCCGTGAGATGTTTCAGGGCCGACTCGGCCTGGTTGGAGAACAGGTCGACGGCGAACTCGAGTTCCTCCCGTTGAGGGACGTGCCACTTGATCGTCAGCTTCTGCAGGTCCTGCCGGTAGCTCCAGAGTTCCGGGCCGATGCCGCGGGCGACGACGTCTGGCTCGTAGAGGGCATAGTCCATGGTGTAGGTGCCCGTCAGGTTGAGGAGCAGATGGTGGATGAAGTTGGAGATGTGGACGGTAGGGATGCCGCGGCACTTGTCCTGCATGTAGACGGCGATCTCGAAGAGCTCCTGGCGGTGGGCGAGCACGGCGTCGCCGACATGGACGACGCACATGCTGAGCATGCTGATGTTCCAGACGAGACCGCGGTCGCGGGGCAGGACGTCGGTGCCGGTGGTACGGGTCGAGCCGGCGCCGTTGTCGTCGATCTCGGTGCGGATGGCCTGGATGAGGACGGGGATGAAGCGCTTGAGAGCCTTCTCCGGGTGGACCTTGCAGACGGCGTTACAGATGAAGGCCATGGCGTCACGGGCCTGGTGGATGACATGGTTGGAGATGAAATCCACGATCTTGGAGAGGGCGATGTCGTAGTACTCCGGGGAGAGCGAGGCCAGCAGCGGCATGAACGTCGCAGGCAGGGTGTTGACGATGTTCTCCTCGGGGGAGCCGTTGCGGACGCGCGAGACGTCGGGAAGGTTCTCCAGCAGGGTGAAGACGCGGCCGAGGAAGGAGATGATGAAGTCGCCAAAGTTACAGGTGGAGGAGCGCAGGATCATCTCCTCGGTCTCGTCGGGCAGGTCGGTGTCGTAGTTGAGCTGGATGTCGACGCCGTCCCTCTCCATGCGTTCCATCTCGCCGGCGATCCAATCGAGGACGAGCATGTCGCAGTTGACGTCATCGCGGCCCTGGGTCAAGTCGGCCATGGGGATATTGTAGCAGGCGGACTGGATGAAGGAGAGGGCGTGCAGGGACTTTTCGAGGTCGTTGGCGTCGATGCCCGGGAGCGCCAGGCCCAGCAGGGTGGTCATATGGCAGCGGTAGCCCTTGGTGCGGGTGATGACGCGGGCGAGGACCTGCAGGGCGCGGAGAGAGGAGGTGGTGCGGTGGACCTCCACCAGGCCCTGCAGCGAAGGGTAGATGCGCTGGAGGGCGCCCGGGAGGATGAGATGGGGTTCGAGGTAGGCCAGGCTCTGCAAGGTGGAGAGGGAGAAGGTCATGGCGGTGCTGCTCTTGGCGTAGATGCCCATGAAGATGACGTCGCGCAGGCAGAGGACGAAGCGGCGCTTCAAGGGCTCGGTCAGGCGGCGCTCCGGGGGCACGTCCATCTCGCCGGTCTGTTCGCGGTTCCAGCGCATGACGAAGAAGTCGGCGAGGTAGTAGACGAGTTGGGCGAGGGTCTTGGTCCAGCTGCCGGAGTTGGAGGGGTGGAAGAAGGTCTCGACGGCCTGGATGAGACCCTCGAGCTGGGCCAGGACCGAGTCCTCGGCGTCGAGGCAGGCGGGGGACAAGGACATGACGACCCAGCGGGCGATGTGGTGTGCGACGGGATGCTTCCTGGAGTCCCGGTCGAGCATGATGCCCAGACCCGACGAGATGTCGACGAGGGCACTGTAGGGCGAGGTGGACTGGCCGACGGGGATCTCGAGCAAGCGCAGGATGGCGGTGAAGATCAGGGCCGACTGGTCCCTGGTGAAGATGCCGTACTCGGAGAAGGAGACCTGTGCGGCGGGCAGCGAGTCTCGGGCGAGGCGGGAGAGAAAGTCGAGGAAGGTCATGTCGAAGGTCTTGGAGCGGCTGACGAGCGACCAGAGGTGGAAGTAGGTGGGCAGGAAGCGCTGGGGCTGTAGATCCTCGCGGCCGGGCGGTGCGGGCGAGGTGGGCAGCATCAGGTTGATCAGGCCCGCCACGACGAAGGCGCCCTCGGAGAAGGAGGTGGTGTAGTGAGGGAGGAACTCGTCGAGCATGGCGGGCAGCTCGCACGGATCAAAGTACAGCTGGGCAAAGGCACACAGCTTGGTCAGGGTCTTGATGTTGCGTTTCAGGTTGGTCGAATGGACCAGGCCGGACTCGGTGGGCAGCACAAAGGACTTGAGCTCTTTGTACAATGGGTTCCAGTCGAGGACGAGGTCTTTGACGGGGCGAAGGTAATGCTTGCGTCTGTGACTGTCAGCTTCTCTCTTCTCTTCTCTTCTCTCAACATAAAACTCAACATGACTAATAACCTACTTTGTGAGCAGCATGAACATGCTGGCGAAGCGTTCCGCAACATTCGGATCGATGCCCGGAGCCAAAGCGAGCTCGTAGTAGAGACGGACGAGATTCGTACGGTCCCGGCGGTTGGGATCGAACTTGAGGGAGAGCCAGCCACGCAGCTCACGGGTCCAATGAGCCGCGCCGGGGCTAAAGTCGCCCGCCTCGACGGCGATGTACAGGTGTTTGAGGATCTCGCGGAGGCTTCCCTGGCGGTCGTGCTCCTGCTCGAGCGGATAGGGCAGATAGTCGAAGTACGGGTACGTCCGCGGGCGGACGCGGGCCTTCTGCTCGCTCTCGCCGTTCACCACGGCGGGCTCGCCGCCGGGCGAGGTCGCTCGCGAGAGCTCATGGCCGTGGTGGAAGTTCTCCGCCGTGGGGATGGCCTTGGGACCGGGGTGGTCCATCTTGGTGTTCTTGGTGACGCTGTGATTGCTGGAGGAGGAGTCCCGTCAGTCCAGCTGGTTCAACCACACAACGCACAGAAAGAAAACAAGCGAGAAAAGCGAGGGATGATGGACAGATACCGATAACAGACACGCCAGTCGATAGATGAAGATTAAAAAAGACGTACGAATGCTCAATCAAAGCTCTTGTCCGTGCTCGCATGAGCTCCGCAGCAGCGGCAATCAGCAGGCCTCGCAGGCGCCAGACACAGGCATCAGCTGCAGCAAAACATGCAACACGCCTCTCTCTCGCAAGCAAACACTCGGATCCTGACGCCAACTCGAGCAGTCGGGATGCTGGACAGCTGGTGATGGGGGAGGTGTTGGAGGTGGTGGTTGCTGGGCGAGAGTTGAGGTTGCGGGCGGTGGACCTTCAGCGGGTGGATGACATAATTCCACGTAACGAGAACCTTACGATTGCAGGTTTGGTAGAAAGTAGAAAGTATTTAATATGATAACATAAGGGAGAATCTAGAATATATAGAGGGAAAGTGAAGTGAAGTGAAGTGAAGTGGAAGTTTTTGTACGGGTTATATCTACATTGCCACCAGGCAGGCAGACGCATACGCAATACGATCAAGCTGGCGGGAGAAAAGAGCCGTACAGCCCGGCCTGGACCAGCGCGTAGACGGTTATCAGTCGGATGGTCGGCGTGGCCCCGCGACGGCCGTGGACTGCCTGGTGGGCGAGATACCAGTACCAGACGGGGTACCCGGACGAAATACGGTTGATGGTCTGGACGTGGTAGCTTGTCAGGGCCAGCAGGGCCAGCAGGCCCTGCGGGATAGCCAGCTGGGCAAGTAGCCAAGGCTGGCGGCGAGAGATGGGAGAGGAAGTCGACACTCCCCACCGGGCCGACAGGGCGAGGATGACCAGCATGGGGGTCGCGAGCAGAAACAGAGGAATGTTGGAAACGGTCCAGTACCGGAGGAAGCCGACGTTCCTTTTCTACGTTAGATGTGATGACTACAAGTTGAAAGGAAGCTTGCCTTCTTCGACTCACCAATACTCTTCTTGAACCCAGGCGTAGATGCTCGGAAGGGCTTGTTGGCACCACGGACGGGGTGTGTCGGTGAGACAATAGTCGCGGTAGGCGAGCAGCTGGGGACCGACAAAGCCCAGGGCGACAAGACACCCTCCGATCACGATGAGCAGCAGCCGGGCCAGCGCCGCGACGGAGCAGCCATGAACGACGAGCGCGTGCAACTCGCGCACGGCGTCCGAGGCGAACAGGAAGCCACTGAGGATACCATTGCTGCGGACGGTGGTCGCCACGGCGAACAGGGCTGCGGCGCCCAACAGACGTCCGACTCGGCGGGGACCCGTCGAGGAGGAGTAGACGTAGTATCCGGCGAAGTTGAGCAGGGCAAAAAGGGGCTCGCCGTAGGGAGCGGAGAGAAAGGCACCGGCGGGGGTGATGATATGCAGGGCGGCTGCCAGCAGGCAGACGCGCTCTTTTGCAGGCGTGTCACGGCCTAGCACGGTGACCGACAGGCCGTACAGGACCAGGACAGAGAGGTAGTGAGAGAGATGCGAGAGAGCGACGCCCACGAGGGCAATTTCGGAGGGGGAATCGGACTGGAGGCCTATCCAGCTGTCAGTCAGTTGTCTTGCCATGCCACTGTAGACCCTTGCAGGGAAAATACCTGCCGAAAGCCATCCTAGCAGACGGGGATACCCAAACGCCCATTCCTGCTCGAAAACGTACCCCTGCTCGGCAATGTGAACAAAATAGACCGGGTCCCAACGCACCAGGTTCCGGAGGGAGCCGATTCCCGCCAGCAGGGTCGTCGAGGTGTCATATCCAGGCCCTGGACAGGCAGCGAGGACGAGCAGCAGCAGGAGCTTCCACAGAGCAAAAGCAACGGTCAAGCTGCGGAGGGGGCGGTGCCTCTGCAACAGGTTACCCATTGGGATAGTCAAAGGCACATTCTTGACTCTGACAGTGGAACTGGTGACCGTAGCCAACAGGTCCCAGGAGTTTTGTTTGGATGAGCTGATTGTTGTTTCCTGTCCATATGCTGACTAATTGCTGACTAATTACTGACTAGGTTGATGACTCAGTGCTTAGTAACGTGCTTACTAACACAGTCGTTGGTTGCTCCGTATTCCGTATCCGTATTTCGTATCCAGTCTCCGATCTCAGTTTAACAGCAGAAACGCAACAGGCTGACTTGTGTCTATACTGTAGTACTCTCTATACTACTCTCTCTCTACACTATGTAGTACTCTACACTATGTAGTACTTTCTATACTACTGACTCACGCCGCATCCGGCGGACACGGAAGACGGAGGCCGCGACGCCGAACGGAGCGGCATCTGCAAAGCCCGAGCACAAAAGCCGAGATTTTACGCTATGCTGTTTCTGTGAGCATAAACACTGTATGCAGCAGCACATAATACATAACCAGTACATAACTATCCAGGCATAAAACCTCCCTCTCAGCCCTACCGTGATTATTATGAACAGCGACAGAGACATAGAGAAAACTGGCATTTATGAGTAAAGTAGTTAGGAAATCAATTGGTCAAACAAATCAGATATTTTTTTCTTGCCACCAACTAATCATGACGCAGCATAGAAATACGTAATACAATGTAGAGATAGAGTTGTAACTATTTATATGATGACAAGGTACGTCTTACTATACAGTTACTACTGTTTCTGCTACCTTCAGGTTCATTATTATTATTTAGTGTCGGTGTAGCCATAAGAGAGAAAAAAAAAAAAAAAAATAGGAAAAAAAAAAGAATCTTTCAGCCTGATCCGTTCAGCTTCCAAACCTCCTCCCTTTCAACTCCCTCCTTCAAGGGGCTGGCATCCCAGACAACCCGGTGGTAAGCAGACCCAGAGAATGGATCAGAATAATACGAAGCCACTAATCATGCCGATCGATCGTCGTCCAGCTTGTCAGCTTGTCAACTCGTCAACTCGTCAGCTTGTCAGCTCGTCAGTTGAAACGACTCACCTACCTTGTTGGTACTAGGTGCTGCTGCTATACGGAGTACGTCGTACGTCGTACGAAAGCGACACTGGAGCTGCTTGCGTCGCCCCCACTGCTGGAGACTGGAGTCCATCTGCCGAGAAATAAAGCATGCCAATGGGAAGAAAGGAAGGAAATAAGATTCCCTTCGGTCTCGGTCTTTAAAACATCTCCTTCGGCCGCCCTGTTGTGTCCCGCCTGCGTGCCAGGCTGACTGTCCCTTACTTGTATGCCCCTCCATACTCTAGGTGCTCGATTATTATTGAGGGAAGGCTTACGGAGGATAACTGGGCCAGGCAGATTTCTTCGTCTCACTGCTACTTTCTTGTCTCACGCTCTTTTGCTGCTGAATGTGCTGGCACACCAGTATCCATTTCATACCACACTCGACACTTCTACTCGACACTTCTACATATACTCTACCATGAGTAAATAGGCATGCTGTTCAATCTTGGTTTGACTGTGGACGCCGCAGCCCACCACCCCTCCACGCCCGAAGCGACGACCTCCTCGTCCAAGCTGGCGTTCGCTCGCCTCCCCTCGATCGGTCTGGGGGCTCTCTGGAGCAAGCACCAGACCCAGCAGACATCACAGACCGTCCGTGACGACCACGAGAACAACTGCGATGGCGGAAACAATCCAGAGGAAGGGAGTTCTTCAAGCTCAGGGGGATCAGGAACGCCTGGCGGCGCAGGCACATGCACGATCGCCCTCGACACCCCGCGCAAGCCCTCGGTGGCCAGGTCCAAGGTCTCGTACCAGCTGGCGCACCCGGCGAGCAATGCGCGCCATAAGCGGTTGCGCATGCGGCCCCGACTGTTGCTGCAGGTCCAGCAGCTGTCCAACACCTCGCGCCCCATCCCCATCATCGACGTGCTGCCCTCGAGCGTGTTTCTACCACGTCTGGCCCGCAAGTTCCCTGCCATCTTCCGGGGGAAGAACAGACTGGGTCCCAACGACTTGATCCTGGTCACCAGCGAGCTGTACGACCGGTCGGAACAGTCGGGTTCGGAAGAGGAGTACAATAATATTACTACTACAAGCAATGACCGCGACGTCGTCGCAACCATCTGCCAGCTGGATGCCCGCGCTCGCGGCAAGGCGGAGATCTGTCTCAACCACGGACCCGTCTGGGAGGCTACACCCTTGGCCACCGGTTCGTACGAGTTTGTCGCCCAGACCAGCAGCGGCGTGCAGACCATCCGTTGGGTTCTGCGCCCGGGGAGCAAGCGTAGCAGCCGTAACACACCAACTCTTAACAGCTTGAATAACAACAACAACAACAACAACAACAATAACAATAACAGCAATAACAATAACAATAGCAGTGTGTCTTCCGACGACGGCAAACGCTTCACTTTCAGCGTGATCGACCCCAACTCGCGCCGCCACCCGGTCATCGCCTCGATGACCCGCAACCATCTGGACGTGTACGACCGGTACTCTCTCCCCTCTGCTGCATCTAATGTGCCGCTCTCGCCCAGCTCGGCCATGTCGGTGATCAGCGACGCCTCGGATCTCGAGGCCGTCCCGATCGGCACAGACGACGACCTGCGCGCCCTGATTCTCGTTACGGGGATCTGGGTTGCTTTCCGCGAGGGTTGGTCAAATACGTTTTCCTATGACGATTCCTCCTCGAAACTCTGTCCTCGAGAGAGGGGGAGTAGCATAAGTACCAGCATCGGCATGGGTACGACGAGTACACCAGATGCTCAGACCGAACCCACCAGTCCAACAAACCGCTACTCAACCCCCAGTATCAGTCGACGCACCACTCTCTCCGAAAACACAAGCAAACCCAACCCGTTTGGCAGCCTGTCGCGCCGGTCGAACTCGACGGGCGCCTTCCGCGGCGAGAACTCCAACGCCGCAGCCCTGAATCGGCACAGCATGTTTGAATCCACGGCGCAGTCTCCCTTCAAAGTCGGAGGGAGTACCCGTTCCCGCCACCGTGTCGAAGACATGTATACCGTGGTAGAACCTTCTGACGCTCTAGAAGAGCAGCAGGAGCAGCAGCAGGAGCAGGAGCAGCAGCAGGGATTCCCAGAGCAGGGAGAAGAGAAAAAACTCTCGCGGTCGAAGAGCAGGAGGCGGCGCCTCGGGGGGATTTTTGATTTTTTAACGCGTCGAGCTCGTTGACTACGATATGATCACTCTACTCTACTTGCCTTCTTCATCCAGAACAGGAATATTAACTGTAGTTACTATGTATATGTATATGTACTTTGACCGTACGACCGGCAAACCCTCGGACCCGAAGAGGCTAGTTTCGGCCGAACGGTGGACACATGGACAGATTGATTTAATCCCTCTCTATTCTCTATTCTCTATTCATTTTTTCTATTCTCTATTCTCTTTCTATTCTTCTCTATTCCTTCTCTATTCCTTCTCTATTCTTCTTCTCTAACTATGTAGTATTCTGCTACTGTTACTGTCTGTGTGTTGCTCATGATATATACTGAGATTGACTAACTGACGACTAACAAATATTCACAACTCCTCGACTCCTCGCTCTCGCTCTCGCTCTAGCTCTCGCTCTAGCTCTCGCTCAAAAAATCAAGAAAAACTACGGTTCCAGCTTGAAACTGGTAAGCCGGGCCCTGATGGCGTCGCCGCTCTCTCCGGTCTCGAGTTCGTGCAGCATGCCGCTGGCGACATTAAAGATGAGTCCGTGAACCTGCAGCCCCCGCTCCTCCATGGCTTCCAGCACGACGCTCTTCTCCTTGAGGGTACGCACGCCGTCGCGCACATTGAGTTCGGTCAGGGTCAAGGCCGGGTCGGCAGCTGTCTGCAGGGAGGCGAGGTTCTGTTCGCGCAGCCTCCGCACAGGGAGCAGCCAGGGGTCGAGAATGCCCAGCTGTTTCTTGCCCAAGGCGGCGGCGATCCCTCCACAACATGTATGCCCGCAGACGACGACGTGGTTGACGCGCAGATGACGCACGGCGTACTCGATCACCGCCGACGAGCTGAGGTCGCCCGGGTGCAGCACGTTGGCGATGTTGCGGTGCACAAACACGTCCCCCGGTTTGAGTCCCAACAGGGTGGTCTCGGGGCATCGCGAGTCGGAGCATCCGATCCACAGGATCTCCGGCTGCTGGCCCGTCGCTAGGGTGGTGAATAACTCGGGCTGTTCTTGTTGCGTGCGTGTCGCCCACGCCTTGTTCTGCGCCAGGGCGGACGTGAATCGGTCGGCAACGGCGGCGGCGGCGGAAGATGACGAACCTCCAGAGCTCGAGTCAGTCGGGGCATGCGTGGCAAAGCAGGAGTGCGAGTGTGAGTGCGAAGGTGAGGAAGGTACACGGGGGGATTGACTCGTCAGTCGAGAGTGCTGTCGACATGTCTGTCCATTCCATCCGTCTCCAGAGACGTGCCATCCACAATTCACCCTCCTCCAGGTTGGTCTCGCCAACCTGGCGAGATTGATCGTGACTGTCATTTGGAAGTGGGAGTGACTCAACAGTCCAGCACTCGTCGCAGTACTCGTCACAGCACTCTACAACTGGAAAAGGAAAAAGAAGAAAGGAAAAAGAAGCAAAAAGGAAGAACCCCGGTTTCAAGAAGAGATCAATTGACTCTGTCGAACAGTCTCCAGGTGCACTCTGAATAATGATACTCTCTGAATAACGGAATTTCAAGCAGAGAAAAACAGGAAAAAAGTGCCAGCGGAGCCGAAAGAACAAAAAGGAAAAAGCATCACACAACATACCTGAAGTCACCATTTCAATTTGATAATTATGAGTATATTCTAGTACTGATGACTGATTTAAATGAGGTATATGAGATGGTGATAGTAACTAATAGCGGTGGTGGTGGTGGTGGTGGTGTCAATGTGTCAATAGGGGAAAAGTACAATAGAAGCTATATATACTATTCCATGGGCCTTCTCTCCTTTTATCCTCGGTCAAAGATTCAGCTCCGGGGCAGCCGGAAACTAATAATAGGGGACAGCTGGAATGAGAGATTATCTGGAGGTGAAGAAGAGAAGATCGTCTGATAGAGAATACGGAGAAGGTCGGACTGTCTCCTGACCGAATGGGTTGATATGTAGGTAGTAGTAGTATGGTTAATTACTCTGGAACGACTTGGACAAAGGAGATAAGTCACTTTTTGAATAGGTAGTAGTTCAAGCCCGAAACGCTGTCAAATCGCCGAATCGTCCAATCGTCGTATTCGCGTCGAATCCCAGCTCTCAGGAAGACCCTCCCCGGCCGCCGACATTGGCCAGCGCCTTCTTCTGGTCCTCCGTCAGCTGCGTCGGCGGCAGGGGGCGACTCGCGCTCGTCACTGCCGTCGGCGCAGGCAGGAACCCTGTCGCCGTCAGATACGAGCAGTACAGGCCGACGAGCTCCTCCGTCACCCCCGCGCCCGCCGAGGCGTCGAGGCCTGTCCAGGCGGCGTCGTCGCGCAGGGCGGCCGCGGCGTTGGTGTCGTCCAGTTCGGGGGCCTTGGTGTTGGAGGGGAGATCGGCCGTGACAAAGTGGTAGAGGGGCATCCTAAGCAATGAGCAAGAAATACAGAGAAAAGGTCTCTATACAGAAACTTACAATGCATGTTGGGATTCCTTGTCGTTGTGCTCGCCGTCATTGACGTACTGCTCCAACAGTCGCGCCCAGGGCACATAGTCCACCTGCGGGACATCGTAGCCATACGTCTGCAACGCCCCCAGGAACTGGTTGAACCGCAGCCGGGGGTGTCCTGTCACTTGGGCCACTCCGATCGGCGTGCAGGGAGGATGGAAGGCGCTGGCAATGATGACACGCGCCACATGGTCCACGGGCACCATGTTGACCGTGTTGTGGATGTTCGGGCGGGCATTCAGCTGGATGCAACCCTTGATCATCCGGATCAAAAAGTCGTCGGTATTGGTGGCTAGATAAGTTAGAAAATACACACACACAGAGAGAGAGAGAGAGCTTACTGCCGGTTCGCGAGTCACCCAGAACGTAGCCAGGACGGATGACGGTACCCTTCAGGCCTCGGCGACCTGCTTCTTTGACCAGATATTCGCCTGCCCACTTGCTCTGACCGTATCCCGTCCCCAGCCCGACACTGCTGCCTTCCAGATCGTCGGACTCGCTGAGTCCTGCGCCGCCTTCGTGTACAATCCGCTCCGACAGCTCCACATAGTGGTCGTTGTCCAGCGTGCTGGTCGAGCTGACAAAGGCAAACTGCTTGGCCTTGCCCGTCGCACACAGCCGCAGCGCATCCATCGTGCCCAGCACGTTGGCTGGCTTGAGGGTCGAGTACGGGTACACCCAATGCACCAGGGCGCCGTTGTGAATCACCGCATCCACCCGCTCCGTCAGATCATCCCAGACTGCTTCTGATAAACCGAATCGCGGCTCGCCCAGATTGCCGCACACACACTGCAGTCGCTGGCTCCAGGATTCCTCCCAGAAGCCGTACGCCTTGCAGGTGGACCGGATCCGCTCCAGCGCCTGCTCCTCGGTCTTGCCGCGCACCAGAGCCACCACCCGTACAGAGGGCGACTGGCGGCTCAGAAGGTCGCGCAGGATGTGTGCGCCCAGGAAACCAGTGCCGCCCGTGAGGAACACGGTCGGCTCACCCGCAAGAATGGGGTCTGTACGGACGGGGAAGGAGGCGGGGAGCTCGTTCGCCAGCCGGCGCGCGTCCTTGGAATACTCGTCGTCGGGCTCGCTGGCCGCTGCTGCTGCGTCCGCAGCGGCGTTGGCATCGCTGCCGGTCATGAACGAGTCCACATCGACCAGTCGGTCGATCTCGGCGGCGAATCCCTTGAGCGTCGGACTGCGGAAGATGGCGTTCATGCTGATGTCGATCCCGCGCCACTTGCGTCGCAGATCAAAGAACATCTGCTGCGCAAGAATACTGTGCCCGCCAAGGTCGAAGAACGAATCCTCCGGGCCGATCATGCGCGCCGTCACGTTGGGGATCAGCTTGGCCCAGATCTGCGCCAAAGCCTGCTCCGTCTCCGACAACTGCTGCATGACCGAGGAGCGGCGGCGAGGAGCGGCGGCACTCAGTTCCTCGGTATCCGGGAACGGCAGGGCAGGCTTGTCGATCTTGCCATTGGGGTTGAGAGGCATGCGCTTCAGGGGGATAAACACGGTCGGGACCGCATACGCCGGCAACTTGCCTCGGAGATGCTCGCGGGCATCGTCACGAAGAGGCCGGAAGCGACGCAGCAGACCGACCATCCCCTCGGCAGAGTCATCGTCCTTGAGACCCTTGTCCGCCAACCACGACGCCCACTTGCTCATGTCGGGGACAAAGTAGCTGACCAGCGTCGGCTCTTCGAACTTGTCTCGTCGGACGAGAGTCACGTTCTCTCTCACCAGCGGGTGACGAGAGAGGTGGGTATCGATCTCACCCAGTTCAATCCGGAACCCGCGAATCTTGACCTGGTCATCAGCCCGACCGGAGCACTCGACATCACCAGAGGGAGTGTATCGGCCCAGATCTCCACTGCGGTACAGACGGTCTCGGGGTCCGACATAGAACTCCCGCCAGGGTTCATTTGTGGCAGCCGCCTTGTCCTGCGCACGCCACTGCTCCGGGTCCACAAACCAGTTGGTCAGGAACTTCTTCTCGTTCAGCTCGGGAGAACCCAAGTAGCCCTCTGCCAGACCACCGGCGCGGACATAGATCTCACCGACTTCGCCAATGGCGCAGACGCGGCGGGGATCGAACCGGTTCACGACCAGCAGCTGCACGTCAACCATTCCTCGACCAGCGGGGATGACGTCCTTCATGGTGTCCAGATAGCCCTCCTGGCTGGAGTAACTGGGGATTTCGTAGTAGCTGACTGCACGTTGTGTTTCCGTCGTACCATACATGTTGACAATGTTGACGTTTGGTGCGAGAGTCTGCAGCGAACGGCAGTCACGCTTGATGAGGATATCACCGACGAAGAACGCGTGATGGAGAGATGGGAACTGCGCAGAGGCACCGCCGACCAGAATCTGTCCCATGGCCGGAGTCAGATGGGTGACGGTGGCGCCGTACCGCTGCATCCACTCGGCCAGCTTCTCGTTCTGGATGTCTTCGCGCGCGGGTACCAGGAGCTGCGCACCCAGGAACAGGGGAGTGAAGATGTCTCGTTGAATGGGGTCATGGGCAATCCCACTCAACATGGTGAACTTATCGTCAGGTGTGAGCTTGAAAGTCTGGGACATCCACGGGAAGTAGTAAGCCAGAGAGAAATGACGGCCACGGACACCCTTCGGCCGACCTTCAGAACCGGACGTGAACGAAAGGGTTGGTGTCGAGTCGGGGCCGACAACCACACCGACAGGCTTGGCCTTGAGCGCTACCTGGGGCGCCAGCACATCCTGGCCATTGACCAAACCGCCCTCTAGACTGCCATCATTGCGAAGGGCCAGAGCCGGGATCTCCGTGCGGAGCTCCAAATTCTCGTTGATGAAGGCCCGAACTTTCTCCGAGAGCTCGCCGGCATCCCGAGTAGCCTTCTCAATGTTGATCAAAGCCCGCGGGCGAGCGACATCAAGATAGATGTTCTGTCTTTCAGGAGGATAGGCAGGGTCAATGACCGAGAAGGTTGCACCAGCCTTCAAGATACCCATCACAGCCACGACTAGATCCACGCCGCGGTACGCATAGACCATAACGACCTCTCCTCTTTCAATACCCGACTGCACCAGGTGATGGGCCAGAATGTTGGACGCCTCATTGATCTGTCTGTATGTGAATTGACGAAGGGGGGAACTGCTCGACTTGGTCTCCACAACGCACAGCTTGTCCGGGTGCTTCTCAGCGTTCCGAGCAAAGATATCGTGGATTGCTCCACGGTACTGCGACCAGTTCAGATCCGCTGTAGGATCCGGGAGAATGTTCTTCTCCTCCTCGGTCACAAAATCGATCCTTCCAATGGCCTCGTTCGGGTTGGCAGCCGCGTTCAAGACAACCTGCGCCAGCTGCTTGAGAATCGTCGCAATCCGAGAGCTCGAGAACAGCCGCTGGTTGTAGTATGCCCCGAGTTCAAGCTCGGAGCCTGCCGACGGAGCCACATTGATGACCAAATCGGTGGTCTCGAAGGTATTCGCCGGGTACTCCTGCGACGAGGCGGGGGCATCGTAGGCAGCAAATCGGAAAAGCGTAGGAGGCCGTTCGGACTTGGACTTGTCCTGAATATACGATCGGAGGCTTCCCAGGGGCACAATCTCGGCAGATCCTTCTTTGAAGACCTATCAAGAACACGGACATGGATTAGTTCAGAGAGAAAGAAGACCATTGAATGAGTCACACGAGGGAGGGGTTGTGGTGGTAACCACTCTCCCAACGACGAATGCCATACCTTCTCGACCTTCTCCAGAAGCTGAAGGAAGGTCTCAGCCGGGTCAATCGCCACTCTCACGACAAAGGGGCGTCCGTCGTCTCCAGCGCTCGTTCCCACGGCGATGTCCTCGTCTCCCGTCAACCGGGCCGCCAGGACGACAAACGCCGTCAAAAACACCGTGAACGAAGACGCCGAAGCTCTCGGGACGCTCTCCAGAGCCAATTGACAGTCCTTGGGGAGCTTGAGGGACTCGAATGCCTCGATGACCCTCGTCGCCAGCTCCGGCTTGTGGTTATCCGGGTAGTCACGAGTGAGGGGCGAGACGGTGAGGTTCTGCAGTCGTTGAGCCCATCGCTCCAGGCGCTCCTGGAGGGAGACGGATTCCACACCCATGATTGCACAAGCAGGCTTGATCAGCGCTGCAAAGGATCCACGGGCGATGGGAGACTATTAAAGACAGCAGCGGCAATCCAGTAGAAAAGAATCATATCCGATGACTCAAGACCGAACCGTAGTAGGAGGGGCAGCCAGTCCGATTTCGCAGGCGGCCTGTTTTGTGCGATACGGCTCGATACGGCTCGATACGCCCCGGATACCGTATTACCAGACGGTAAAATACTCCGTACAGTACGGGGCTATTCCGCCTTGGTGCTAGACCCACATCTGGGCACCGCCACACATGGCATGGGGAGGTGCTTGGACTTTCGGAGCGAGACAAGGAAAGCTGTTGCTATTGTTACCTAGTTGGCTGGGTATTATTGCTGCGAGAGAGGTTTCGACTTCTCTATCTCCATGGCCAGAGGGGCCCTTGATTCAATCCAGTCATTCTTTTATCCGACGGTGGTGCGTTGAACGATCGCCGATCAGGACTTTGTGTATTTCTTTTCCCTCATTCTACTCTAACCCCTTAGTGACTGAACACGACCCCTGTGTTGGAGCAGCCATGATGGTTCCTCATCGAAGCGGAACACTGCTCGCGATCATCATCTTCGTCGGCTTACTGCTCTTTATCTTCTCGAGTCCTCCCTCGACAGATCCTGCGACAGGAGAACCGGTCTCCGGGCCCGCCAAATACGTTCCCCGACCGCAGCTGCCGTCGTGGGGAGGCATTCACTTCCCCTTCCAACCCAGCGCCCACGTACGGCCCAAGGAGCAGAAGAACAGTACGAGCGGGGAGTCGAAATGGTACAGCGACTGGACATGGCTCTATCCGTTCTCCTCGTCGATTACGCTGGACGAGAACCGCTCCGTGCTGCCGCCGCTGGCAGATCGCCCCGTTGTATATACCTACTACGAGCCGAACAAGGGGAATGGTGAGAACGAGGATGCCGACGCCAGGATGCTTCTGGCGTGGCGTCGGGCCTGGTATGCCAAGGGATTTCGTCCGGTTATTCTGAGCCATGCCGAGGCCATGGACAACCAGCTGTACGAGGCGGTCCAGAGGATCAAACAGGACCCGACGAAAAAGTTCAGCCCCGAGCTGGAATCGGACTTTTTCAGGTGGCTGGCTTGGGGACAGATGGGCACCGGCTTGCTCGCGGACTGGCGCTGCTTTCCCATGGCGAAATACGACGATGAGCTGCTGTCTTATCTGCGCCGGGGGGCTGTTCCGACTCACATCACCCGGTTTGATCATCTCGGGAACGGATTGTTCGCCGGAGAGAGCAACGAGATCAACGAGGCCATAAAGGAGGCCATCCGGCAGGTGGACGAACATTCTAATTCGATGCTTGAGTTGATCCCCGCCGAGCACTTCAAGACCGAGAAGTCGACTTCTCTGGCCTTCTATAGCCCCTCGATGATCACAAATCAGTATCCCATGCTGGCCGAGAAGATTGTTTCGTCGCCCTCCGAGGGCAAACGAGCTCTCGTCGATATGGTCAACTCCCACCTCCATAACACGTTTCAAAACAGCTTCCCGGCAGGCATTGCGGTCCTGAAACCCTTCCCCGAGAAAACCACAGCGCTTATCGAACCGTCGCTACGACTTGCAAAGGCCCTGGTCCGGTGTGCAGAATCGGCAGACTTGTCCACCTGCCCTCCGAACATCCCGGCCTGCCACGTCTGCAGCCCAAGCAACCCTGTGCGCATCAGCCAGCCTGCGCAGTACAAAAACACGACCCATGTTTTCACTATCGGCACTCTCCCTCACCCGTATACCCTTCTCAGTCTGCAACAGAACTCGGAGGAAGTCACCACTCGCCACATCCGTCGAGAGACGGCACGGGACCCCTGGCTGACCGAGGTGACGAAAGAACTTCTGGGCGATGAGATGGGAGGATTTTCGCGATCCTCGGTCTTGAAGAACGCGGTCGCAGGTGAAATGGCCATCGGTAACTCGGTCTGGCTGACCGTCGAGTCCTTGCCGTCCAAGGCCGGCGAGTCCCTTCCTCCTGACAGCTTGGATGAATTAGAGTGGCAGTTGGGATTCAAGATTCCACGCGACGACCAGACAGATGCCAAGAAGGAAGAAGAAGCGCGCAAGAGCGTCACAGACCCCAACCCGAGCAAAGCAGGTATCGAGAGAGAGTATGAGCTTCTCGACAAGGCCCGGGAAGTCATGAAGACCAAAGATGTCAACAGAATCGGCATCAAGGATGTAGCAGAGGCATGGAACCTAGCTGATACGGAGGTGTGGCGTTTCGTTAGGGCATACCGGTTTGTTCCACCCCCCTTTCTCTATCTATAGTCTCAGTCTTGCACCCTGCTAACTCAAGTCTCTCGCAAAAACACAGAGCCCGGAGCATCGTTGAACGAAAGAAATGGGAGGAGGAAGAAAAGTATTTCGCTGGTCCCAAGCTTGCAGTGTAGGCGGCTAGCATCGCCATTCTGTGCAATATGACGCGCATCTTTTCTTCTTCTATTGTATTTCTTGCATTCTTTTCGCCTCTCTGTTTTCCTTTTCTCTCATTCCTTTTTTATTCTGGGCTTTTGGGTCTGCTTGTCCGGGTTCTTATGGTTTAGAAGCAAGCATCAGACTGGCGTTGCCTTTTTTCTTTGCTTTTCTTTCCTTTTCCTTTTTCTTTTTGGGATAGAAATACAATATTCTGGACTACCAAGGTGCTATTTATCCATTGGAACCTCTTCAAAAGCATTCTTTCTTCTGCTGCTGACGAAAGAGTTTCTGTGGTTCGTCAGCCAAAGCCATCGGACAGTGGCGATCCCCGCAAGCGATAACAATAGGTGGGGGTTGCCTCCCTGATAAGCCTGGAGCATTCCAAGAACCAGCTACAAATAACACAAGGCCCTGCGAGTTTCCAACGCCATGGAGGCTTGAATACTGATTCTTAGAGCTTGCTTCGATTCTAAACCAGTGTTAGGGTTGGTTATTTTCCTGATCAACCAAGCCATTCGGACGCCTGTGTCACTCTTCATGGGCTGGTGGCTGATCTCGCCTCTCGCCGCCTTTTGACCTTCGATTCTGGTACCAGCTAAAGAGACAAGACACCAGCAGACGAGCAGTCGGTATGGCTCCAGGGATCGTCGCAGAGCTGCCGGTGCTGTCAGAGCTAGTGCCCGGGGCTTCCTCGTTGGCACAGCTTACGGAGGAATGGGACGACACCGTTCGTTTCTATCTGAACGGCACCAAAGTCATAGTCGACTCTGTTGACCCGGAAGTCACGCTTCTAGAGTATTTGAGGGGGATAGGTTTGACGGGGACGAAGCTTGGATGCGCAGAGGGAGGGTGCGGGGCATGCACGGTGGTAGGTTCTGCCTCTTGTTCTCTTCTTTGAAGGATTATTCCTCTGATTGAGCTTTTTCTTCTAGGTGGTCTCCCATATGAACCCGACGACAAGAAAGCTATACCACGCATCGGTGAACGCCTGTCTCGCGCCTCTCGTCAGTGTCGATGGGAAACATGTTATCACGGTGGAAGGGATCGGGGACGTGAAGAACCCACACGCTGTACAGCAGAGGATTGCTGTCGGGAATGGGAGCCAGTGCGGGTTCTGCACACCGGGCATCGTGATGGTTGGTCTCCTCAGTTACCGGTGGATTTGGGAAGAGATTAGGTATATGCTGACTTTCTACTTTCTCATTCAAAAAAGAGTCTCTACGCCCTTTTACGAAATACCCCGAATCCCTCGGAACATGAAGTGGAGGAGGCATTCGACGGCAATCTTTGTCGATGTACTGGATACCGGCCGATTCTTGACGCAGCCCACAGCTTTAGCGCTCGCAGCAATTGTGGAAACGCTGTGGCGAATGGAGGGTCCGGATGCTGTATGGAGAAACAGAACGGTGTTGGTGGCGGCTGTTGCAAGTCATCATCCTCTGCCGTCGATGGTGAGAACGATGTGGCTGTTAGATTCCCTGCGCCCAAGTTCATTCAATACGATCCAAGCACCGAGTTGATCTTTCCTCCAACACTAACCAAGCACGCCTTTCGTCCCTTGGTGTTTGGGAACAAGCGGAAGAAGTGGTATCGCCCGGTGACTCTTGAGCAGCTCCTGCAGATCAAGAGCGTCAACCCTTCCGCGAAACTCATCGGAGGCAGCACCGAAACTCAGATTGAAGTCAAGTTCAAGGCTATGCGGTACGAGGCCTCGGTGTACGTTGGAGATATTCCGGAACTGCGCCAATTCTCGTTGCACGATGATTATCTAGAGCTGGGCGCCAATGTCTCCTTGACTGACTTGGAGTCCATCTGTGATCAGGCGTTAGAGAGATATGGACCGGTCAAAGGTCAACCTTTTACCTCGATCAAGAAGCAATTGCGCTACTTTGCCGGAAGGCAGATTCGCAACGTTGCTTCACCTGCTGGCAATCTGGCCACGGCATCTCCGATCTCCGATCTCAACCCTGTATTCATGGCGACAAATACCATTCTCATCGCCAAGTCTCTCCAGCAGGAGATTGAAATTCCCGTCACTCAATTCTTCAAGGGTTACAGGACTACTGCGCTTCCTCCAGATGCGATCATTGCCAGCCTCCGCATTCCAGTTGCTCAAGAGCATGGTGAATACATCAGGGCTTATAAACAATCGAAACGCAAGGACGACGATATCGCCATTGTCAATGCTGCGTTACGCGTGTCACTGTCACTTTCAAACGAAGTCAAAAGCACCAATCTTGTATTCGGTGGAATGGCACCGATGACCGTGGCGGCTAAGAATGCAGAGGCCTACCTTGTTGGGAAGAAGTTCACTAGTCCCGCGACCCTGGAGGGTGTTATGCAGGAGCTTGAACGCGATTTTGATCTCAAATTCGGTGTTCCCGGAGGGATGGCGACATATCGCAAGTCTCTTGCAATGGGGTTCTTTTATCGTTTCTACCACGATGTCTTGTCCAAGTTGGAAGTCAAGTCGACAGATATTGACCAGGACGTGATTGATGAGATCGAGCGTTCTATATCGACTGGACAGAAGGATCATGAAGCATCAGCGGCTTACCAGCAACGCATTGTCGGGCAGGCAACACCCCATGTCTCGGCTCTGAAGCAAGCAACGGGAGAAGCGCAATACACAGATGACATCCCTCTTCAACAGAACGAGCTTTATGGATGTCTGGTCCTCTCTACCAAGGCTCACGCCAAGATCCTCGGTGTTGACGCATCCGCTGCTTTGGATTTGCCCGGCGTTGTTGACTACGTCGATCATACCGATCTCCCAAACCCTGAGGCCAATTGGTGGGGTGCACCCAAGTGCGACGAGCAGTTCTTTGCAGTGGAAAAGGTAAATACTGCCGGACAGCCCATCGGAATGATTCTTGCAAAGACAGCCAAAGCTGCCGAGGATGCTGCAAGGGCCGTCAAAGTTGAATACGAAGAATTACCAGCCATCCTCACCATCGAGGAGGCCATTGATGCGGAGTCCTATTTTGAGCACTACCGCTTCATCAAGGATGGTAATACTGTGGCTGCCTTTGAGAAAGCCGACCATATCTTCACTGGGGTCTCTAGAATGGGTGGGCAGGAGCACTTCTATCTAGAGACGCAGGCTTGTGTCGCAGTTCCCAAGCCGGAGGATGGAGAGATGGAAATTTGGAGTGGTACCCAGAATCCTACCGAAACGTGAGTGTGGAAACCATACCAGTGTACATACATCTACCAGGAGCTGACGCTTTTTAGGCAAACATATGTCGCTCAGGTCACCGGCGTTGCGGCGAATAAAATTGTCTCCCGCGTGAAGCGCCTCGGTGGTGGATTCGGAGGTAAGGAGACGAGATCTGTGCAGCTGGCTGGGATCTGTGCCGTTGCAGCGCGCAAAGCAAAACGACCTGTTCGATGCATGCTCAATCGGGATGAGGACATCGTGACCTCGGGCCAGCGACACCCTTTCCTGTGTCGGTGGAAGGTCGGCGTGAGTAAAGAGGGCAAGCTTCTTGCTCTCGATGCCGATATTTTCGCAAATGGCGGCCATACACAGGACCTGTCGGGTGCTGTCGTCGAGAGATCGCTCTCCCACGTGGACGGCGTCTACAAGATCCCCAACGTCCATGTCCGCGGGCGCGTTTGCAAAACCAACACGGTCTCGAATACCGCGTTCCGTGGCTTTGGAGGTCCCCAGGGGCTATTCTTCGCCGAGAGCTTCATCTCGGAGATCGCAGACCACCTTGATATTCCCGCGGAGGACTTGCGCGCGCTGAACATGTATAAACCGGGCGAAACAACCCACTTCAACCAGGAGCTTAAGGACTGGTACGTCCCTCTGATGTACAAGCAAGTACTGGAAGAAAGCTCCTACCAGGAACGTCGCCAAGCCGTGGAGGAATATAACAGCCGACACAAATGGTCGAAGCGTGGAATGGCCATCGTTCCGACCAAATTCGGCATTTCCTTTACCGCACTGTTCCTCAACCAGGCCGGAGCACTGGTTCATATTTACCACGATGGGAGCGTGCTGGTAGCCCACGGGGGTGTTGAGATGGGCCAGGGCCTGCATACCAAGATGACCATGATCGCCGCCCAGGCGTTACAAATCCCTCAGTCGGACGTGTTCATCTCCGAGACCGCCACCAACACCGTGGCCAACACGTCCGCCACGGCGGCGTCGGCAAGCTCCGATCTCAACGGGTATGCCATCTTCAATGCGTGTGAGCAGCTCAACGCGCGCCTCGCGCCGTACCGCGAGAAGATGCCCGACGCCAACATGAAGCAGCTGGCGCACGCCGCGTACTTTGACCGGGTGAACCTCTCCGCGCAGGGCTACTACCGCACCCCAGACATCGGCTACGTCTGGGGCGAGAACAAGGGCCAGATGTTCTTCTACTTCACGCAGGGCGTCACTGCGGCCGAGGTGCAGATCGACACCCTGACGGGTGACTGGACCCCGCTGCGCGCCGACATCAAGATGGACGTCGGCCGCAGCATCAACCCGGCGGTCGACTACGGCCAGATCGAGGGTGCCTTCGTGCAGGGCCAGGGTCTCTTCACAACCGAGGAGAGCCTGTGGCACCGCGCCTCGGGCCAGATCTTCACCAAGGGGCCGGGCAACTACAAGATCCCGGGCTTCAGAGATATCCCGCAGGTCTTCAACGTCAGCCTGCTCAAGGATGTCGAGTGGGAGAATCTACGCACCATCCAGCGCTCACGGGGCGTCGGCGAGCCACCTCTCTTCATGGGCAGCGCGGTTTTCTTTGCCATCCGTGATGCGCTCAAGGCCGCCCGCAAGCAATGGGGGGTCCACGATGTATTACGCCTTGTCAGTCCCGCCACCCCGGAGCGCATCCGTGTCAGCTGTGCAGATCCTATCATCGAGAGGGCAAGGGTTACTCCCCAAGAGGGGGAGAAGAGCTTCTTCGTCGCCATTTAAGTTTTACCTTTTGTGTATAGTATATAATGACATGATTCTCGATATCTTGATGATTTCGGTTTTTTATCAGAATACGATGGCTATAATTGACAAAATTTTCAACTACTAGTAGTAGTAGTAGTAGTATTGTGGATTAAAGACACTATGCAAAGTTCTAATACGCTAACACTGTTCCAATTGTATCACAATGCAATATTAGGAGAGGCCTCGAAAAGAAGGTGATGATGCTCAATCAGTGCTTTCCTGAATCATACTCGACATAACTACTTCCCCGTAGAGCCGACAGTCCGCCGTCAACCTTTAATGACCTCTGGCCTGCGAATCCGAGCTTCTCGTCCTGATACGTTTGTTCGTCGGACACTGCAGCCCCCGAGGGCCCAGATTGGGCCTTGGCGAACTCGTACCGAGGGGCAGGCTGAGACCGATCGTTCGAGAGAGTAGCAAGATGCACGTCGTCAAACGGGTTCTCGACGTCGGTGGCAACGTTGGTGCTATGATTGTGATTGTTGTGATGCGTCACGGAGGCAGGGAACGGCATCCCGCCTCCGTCGCCACGGTTTTTCTCACGGCCCCAGAAGAGTGTTAGTGCGCGGAGGATGCCGATGCACGCGATGAGGACCCAAATAAGGACTAAAACCATGGAGATCATGGTCTCAGTGCGAATCCCCTCTTTGATCTCGTCGACAACGCGGACGACCACTTCACTAATCTCGTTCGAAGTCGTGTCACCCGCGGTGGAAAGGAAGCTGTCAGAGGAGTTGCCGATGCTGGCAGCCGCGCCAAGAGAAAAGGTATTGTTCGGCAAGGTAGGGAAGTCTATTTTCGCGTGCTCATTGACCCAAGTGAGTGCTTTCTCGATGCCCTCGACCTTGAGGCCGACGACGCATTCAAAAACATCCAAGATGGCATCTTTGAGCACCGTGTTGCCGAAGGTCTCATTGAGCAAGCTGACGGTATCGTCGACAAAAGCATTGAGCGTGTCATTAAGCGCCAGCGTGCTGATATTTACCCAGCTGAAGAGGTCATCGTTTATATTGGTGTTCGTCTGCTCAATGACCGTATTGGCTTCCGTGGTCCATTCCGCCGAGGCGTTGTTCAGAGCGGCGACGACCTTATCGGCGAATGCTGTCACCTCCGCGGTCAGCTCAGGAACAGCCCTTTCGACACTTCGAAGCAGAATGTATTGACAGAGACAGGCGAATAGCCCTGCTACTCCAATTCCGAGCACGAACAAAGCCGGGATAGACGTCGCGTATGCAACCACCCAGCGGACGAGAATCTGTCTGCGACTGTTGCTGAAATGGCTGGCTGCTTTGATGCCGGCAGCGGCGGTATAAGGGCGAGAAACAATGTAGACCACATCCATGGGGTCGTGTGCTTCTTTGCGGACGAGTCGAGAGCGTTCCTTCATGTGTCGCCACCGACGAATCTCTTGCCAGGCTGATGGAATGCAGGCAAGTACTGCTGCGATGACGAGGACGATGATGAAAATCTTTCGAGCGAGAACAACCACGTCTCCAACCTCTTGAAAGAATTCGTCAATCCCGTCGTTGTCATTGCAAAACGTCAGCGCTTTCTTTGCAGGCACCGGGAGGGCCGAGCTGTCAAAGGAGTAGGTGCCCAGAGATGACTTGATCAGCTTCTTCACTTCCTCGAATGGCGTTTCGATCACGGTTTCTGTCAGATTCTTGACCTCTGCAAAGCTCGGAATGGAGCTGTTTAATTTTTCAAGATCATCGTCTATGGAGGAGGGTAGTGAGATATTTGTTAGTTTTTCGGTATACTTCGTCAAGTCTAGAGTGGGAATATCGATTCCAACTTTCGCGACGATAGTCTTGACTTCGTCCAAGGCATCCTCAAACGTCTCGGCGGCGCTGTTGATGTCATCCCCGATGGCAGAAATGGTGGAATTTATCACGCTCACGGCATCTTCCAGTAAATCCACTGCGACATCGACGGCGCCTCGCACAGCCAGCGTGATGAGACAGAGGTAGGTCTGGTACATGACTTTGAGGATGTAGATCACAATTTCTTCGACCCCGGTGACGGTCAGAGTGAGTACCGACTCGAACCCATCCACCACATCATCAATGCCTGACGCTACCAGTTCGTTGACGCCTGCAGCTAGGTAGTGAGGCATGGAAGCCATGGCACTGCCCATGGCTTCGACGGCTGTACATGCAGACAAGGCTTCGCGTTTGGCCGACGCCATCTCCGAATTTATACTCGTGGTAGCTAACAAAGCCCTGACCAGGACGAGTAGTATCAGGATAGTCCACCGGTTGACCCATACTTGCGAGAGACGAGCACGTAGGCCTAGGTAAGGTGTAATGTCATCTGGGTGGAGTGTCGTCGCGCGGCCTTGGTTGTTGGGATCGTGCGCTCCGTACGGCGGCAGGAGAGGAAATATTGACCGACCTGACCTCGTAAACCACATCCTGATTTTGTTTTCAGAGAGGATGTTTGAAGGTCGGGAGAGGGCGATTGAGAGGGAATTCGGTAGTGAGTGGGATAGCCAAATAGTTCAAGCAAAGTAGTCTTTAGGTAGAATAACGTAGATTTCCAAGATGCAAATGTTTGAAGAAGTCAAGTTCTGACCAGCAGAAATAAATCGAAAAAGGAAAAGAAGGCCTTGGTGGCGTATTGATTGTTGTGTCAATGGGGTATTGAGTCTATTGGTTGTGAATACAGAGAGCCGTGACAAAGGAAAGCCGTATAAACAAACACCAGAACAATAGGAAAGTCGCGAATAGGCCAAAAGAAACAAAGAAATGATCGTTTCAGAAAAGGGCCTCTTTTAAAGAAAATATATATGGGAGCCCATACATTGCTGCCTTCCAGTGTGGCCTCCAAGCATGTAAACAAGACACACATCTAGAGTAGCAACCCACTCTATTGATAGAAGCATCCCCACAGCAAATAAATCCACGAAGATCAAGAATAGTCGGCAGGGCCGTTTCAGGTTGCAAAATCGTGTCTGAATGGCTGTCAGCTGTGTGGTTTGCCCAAAAGTAGACATCTTCAGGCGGCGCTTAGCATGCACACAGCCAACCTGTCGTCCAATCCTTTGTCAAGCGCGTGCAGAATGTCAGACAAAGCGCTACTTCCCCTGGCCCTGTAAATCAGGCGATCATGCGGCTATTTTAAAGCCTTTGTATCCCCATGACTGCCTCCTTGACGCTTTAGTTTGCTTCATCTATCTTATAACGTGTTCCATTACGCGCGAGAAGGTGTCGGCCCCGAGCGCTTGGTTGGACAGGAGCGGGTGGTAGATATATGGAGTACTCGTCATGATGTATTTGACCACACGGATACCCACCTTTTCAGAGAGAAGAGATTGTCGCTTTCCCGCAGTGGTTTGAAGTGAACTCTCTGGTAGTCGTCGTGGTTGAAGGTAGAGAGGAAGAGAGGAAGAGGAAGAGAAAGACTTGGGAAGGTGCCGGTTCCACGTGATGGCACGAGACCACCTTACTCAACGACACCTCGAAGAACCCAACAGTTTCTTTAATACGTTGAGCAAGATAACGCTTCTAATTCTTTTCAAATCCGAGTACTAGTTATGTGCCGCCAGCCTTCTTTGCAATTCTCCTAGCCACCCCCCATCTACTGAATCGATTGACGTCGTTTACGCCGGTGTTGCAGACCAGTCCTCGGTGTGAAGAAATGAGTCGGACAAACAAGGCCTCTGACAGGGAAACAGGCAGAGAATTGATAAAAGAAATTGTATGGAGAAGTAAGGACTCTCTGCTATCCACATGCTGTTCTCGATGTCGTCTTCTGATGAACAATGGGCAGATTCTACGAGTGCGGCCAAGCGGGGGGTCTGCCATTCAACAGAGAATCAAACAGCTCTTTCTAGAGGTAGCCATAGGGATTGTTTATATATCTTATGGCTGTGTGGGTCAATGGGACTATCGTCGCAGCTGTGACATTGTTGGTTCTCTCACTTGAAGTTTAACTTGAGGTTCGCCGGAGAGAACTATTGTGCAGCCAGAGCTCATAATGAGATCAAAATACCAGATTCCCAATGGCTTCTTCGAGCCTCATAGGCTGGCAACATGAAAAGTTTGCACACTGCCACAGTTTCTAGATCTGTATGGTGGATAGACGGCAGAGTAATAGGTCGAGACAGCCTCGAAGTGACTGATTGAAAGCCCTCAAGGTGAGAGTTACTCGATTCACTGGATCTAGCTGTTTCGACTCAGCTATTTACTCTCACTTTGGGCTTGCCTTAAGGTGTCTCCTAGTGAACCAGGGCCTAGGTCACCTTTATTCTTTTAGGTACTCTAAATATCTGTCTTTTCTTCATCGGTCACACCCTCCTCCAACCTTCATTCTATTTTGCTATTCAGATACACAAGAAAGGAGAAGTCTTAGCAGGGCTCCAACGTCAAGTTCATTATCCCAATAAAAAATCCCCAGGAAATAACCATGGGGAAGATAATGAGTTCAATGCTAGACACTGGCCAGGCCCAGGCGTCCCTGAGCAACCTGGAACAGATGGAGGTGTTCATGAAAGCAGAGCAACTAAGTAAGTTGATATCCTTATATAAAATTCCTCAAGAAGCCCCGTCAGGCCCCTAGTGAAAGTAGTCACTAGGGGTTGCATCGTCAGGCCAACATTCACGCAACCAGACAAGAAACAAAAACCCTTAGGCGAGCACTCGGTCTTTTTCTTCTGTCTTTCCCTCTCCTCCCAGTTTTATATTCTCCCAGTCGTGCTGTCACTTTTGGAGTCTTCTACGAACTCAAAAAGTCTCCCAGACACTCTAACAAGTCTGACACGACCTTGAGACCTTCCCTACTACGCACTTCCTTTGGCTACCCTCTTACAGATAAACCCTAGCCTCATTTGCTTTGCTATTTCGAACCGTCTCTCCCACAGCATGACTGACGTGACATTATCAGATCCCCTTCATAGTCCTTCGAGTACAAGCAACTTACCTGCAGACGGGCAGTCACCCAGCAAGCATCATTCAGAAGAACCATGCAACATGAAGAAGGAGGAGACCTCCGAAGGTGACGGTAAATCTCTCTTCTGATTAAAGACCTTATGGCCCTTCACTGACAGAGAGACCTAGAAATTGCTGACAATATCCTGGCTGTGGATCGATCTCCGCCCCAGGAGTTGTCTTCTTCCATCGCGTCCCCCGATAGCGAAGGGCTCCCCCAAACTGAAAACAAACAGTCATATACAAATGACAAAGCAACAGAAGCCACCATTGTTGATGATACAAGGTTGCCTGTTGATCTACATTTAGAAGAAACATTCAATACATGTAAGCCTGGTTCCCAGCACAGAAATGAGCCTCTTCATAACCCTTCTACTGAATCTTCTATTCAACCCAACCACTGACAACATCCAGCCTCCGCAGAACTGACCGGTGTCAAAACTGAGGGCAACCTTTCTCGAGAGGAAGCCCAGAGAGTCCGCAGAGAATCCGTTGACTTCATTCGGCAAAGAACTTTTCAACGAGAGTTGGTGGTTCTAGAGCGCCAGCTCAGCGCAAAGCAGGACAGGCCCTCCGCTATGCAGCCCCAGCAGCCGGATGGAATAGAGAACCAAGAGTCTGTCGAAACCGGGACAGAAACGATAAAGTCAACCGACACCTCTGTCGCTTCATGGAAGAAAAAGAAAAAGAACAAAAACAAGAAGAAGAACAGGAACAAGAGCATCAGCCAGACAAGTGAAGGCCCTTCTGAGCAAAAGAATCCCTTCATCTCCGATGAGACCAAGCAGGACATTGTCGACAAGTCTCTGTCTCTGTCTTTTAATAATAATGTTCAGAGCCTGTCTCTCGCTCGTTCTCTTTCAAATGCCTCCGAGCTCTATCCATCAACTGAGAACAACGATAACATTTCTGTTCAAGGTCTCTCACGAACCGACACTTCCGATTCGCAGACAGATGATGTGATCAGTGACGATTTCAATGCTTCGGAGGCCACTGTGTTCCAGCTAGAGGGGGATGAAGATACCGCAACCCAGGATTGCCAGACAAAGTCCATGATGCAGCGTTCTCCCAGCCAGGATACAACCCTTATCCCAAAAGGCGAGGAAGAAAGCGCAGCACCTGAGACATCTCAGAACTCCGATAATAACGATATTCCGTCCGCCCGTGTTGAAGGCACCTGTTCTCAACTTGAACCCACCTCCTCGAACGATGCAGGCGTATCAAAGAGCGAGCATCGAAATGGGAACGGACCCGAATCCCAAAACATCGATACTGTCAGAGAGCACAACGATATCCTAGTTCCTACCGACAACCTGTCTCTAGCGGATCAGGTAGAACAGCACGAAGACCAGCTGGGAGAGCGACAGGACGCAGCTGCAACTACAACTACAGCATCAGGTTCCGCTTCTTGTGACGACCAACCTGTCAATGGTAATGTTCTTAATATCGGAACTGGTGAAGCCTCTGAAAACAAAACTACAAGCAAATCGGCCAGCTACAATGTCACACAGTCCAAACCAAGTTCTGCCGTCCGTTTTCCTCCTCAAGATACTTCTTTCATGTCGAAATTGTCAAAGAAGAACAAACGCAAGACCAAAAAGTCCACAAATCCGCCTTCCACACCTAGACAAGTTTCACACAGAGGGCAACTCCATTCAAATGCAAACCGAGACCAGCTCTATCCGATCCATGAAGCGCAGCATAGGATTTCCCCATTTGAGAACGGTTATGAGCGTTCGTATGAACCCTCAATGGCCTCCTCTTCTAATCATGATGTTGACACCATTGCCTCGGACAACTACGGCTCGCCAGTCTCTCAGCAATACACTGAAGCAGAACTAGCCCCATTCCCCCCCGGTGATCCACGCAACGCGGTCTCGGCCTGTTTGTTAAACCCTTATGCGATGTTCTACCCTCGCACCGCCATCCCACTACAGCAAGTGGCACCTGAACACGCCCACCCAACAAGCAACGTCTCTTATACGGCTGCCACCCATACTACAGATCAGCCCAGCAGAGTGCAGTACCCAAGACGGGATATCCTCAACCCAGTCCGCCCGCTTGATGGCCCTCTTCCCGATCCCAACGGACCGACCGAGTACTGCAACAGACCTTGGGTCAGACCGGAGGGATTCTGGTACCACCTGGACACTGTTGCTTTTGAATGCGACAAGGCTGGCTGTGAGAAGAAGTGTAACCTGTGGGATGGCGTGGCGGTGATCTGTCCCGGGTGCGGGCCGTACTCCACGGTGCGGTACTGCGGGAAGCAGCATCTGTTCGAAGATGTCAAGTCTCACTGGCTACGGTGCCGGCAGTCGACGTTCACACACCCATGCAAGGACAGCACCATTCCAAAATCTGTTCGCAACAGTGCGCCGATGCTGCCCAATATCTGCGCGTGGGACTCGCCCGAGCGGCACCGGCAGGCCGTTCATTTCGCCATGGATCGCACAGGCGACTACTTCATCTTCGCCGACTGGGAGGAGTACCTAGCTGCAGGCATGCCGCGCAACACCGTTGCGGTGCGATGCTCGACGCGCGTGCTCTGCACTGTCTCCTTCGAGGAGGGAGACATGAAGGATAGGGTCCGCCGCCTCCTCGGAGCCTGTCTCGTAGGTAAGCTTTCCATCCTCATTCCTTCCTTCCTTTCTTCTTTTCCTTCTTCTTCTTTTCACGACACTAACATGTAAAACAGCATGCCCCGAAGTGTTCTGGCTCGCCCAGTACATGTACCAAATGCTACGGGACCACCTCCGGTCGACGGGTAAGTGGAGCGAGGAACTCAGCCAAGCATTGAAGTACCAGATGCAGTATGAGTTCTCGGTCCTCCTTTACCCGGACGCCGTCGGTAATCGACACGCCTGCGAAGCGGAGTGGCTGGGACTGGGCTACCGTCACTGCCGGGACGCAGTGTGTCGTGCCGAGTACTCGCCTCTCCTGGGCACGACGGTTGGACGCATGGGCCATCGCCAGACGCTGGAGACTCTCGAACAGAGCTACTGGCTGCTGCGCGCGGCCCGGGCGACCCATCCGTCTGTTGCTCAGGTGCCTGCGCGGGTACGAGGTGAGGGCTTCGAGGGGGTGGAGTTGGAAGACCGTCGCCTCTTCCGTCGCGGAGAGGGCTGGGACGGCATGGGGACCGGGGAGATGGAGATTGAGGGTGTCAACTGCTAAAAAGAACCGTTCCCCATTGCCGTCCCAGTTGTTACAAAGAAAAGGAGGGGAAGAGAGGAGGGGAAGAAGAAAGGAGGGGAAGAAGATAGGAGGGGAAGAAGATAGGAGGGGAAGAGAGAAGAGGAAGAAGAGGAAGAAGAGGAAGAAGAGGAAGGATAAAGTGAAGAGAAAAGAGAATGAGGTACAAAGCAGGTTTATTTGAACTAGGGCTAATTACGAATGTACTTCTTCAAGCCACGCAGTCTCTCCTTGGCCGTCTCCAATACATCGTCGTTTTTGCAGACGGCAAAACGCAGGTAATCCTCCGCAATGTGGGTGTTGGCGTCGGTATAGAACTCTGTCGGGGGGATAGCTGCGACGCCCACCTCGTGGATGAGGAACCAGCACAGTTTGAAATCGCGAGGGCGGTTCGCAACATGGGGAGGAAATTTGTAATCTTCTGGCATCTTGACTGCAGCCATATTGACAAGGACAAAGTAGCCGCCCTCGGGATCGGAGTACTATGTTTTCATTAGATGATTAGTCTTGAGAAAGAGAAGAGAGAAAAAAGAATATCAATGCATACCGGAAGGCCTAGTTCATCGAATACCGCGCAAAACCGCTCAATCTTTGCCTTCATCTCCGCGCGACTAGCATCCCAGAAGCCCACCTTGTCCGCCTGCTCGAAGGCGACGGCTGCCGCCTCCTGTAGTGGCGAGACGCTGCTGTAGCAGATACGAGTGTGCGCGGCTGCAACGTACTTGATCAGATGGGGAGGGCCGATGAGGAACCCGACACGCCAGCCCGTCGCGTAGAAAGCCTTGCCGGCCGATCCCACAGTGAGGGTGCGTTCGTAGAGCTCGGGGGAGAGAGTCGCGACTCTCGTGAAGGGAACGTAGTAGAGACGGTCGTACACCTCATCAGATAGGATGATGAGGTTGTATTTGATAGCGAGCTCGCCGATGCGTTCCAGCTCGGCGCGAGAGAACACCTTGCCCACGGGGTTATGGCTGCTGCAGTGAGTACTCGGGCGGAAGAGTGTGTTGTTCGATTCACTTACGGTGAATTGAGGACCTAGAGAACAAATTAATAACCTTTCAATATATGGCTAGACTGTCGGTCTTACAATCATTTTGGTCTTGGAGTTGATCGTCTTCTCCAACTCCTCGAAATCAATCTGCCACTCCGCAGCAGACGAGGTTCGAACTGCTCCATCCTTGGGTGGATGCAGAGGAACATATCTGATCTTACCACCAGGCATCTCAATATTGCTTATATATCTATCGTCACGAATTAGCCAGGTTCAGGATTAAAAGGAGGAGTCAATGTTACTGGTCAAAGAAGGGCTCGAAGATAATGACTTCGTCGCCGGGCTCAATGAAGCCCATGAACGCACTGAGCATGCCTGCTCCCCTCAGCAAATCAGCCCTCATCCCTCATTCAACTGGATTGATTGTAGCTCTCAACCCACCTTCGTTTGCCCCAGTTGTGATCGTCACCTCGGTCTCCGGGTCCAGTTTGCGGCCAAACGAGGCTTCATGGGCGTCCGCAATAGCCTGCTTGAGGCGTGGTCGACCCTATTGCATTGTGAGCCTCCGTCCAATATTTATTATTTCCATTCCACGATGGTGTTCCACGTATGCACCTTGGTCGGCGAGTATTGGTTGCAGTCCACGCGATCCAACGCTGCCTTGGCGGCATCCAGGGCAAATTTCGGGGGATTATAACCACTACCCAGCGTAAAAAAAAAACCTGTCAGCGTCTCACAATCTCTGTAGAATCTTCTCATGCCCCAGTCTTTCTTACAAAAATCCCTGTCCCATGTTCACAATGGGCTGCACCGGCGAGGCAGCCGCTGCTTCGTTAACAATCGTCCTGTCCACAACATAAGCATTAGCAGCGTACTCGCAGCATGGGACTTTCGATAAAGATTCCAGTTTACCAGACATCTTGTCGCTGGCCTGCAACCCTCGCCGCAGGCTTGAAGGGATCACCACGAGGGGCTGTCGTCGACATAGCTCTGACTCGAAGCCCAGCAAAGCGGGGTCGAAATACACGCAGAGAAGCCCGATAAAACGTAGGGAGGGCCGAACAGGTATTAGATCCGAGTACAGAGGGAGCGTGCCGAACAAAATACATCAGAGAACGACCGTATATAGTCAAGACACGCGCACTTTGGGCCGGAGGAGATAGCGACAGGAGCGTCGCGGGGAACTGGGCAAGATAAGAAGGTCTCTTGGAGTCATTGCGTTTGTTTTGTCCGTCTCCCCTGCCGGGCGATTGCGTGCTTGGCCCGCCCAAAGGATTCCCAGAGGAAACGACGTTCTGCCACTGAGGATGGCTTTCTATCTGGACTGGCTTTTGACTCGGTCTGGATTGATACGGTCGACACGCCTCTTTGCGTTAATTCCTCTGCTTCTGACGCGGTGGAAGGTCCTGGTGTTGCGGTCGCCCAAGCTCAGTTTCGGTCGAAATCGTGGAACCATTGAAGGGATATCGAGGATCTAGTCTAGGAATTAGGATATAAATCAATTAAATCATGTTGAAAGACCGTATTTTGGCTGTACGATTCTCTCACCAGTCAAAACAGATGAAACCGCTGGTTGAGCCGGACAGAGCCTGTTAAAGGCCAACAACCCTTCTGTCGAGTATCTGGAGACATAATTCTGGCAGAGGATATGATATGTGAAATCCAGAAGAAACAACATCTCTACTTACCAGCTGGTTTGGTGTCTTGCACTGAAGTCGCTGTTCGCCCCCGTAAGAGGACTCAGCTTCTCCCCTCCACGCGTCGAAACGCGTCTCACTCGAACCATCCACCACAAAACCATCACGCAGCACGCCAACAGGGCTCTTTTGATCAACGCAGACATCTGTGGCAGTCAGAAGATATGGTCTCGTGTCCTATCTGCGGGAAGTCTGTCCCGTCCGTGAAGATCAACGACCACATCGACTCCGACTGCCAGGCCTTCGTCGAAGAACCCGCCCCGACGTCTACAGACGGATCGGGGTCGTCGTCATCGCAAAAGTCTGCTGTTCCCAGTTTCTTTCAGCCATCGTCTGCTCGCAAGAGTCAACAGGCTGGCCTGTTGCGAGACCCGCCGTCAGCCCACCCTCCGAGCCAATCCCCGCGAAACCTGAACGGAAAGAGGTCGTTTACGCAGGAAACACAGTCGACGTTCGATCAGAATGGAGCACGAGCTGAAAGGCCGTCGTTGGCAACACTGGCGGCAGACTCTCCGGCCAAACGGCCAAAGGTCAACGCGTTTCACAAGGCTGCCCCTCTGGCGGAACGCATACGGCCCCGGAGTCTGGATGATGTCTGTGGCCAGGAGCTAGTCGGCCCCAACGGGGTGCTGCGAGGACTTATTGAGGAGGACCGGGTGCCCAGCATGATTCTCTGGGGCAGCGCAGGGACCGGGAAAACGACGATTGCCCGAGTGATTGCCTCGATGGTGGGCAGCCGGTTTGTCGAAATCAACAGCACAAGCTCCGGGGTGGCGGAGTGCAAGAAACTGTTTAGCGAGGCGAAGAGCGAGCTTGGGCTGACAGGACGGAAGACAATCATCTTCTGTGACGAGATACATCGCTTTTCCAAGTCGCAACAAGATGTCTTCTTAGGCCCCGTGGAGAGCGGGCAGGTGACGCTCATCGGAGCCACCACCGAGAACCCATCTTTCAAGGTCCAAAACGCCCTGCTCTCTCGCTGCAGGACGTTTACCCTGTCGAAATTGACCGATAAGGATATCCGGGATATCCTCCAACGCGCTCTGCGGGTCGAAGGGCCCACCTATTCGCCATCGGCCCTCGTGGACGACGAGCTGATACAATACCTGGCCACCTTTGCAGATGGAGACGCGAGAACCTCGCTCAACCTACTCGAGCTGGCTATGGACCTCTCCAAGCGGGCGGGAATGACCAAGGAAGAGCTGAAGAAGTCATTGACACGCACCCTCGTCTACGACCGCGCCGGCGACCAACACTACGACACCATCTCCGCCTTCCACAAGTCCATCCGAGGCGGCGACGCCGACGCCGCGCTGTATTACCTTGCCCGCATGATCCAGTCGGGCGAGGACCCGCTCTATATTGCCCGGCGCCTGATCGTCGTTGCCTCCGAGGATATCGGTCTGGCGGACAACAGCATGTTGACCTTGGCCATCTCCACGCATTCCGCCGTTGAGAAGGTCGGGCTGCCCGAAGCTCGCATCAACCTCGCGCACGCCACCGTCGCCATGGCTCTGTCCAAAAAGAGCACCCGCGCCTACCGCGGTCTTAATAACGCCTTGGCCGCTCTCGATGAGCCTGGTGTCGCCGGTCTTCCCATCCCACTGCACCTCCGCAATGCTCCCACTCGCCTGATGAAAGATCTCGGATACGGAAAGGAATACAAATACAATCCACATTATCTTGATGGGCAGGTCGCCCAGGACTACCTTCCAGACAAACTGCTTGGCTGCCGCTTTCTCGAAGACCTCGATCTCGGCACCCAGATTGACCCGGATTTGTGAGGCCTCACAATCAGTATCGACATCCACAAGAGATCCATGGATGAATCCTATCTTGCCTCAGGCTGCAAGTACCTGGTAGCTACGTCATTGTCCGGTCAGCCAATGAGCGTGCGGGATACGTGCAGCTTAACCATCTCTAGGTGCGACTAAGCCTAATCAGGCAGTCTGTATGGGGGCAGCAGGTCGTTCTTTCACTTCCTCTATGCTTCTTTCCATATCCCTGAGGCTTGTCAAGTCAATTATTCGCTACTGTCAGTGCAACAGCTGGTGCCGTGCCTAACAGGTCCGAGTCCTCCTCCAATGGCCTGGCTTCCACAGGCTTCACCGTCGTCTTGTGCGTCCCAGGCCTCGGTTCAGACCCAACGAGTGACCTTCCATAGCCAGGGAGGCGTGTCAATCGATTCGTCTATCGCTCCACGAAGCAGAGAAACCCCTCGTCTAGTTCGCCCACACTGTCAGGCATTTGAAGATCTATCCCACTATCTCCCCGGTCAGATAGGTGTCCAATATAATCCGCGTTACCCTATGAATAGCCATGTTTCTTGTACGAGTGGGTGGGCACCTGGTATCGAACACAGCGGTTCCTGGGGACTAGGAGATCCCACTCACGATACCCATTCGTATCTGTCTCGCTCAACTAATATTCACCTTCAACCATCTGCCTATTTTCACAACAACACCATTGCGATGGACGTCGGCCAGGTTCCTGTACCTCGGGCTCCAGGTTTACCATGTTCGAAGGTGCATCACGACATGTTCCAAAGGCCTGGCCAATCTGTGTCTACCCCCTTGAGAGTCGCTAGCGCCACTTCTTTTCCTGCCTATCTCCAGTTTGTTATGGAGGACCCGGAGACCAGACACCGAACTTTGAACGACCTGGGGCGGAGAGCACGAGGGGAAGGTAATAGGATTTTGAAAGGAATAGGCGGTGCTTGCCTTTGGTGTTATCGCAGTAAGGTCAAGTGCGGGCCTGTTCGCCCCTGTCCCCCTTGCCAGAGCGGTAAACGACGGTGCATTAGAGACCTATCGCAGTTATGCTTTTTCCCCAATGCACGGGACGTTTCTGCTGCCTCTGCTGTGGATAGCTGGAGGGGCCCGCTCGCAGCGGCTCGCGCTGTCTTGGACGGCCTGAAGGAGAAATCCGGCCCATGGCCACCTGGGCAGGAGATCATGGTTCAATTCCGGGATCTCGATACCAAGAGAGTCCATACCTGTGTCTTTGATATCTTGGACATTGCAAAGTTGGGCCAGACTTCCACTTGGACCTGTTGCGCTCCCGAGGAAAAGCTGATCCGGGCTTCAATGAAATATATCCCGTTTCTCAACTTGGGCAGCATTGATCCCCACGTCACTCCACAGCCACTCATCAAGTCAGCCTCGGAGATGTATGATCTACTGACAGGAATTATCTGCCTGCTGAATGCCCAGATTTATGTGAGCCCGACACAGGCTCGTACGGGAAGAATGCTCATGTTCCAATTAATCCTCGCCTATGTGTATGTCCTATCGAAGAAATCCGATGGGTTCTGCTCGCTCCTATCGACCGAAATACGCCGGAGAGGGTTCCGGGAGGAAGCCCTTGATGTCGTAATTGAACAAACACCTACATGTCTCAATGATGACTGGGCTGCGGCAGGCTTGTATTTTCGAGTCGTCGACAAAATCCTTAGTCTGCAGCTGGAATTGCCCGTCTCTATCATCTTTGATGAAATCGTGCTTCACCTGAAAAAGGTCCGTGCCGACCTGTGGGGGTTGTTAAAGGCCCTTCCACATGGCCAACCGTCGAGCAAAATGACGACCAGGAACTGCCTGGATAACCATATTCCTGCAATCCCGGATGTGCAAGCCTTCGACGTGACACTTTGGCTGGATTCACCGGGATCACCTGCACCCCATGAAGAGCACGCTCCTAACCTTGACTCACAGTGTCCCTATGCCATGCAGTCATTACTTGGTCTGGACTACAGTGACGATGTGCCGTCCTCTCCTACAGTCACTGACTCATCGCAGCAGACGCCATCAGACCAGACCTTGGGCGAGAACGAGCCAGGAACCCCTCTTGGAGACAAGTTCGGCCCTTTTTGAGTGGGATGCTGGAGACTCATAATTCCGCTTTCATCACTTCCCAGTTCTCTTGCTAGATAGTGCTCATTTTAAGCGTTCCTTCAGTTAGATAGAGCTTCTACAACTAGTCTGAGTCTAAGACAATAATTACTATTCAGTAGTGATGGTACAACAAATAACCACGAACAAGTAATCTCAAATCAAAAAATCAATGCATATTATTATTCAATTCCTATAATGTAGTGCAAGTGTATCTTGATCCTCTGTACTTCATAACGCTGTGTTGATGTCCGCAGCGTTTCATGTTGACCGCCTCGCGTCTCGCGTCTTCCTCCATCGCCCATCCACCATCCAGTCCGCACGCAAAGAATTCTCCGCGCAGCCAGCTCTTCTCTGGGCTGTTCAAAAAACAAACAAAAGGAGTGGAAAGACAGGGAAAGACAGGGAAATACAGGGGAAAGAAGAACAGGGGAGACTTGACTCGCGACAGACAATGGCTTCGCAACAGTTCGCCTCACGCTCTTACGCCGGCGGGAAACTGCCCGACCGATCCCTCGCCGCGAACCCAGCGCCTTTTAGCACCTCATCGTTTGCCCGGCATCGCGCCCTGGGCCAGCCTGCCCCGGGCGACTTCGCCGCGGAGCCAGGCAAGGCCGCGCAGCAGCAGGGACCGACGCCCCCGTCGCATTCACAGACACATGGGCCGACGCAGGATAGCCCGTTGAACCGGTTAAGCGAGGAACAGAGAGAGGAGATCGGAGAAGCAGTGCGTTTTTTTTTTCTTTTCTCTTTCCGTTCTTCATTCTGAATAACCCTTTTTCTTCTTTCTCTTGATATTCTAAAATACGACTTGCTAACGAATCAGTTCACCCTGTTCGATCTCGACCGAGACCGCCACCTAGACTACCACGAGCTGCGCGTCGCATTCCGTGCTCTAGGCTTCACCCTCCCGAAACAAGAACTCATCTCCCTGCTGACGACGTACGGCGTGCCGCGACCACAAGTGCAGCAGCAACAGCAGACCGGCGGCGGAGGGGGCGGGGTTCCCAACGCATCCTCGACGGCAGCGACCAAGGCCTCCTCCGCGCCGGGCTCGACGAACCCGCACCACCCGTCCAACCTACTGATGCCGCTCTCGGCGTTCCAGGCCGTCACTGCGCTGAAGATCCTAGAACGCGACCCGCGCGAGGAGATCCTGCGTGCGTTTGAGCTCTTCGACGAGGGCGGCAAGGGGTACATCGATCTCGAGGACTTGCGGCGTGTGGCTCGCGAACTGGGCGAGACGGGCCTCGAAGAGGAAGAGCTGCGCGCCATGATTGAGGAGTTTGATCTGGAAGGTGTCGGCGGTGTTACTCGTGAGGCCTTTGTGAGTATTTGTTGGCAGTAGTTTTTTTCTTTTTTTTTTCTCTCTCTTTCTCCCTTCTCTTCTATGGCTTTTCTCTCCTGTTTGGGAAGTTGTTTGTTTAAATCTTGTCAGTGCACTGCATTGAGGCGCCGGGGTTAGGTAGGACAGGTTATCTGTGGGTTTTCTTATTTGATTTGATTCATTCCAACTGTAGTTCGGTGACATGGGTAGAACGTGTAGTTTGGATTGAGGCTGGTATGTATTTAGACTACTCATACAACATATCTAACTGACGCCGCACAATGCCACATGGCATAACGTATGTACCATCCCAGTCGAATCCCAAGAACGCCAACCTATCGAAATGAATCATGTGCAAGGATCATCTATCATCAATGTACCGAAGAAGAAGAATAAAAAGAAACGCATCTCTAGCACTACGCGTATCGTGGCCAAGGACGAGGCTCTTCGGGCCAATGGTTTGTACCAAAATACGGAGGCGGAGGCCCCGCGTAGTTCGCACCAGGGTATGCCTCCATAGGATACGTCGACGGGGGCATGGGACCGTTCCAAGAAGGGTAGGAAGACATGGGAGGCGGTGGCCGAGGCTTGTTGGCAGGGATGCCGTTGCGGCGTTGTTGACATCTGTTGATTGCACACCAGAGAATGGAGAGCAAGATGAGTCCACCGACAGCACACGAGAGCCCGATGACGAGGGTCTTGTGCTCGTCGACCCAGGATTTGATTTCTTTCCCCACCGTTGAGCCCTTGCACTGGCCGTTTTCGCATTTGCCTCCACCGCCGCAGGGCGTCCCGTCCAAGAAATTCTGGTTCAGAGTAGCGCAGGCATTGGAGCCCAGCACGGAGGACGCGCACGTCAGCGTGCAGGAAGTGCTGTCACACGCATATGTGTCATTGCTGTTGAGTAACGCGCCCACAACGGTCCGGCATTGCAAGTCTCGGCTCGTGCAGGAGCCGCTGGCACATTTGAGGCCGGTCGAGTTGCCGCAACTGGTTCCATCTGGCTCATAAGCGTCGGCCGGGCAGCTGCTGGAATTCCCAGTGCATTTCTCCTCGATGTCGCATGATCCCGTACTGGCGCGGCAGACGGTACTCGCTGCCGCGTATTGGCAGTCGGTGCAGCAGATGTCATTCGAATCGTCGCAGACGGCCCCGTTCTTGAATTTGCATGTGCTGCCGTCACAGCAGCTGTTATCGCCGCAGGCTTCGGTCCCGCCACAATCGCATTCCTCGCCAGCCTCGACGATCCCATTCCCACATTGACTGCCCGTGATTGTGGTCACACCTTTATTATCGGACAGGCATGTGGATTTGACGCTATTACGACCTAGGGCCGAACAGATATTGCCAATTGTGCATGGTGAGAACAGTGTTGCATCCGCGGAGGCGCTTGGATTCATGATGTATTTCCCATCTGCATTGCACGTGTCGGTGGAAAGAGGACAGCACTGCGATGTGCTTTCAAGACCCTCCGAACAGGTTGTGGAGTCGCAGTCATGGACGGCCCCAAATGTATGGCCAGACTCATGGGCAAACACCTGCCACCCCGCTGAGATGCGTACAACAACATTGGTGCCACTGACATAATCGGAACCTTCACTCTCCACGCCCGTGTTGCAGAGTTGGCCAAGCCATGAGAGCCCAACCTCCGAGTCGGTACTGCACTCGCTCATCAGGGTCCAGTACGCGTTGCTATCATTATTAGACCCACGCCATTTCGAGAACAGATCCAACCGCTGGGTGATATTGCTGCTGGAGCAGGGCAGGTTCCAGGGAGCGGACGAGGAAGCAGTGCTAGGACAGGAAGCGTCACTGATGGTCAGATTCCGCAAACCAATCGAGATGTTGAATGATTTCTCGTATAAACTGGATGCTGTGTTGACCACGTTGATGACCCATTCGCGAGCCGACTCAGTCGAGTTGAAGGAACTGGTAAAACCACAATCTGTCGCAACACCAATCAATGCAACCATCTTGTTGTTCGGGCAGCCTGCCGTGCTGCCTATTGTTGACTTGAGGTTGACCCCGCCGGTGTTACCGGAAACCCCCCCTGTGTCGGACTGGCGTCTGCTGAGTCCAAATAACGAGTTCAAAGATGTAGCCCCCCATGCAGCGGATGACAGCTGATCCTGTTGGAATAGTAACTGCCTCGGATCAGAGTTGAAGCCAAGCTGGTCAGCCGAGCAAGAAGCTGAATCGACCAAAGAGCGTTTCAGCTCCGAATGAATATATCGGATCATGTCAGAGTTGCGGTAGACAAGCATGTAGTCTCCTTCCCGACGTGGAATATCCACATCCTCATCTCGCTTTTTCTCCAGATATGTTGACTGTAACTCTATATGGTGGTGGTCTCCCAGCACACTAAAAGCGCCTTCGAACAGTGGGTATTGCCCATCCTTCTTCATGTAAACTCGTGCCCAGCCGACAGGCTCCCATCTGCCAGCATCCGATTTTACCCATGCGTTTCCTTTAAACACCCGATGGGCGGAGCGATCGATGGGTTCTGCGTGTCTGACATTTCCATCTACATCGAGGTACTGGACAAGAGCATCTTCCGCCAATATGTCATGGTTTGGCTCCAGGGACAGTTTGATCCGTTGACTACCGCCGTGTAGATCAAAGGTAATATCGAACTGGGACAGATGATTGACCAGGTGCGAAGGAGTATGGACTAGCACATTGTCCAGAACGGAAACGTATCGGATAGCATTGGGCGCTTTAGATCGTGCTATTGGAGACAAACAGTTAAGACAGTGCCTATCCTACAAGTTTTCAATCCCAGCAGACACCTACCTTGAGCTGTAGCAACTAAAAGCGAAGCTGCAACAAAGAAAGTGGAAATCAAAGCGCGAAAGAACTTCATCGTCAATCGGCAGACGACCTATAGGCTAAAGCCATCGATGGGAGGGAACAGGCCAATGTACCAGGGGAAGCAGACGGCTGTGTAATCTTTGATATACCGCAGGTCTTTCCGGAGACAACAGTGTAATAACGTCCGCTAGTCTGCGATTCCCCAGATCCAATCGAGCCGCTATACCGATTCAGCTAATGCTTTGTAGGAGTACAGTGCTTTGACGCTGAATCCCCCGCAAATCCGCACCGCAATCAATCAAATAAAGAGTGTTGGAGGGAGCTGAAGACACAAGGCGATGTGGCCCAGGTAATCGAGAGGGGCGCAGCAGGCTTGGCGAGACAGGCGATCAAAGAAGCCAACTCTAAAGAAGAGCACTACTTTGTTGTTCTTATTTTCATTTATTGCTGCTGGCTGTTATGAGGTGGGGGAGAAAGAAGAGAAGAAACAGTGGAAGAAGCGGCCAAGCAAAGGATGGGTGAGACACAGTCCAGCTGCTCGACGTCTCCCAAGACAACGCTGTAGCCAAGAGGTCCGCCGAGGGTTTGACTTTTGCACATCAATTGCAGCTCGTCTGGCAGACTGGCATTGCTGACACTGCGAAACGACTATTCTGGCTGCTGCAGCTAAGGGAGATGGAAGGTTTCCTTGGTCTGTTGCCTGGAATTGACTGTAGCAACAACAACAACAGCAATAGAAGTGGACGCAAGTTTGACGCTCGAGGAGGACCCTGAATCACGTGAAGTCCCGAAAAGGTAAATAGCGGGGCACCTGCTATTCAGGGACTTGGGTGGGTCCTTCCCAAAATGGTAGCCTTGGCATACCGACAACAGGCAACAAAATAACCTCAACCATCATCCAAAAGGATTCAACAACTCTATGGAAATATGCTGTTGAATTCAGTCTGGAGCAGAGTGGTACTGTGCGTGAGCTACTAGTGCAAAGGTCGGTATCAGGGCACCACATGTCTGGCAGATGGTCCCTGGAATCTCTTCCTCGTCGTCACCGTCTTCCCAGGGGGTACCAGTAGGGTGGTTATCTAGGTCAGTGTCTGCATTTGCGAGAGGCTCATTTCCGCTCTCATTCACCGTCCACTCGCTTAGTACTCTCTCCTGAGAGCGAAACATCTTGCCGATATCGCGGCCATTGCTCCCCCTCTGTTCGCCTGCGCTCTCGACCATGTTGGTGACAGCAATATTGAGGAGGCTGAGATTCCAGCCAAACTTCTCGGGATGAAGTTTGCGGAACATGGAGAGCAGGTGTTCTTGAACCAGCTTCTCCGCCAGGGCGTCGATGCTCTCATCGATATTGAAGACATACAGAGGAAGGGCCGCTGAGCGAGAGATACGGTTCCAGATGCGCGTGCGAGGTCCATCGGCTTCAGGAGGTGGTCTTGGGCGGGTTGATAGACGGAGTAATTTCGGATGGGCACGCCATCGAAATCTGGGTCCGGAGTCGACATTTTGCTCCGTCAGGTCAGTACGCATTCGCCGGATGAGACTTGCCGTAAGCGTAGTCAGCTCTCGTTTCACCTCGTGCAAGGTTGTCAGTTTGCCGTACGAATCCTCGATGCTGATCTGCGTCGGTATATCGCGTCCCGCGAGGACATCGGAGTCGTCAACGCCATGTAACAGACCCCAAACCCGCACTCCAATGTCTTTAGGCGCACCGGCGCCTCCAAGGATCTTGTTGAGGAGTCGAGGACCCATGCCAGGGAGCAAGCGAATCTGTTTTACAGTGACTTCTTCTGAATTGTCTCCAGCAGTAGCAGTGTCAGAGCCTAGTTCCGTGTCTGACAAAGTGGTGGGTCCCGAGGCTGCTGCGCCTCCAACATAAGCTCGGAGCTTGTGAGCAAGCTTGTAGCCTATTCCAGGAACTTTGCGGATCTCAAGCCCATCCATGAACCGCAGTATATTACTAGTACTGCCTAAGCCATGCTCGGCCGGCTCGTATGGGGGTAAGAGGGTTGTCTGGTTATTTGGTTTGTGGACGCTTCCCACAAGCTTCGCGAGGAGCTTGGAGGTGGACACGCCCACCGTGGCAGTGTAGCCCTTCTGATGTTCCAGTTGACTCCTCATGTACCCTGCCAAGTGAGACGCAACGAGAAGCCGCAGATGAAGCGATGTGGAGGAGCTAGTCAAAGCTGTAGTCAAGGTACAAGGCGCAGACGCAGACGTAGAGGCAGACGGCCAGGTGGGCCCATGGCATTGTGTCGCATTGTAAACGAACCCCACAGTCGGGTCGTGTCTATCCAGGTGGAAGAAAGAATCGTGCAGGGTATTTTTATTGAGGAGACCGATGTTATACTCGACCATGTCTGTGACGTCGAGGAAGATCTGCACAACCTGTTAACTGCATACTACATAGTACACGTTGGATTAGTACTACAGAGTAGAGTACACACCTCATCAAACCCCAATCGTTCCACGCGATCGCTCCAGACAAACGATTTGATAAAGGCATACAGTTCTTTCGACGCATCGCGGAAGCGAGTCAAGTCTTCCCCTAACACGATGACCAGCTCGGGACAGATCTTCTTCGCCTCCTTGACCAGCTGTAACTTGCGCAGCCCGCGCCGACGCGCCTCGTAATTACAGGTCACGACGATCTGTTTCTGCTGGACGGCCAGCGGCAACGACTTGAGCGCGGGTTGTTCGGCTTCGAAGACAGAGGCGTAGAAACAATCGTAATCCTGTCCCGTTAGTTGTATACTACTCCGTACCTAAATCTGCCAGGTGTACGAACAAAATGGAGAATGACCCGGTGGTCCTTCCGTGGTATGGCCATTCTATTTTTTGCCATTATTACTATTATTACTACCTAGGTAGTACCTAGTAGTTATTGTCAAGGCAGACTTACTACCCGAGATACGGTGAGTTCAACTCACCGAGCGATGATGATCGTGTCATATCAATATTCCCAGTGGAGCTAATCTCGGCTCGTATTAACCCTCGGGTTCTGCTGACAACTGTCTGCTTCACTGTCGTACTCTGGAGTCTGTACAACCTTTAGGCAGAGACAGAGAAAGAGAGAGAGAGAGAGAGAGAGAGAGAGTGTGTGTGTGTGTGTGTGTGTGTGTGTGTGTGAGATTTCATTGGTCTGTTGTGGTGCGCCACAGTCTTTCTCTCATTGGCTGTAAATAGATGGCATCCAAGCCACATGTGGCTGGAGAGGTACTTAATAATGCAGTAGAAAACACGTCACAGCTACCTTAGGTACCTAGTAGGTACTAAAGTGAAACACCAAGAGTCAACGATCGATCCAACAGATCTTCTATCGATCGATAATCAGATGTAGATATGTACTCCGTCGTACTCCGTATTCCAGTCTTTTCCCCTGAAGTCAGAGTACTCCGTAGAGAGAGAGTGAATACCCGCCCCTAAAACTACTCATTAAACTAATCAAACTAACAAGACCACCAGGTAATTAGTTCATTTGCTTCTACTAATCATCAGTGATCTAACAATCTAAATTAAGGGCTCTCCACTGCGCAGGGTCCAGGCTTCCAGTGGCAAGCAGCCAAGCGCCAATGTCATCTCCACTCATTTCGTGTCGCCCGTAAGTTTCCTTTTTATAGAAACTTGGAATGGCGAATAATAGTGCCTAGGTATGCAGAGGTAGTACATACAAACCGAGGTTTAATGGATGCCTAGACGGAGTACTCTATGTGTAAGACAACCGAAACAACAACTAAACAACAACTAAACAATAATAGACAGTTAAACGTGGGGATACCTCTGAAGACTCTTGGAGAAGGCCGCGTGTTCTCCCGGCTAAGACGAAAGTCCCATGGAAATGGATTGGCTGCAGGCCGTAATAATAATACCTACTATATTAGTACCATCTAGTAGTATCTGCATTATGCAGTATTATTATTAGTATTATTAGATGCGCCGGTCCACGATCTAAAGGGAAAGTAGCCCGTTGCCTCCAGGATTCGTCTGTTTTCCCTCGCCCCCTTGGCTTTCTTGCTGCTTATTTCCGATTATTATTGGAATAATTATCCTTCTGCCTCTTCATCTTGCCATTGCGGTGGTTTTCTATTTCAGTCACTCCTTCTATTCGTTTTATTCTGCTCTTTTTTTTGCCTCTTCATTATCACTATTGTTTGTTTTATTTGTTATTCAATCCTCCCCTCCTCCCCTCCTCCTTGACTCAAGACCAGACCTCTCACCACAATCTAACACGACCCTCTTCTTCTATTTTCCTTTCCTCTCTTAAATCAACCTTGCTGCCTGCTGTGGTGTTGGTTTAGACGAATAGCCTGGCGAATCTGTCATGCGGGGCGCAGTACAAGGCGTCTTCCCTATACTCTTTTGATCTTGGATTGATTCTCTTTTTTTTTGGCTCCCTTCAAATAAACCACTCCTCCTCCTCGCCCTCCTCACAATCACCATGATTGCTATTTCCATGACCCCGCAAGCTTCATCACAACTCTACCAGTCGACATCCGACCCCAGTCGAGCTGCTTCTTCGTCTCATTCCATGAACCTCCCCACCTCGCAGCCTCCTCAACCGGCACTGCCGTCGCAAAACATCTCGCGGCCGACCATCACCTCCCAACGACCCAAGCTCACTCTTCAGACCTCTGCGCTTCCCAAGACCTTTGGGAACTCGAATACCGGGCTCTCGCTGTCGTTCGTGGCCAATACAGGTGCCTCGCCAACCGTACGCAACACCTTCCGGAACGCCTACGACTTCTCCGCCCCGTCCTCTGCCACTGCCTCCCCGTCAAAGTCTTCCAACAAACCGTCCAAGCTCTCGACTTCCTCGACCGTGAGCAATAACAATAACGCCCCGTACCAGCTCCCGCTCGGGGTCCGAAGCATCCTCCGCAACTCGCCTCTGGAACCAACCTCGCGGCGGCGCTCGTTGTCCATTGCCTCCACCGCCGCGACGCGTCGGGTGTTTTTCCCGGCGAAGAAGCAGGTTAGCTATCGCTACCCTCTGGAGGAGGAAATCAAGACTGTGCGCTTCACTGCCAGGCACTCGGACATTCCCGTCGAGTCGGGCTTGAAAACGTCCGCGGCAGCAAGAACACCGGATGAGCATGATGAAGGCTCCGATTCGAGCTCCGCTGCTTCCTCCTCATCGTCCGAGTCAGGTACCTCAGACGAGGACTCTAGTGAACGCAAACCTCAGCAGAAAAAACGGAAGAAGCAGAGAACCTTGAGCAGTGAACGCCAGATCCGTGCCGCTGCCTTGGTCGATGGACTGGAGGCAGACAACACTGAACCAGTCACACCTCAAACCCCTGTCCGCGGTCAGGCGAAACGCCGCCGTGAGTGGAAATGGACTCTCGGTCCCGTGGAAACGAGGAACGAGCTGTACGGTCTTCCCGCCACGCCAGATGATGCCACGGCATCCTCCTCTTCAGTCTCTGCCACATCTGCCACGTCTGATAAAAAATCGATACCGATGCTATCCACTCTGGGGCTATCCACTAGTCTGAGCCACAAGCGCAAATCAGATGATGATCTGGAGACTTCGGGTGGGAGAACCGAGTCGCAGAAAGGTACAATTTGCACCGCTCAATATCTACCTTCTTGATGGGAATGAATAGAGATGATTGACTTTCACTTTCCGACATGGAAAAGACCTTGATGAACCCGCTTTGGAATTGACGACATCGACCACATCTGATTCACGACTTCCATGTCCCTCATCGCATAGCCGCGAACCATGCATGAAACAAATACCCAACCCCCCACGCCATCCTCAGCTGGCGCCGACACAACCTCACCTATCTCTCTTCTTTCCGATCTTGCTGCTCGCCTGCTCAGATCTTGACTTTTTTCTTTCGACTGTCTATATATCGGTCTTTCTTCTGCTTGCCAGCTTGGCTTGGTAGTTCGATTTTCCTTTCCATATACCCGGCAAGGCTCTGACCAGGCCCACCCCTACATTTCTTGCATATACTTTCTTCTTCTTCTTCAACTTGGGGGCATCCCTCTGCATATACATTTCATACATTTTTAGGTATATAGAATACGTTTCATGGCTGCATATAATTCTGGCAATGGCACTTCAGTTCATGGTCACTATATTAATAAGACATGCTCTCTACTCTATAAGATAACTATACTTAAGTTTTATGAGTGTGTTGAATTGATCCTTCTTCAAAACAATGCTTCAACAATCCTTTGATGGCTTTTAGAAGTGCCTTGTACTTTGTTGGCTCAAAGAATAGGTAGAACAAAGCCTGGCATCACAGGGTTTAACAAAGAGTCAAAGGGTTAAATGTCTATTCAGTGAAGTGTATAAAGGAAGGCACAATACAGAAAAGATAAAGAGACAATGCTTGATTATATCTCAAAGAACTGAGAGACTAGAAGCAATATAAATACTTCATCACATCACAGCCCATCTCAACTCAACTCACTACAGCCCAGCTCAGCTCAACACTTTCATAAAAATTACAAAACTTTCACAATGTCCAGCAACTACTACTACTACTCCTCCTCCTCCACGTCCGACGAAGACGCCATTCCAGCAGAGTACCGCCCTGTAATCCGGTTCCCCCCACCCCCGACGAACAACGTCATCCTCTCCAACGAAGGCACGTACGTGATCCCGGCGTCTCTCTTCGCGGGCCCCAAATGGATCACCTCCGCCCTGCCGGACGCCGAAACGGTCGTGCCCCTAACCACGCAGTGTCTCTTCTTTGATATCCTCTTCCCTTACCCCTCCGAGTGTGCGTTTGTGGCTGACATCGTCTCGAAAATCGATAGCGGAGCAGCCCATCTGGGAACCACGTGCGACGAACGCCCGGGCCTCGCGCTGGGCATCGAGCTCAAGGGCCACTTCTTCAACGTCGAGGAGATCTATCATGCCTGTGAGATGCGGATGTCTCTTCTCCAGCAGTTCAACGAGGAGGGGACTCTGCGGTTTGGGTATCCGTTTATCGATACGGAGGAGTATTGAGTCGAGTCCTTGTCTAGTGAGTATCGAGGTGAGTGGTTTACTCCCCTCCTTACTCTTTCTTTTGTCCGCTTCATCGCTGCGCTGATTAGGCTGTTAGTTAATAACATTATATAAGTCAAGGTAGTGAATGAGTATTAATAAGTGGTACTAAAGTTGTTAAGCTTAGCTGATTCGAGAAGGTACGACCAAGTCAATTCTAATACTCACTGCCGAAGACATTCTCTCGCCATGAATATATCCTAGTTAAGTATCTTGAGTATCTCTATTATGGCTCAACCAGACTTTGATATCATTATCGTTGGAGCAGGCATCTCCGGCATCACAGCGGCGTACCGCATCTCCACGGAGCTCCCTCGATCCACGTATACCGTCCTCGAGGCACGCCAGACCCTCGGTGGAACATGGGATCTATTCCGATACCCCGGCGTGCGGTCAGACTCGGACATGTACACGTTTGGACTGCCGTGGTACCCGTGGCGCAAGCGAGAGGCGTTCGGGCAGGGCCAAGAGATAGCAGAGTACCTCCAAGCTGCGGCGAGAGCTGCCGGCATCGACCGCCACATCCGGTACGGCAGGCGGGTGGTCTCGGCCGTCTGGTCGTCGGGACAGCAGCTGTGGAAGATCCGGCTGGAGAGACGCGACGTCGCCGAGCTGGCTGTTTCGCTAAGCGCCAGGTTTGTGGTGTTCGCCACGGGATACTTTGACTACAGCCGGGCTCTGGAGACGACCATCCCGGGACTAGACGACTTTCGCGGGACGGTGGTGCATCCGCAGTTCTGGCCGGCCGATCTGGACTACACTGGTAAACGCGTGGTGGTGATTGGCAGCGGCGCCACGGCGGTGACTCTGGTGCCGGCGTTGGCCAGGCGGGCATCCCGGGTGTTCATGGTGCAGCGCAGTCCCTCGTATGTCTTTTCCAAGCCGGCGGTCGACACATCGGAGATGGTGTGTCATGATCTGCTGCCTGGGTCGCTGGCGTCCCGTGTCCTGAGATGGCGGAGCATCGTCTTGCAGGCGGCAGTGTATCAATGGTGCCGGGCGTGCCCTGACGCAGCCCGGAAATGGTTGAAAGACAAGACGGCCAACCAGCTCCCCTCGCATATCCCGTACAGCCCGCATTTCGAGCCGGACTACAACCCATGGCAGCAGCGGCTGTGTGTCGCCCCAGATGGCGACTTTTACGCTGCGTTACGGAGCGGCAAAGCGACGGTCGTGACGGATAACATTCAAACCATGACGCCGAGGGATGTTCTCTTTCATTCCGGACGGGGCATTCCGGGCGTGGACATCATCGTCACTGCCACCGGGCTAAAGGTGCAGCTGATTGGGAACACGGTGCTCATTGTCGACGGCCAGCCGTTGTATATCAAGGACAAGTTCTTATGGAACGGGGTGATGATGCAGGATGTCCCCAACGCGGCCTTTTTGATGGGATCGACGCACAGCTCGTGGACTCTCAAGGTCGATGCATCCATGCAACTTTTCTGCCGCGTCTTGAAAGCTACTCTTCGTCGACATGCAGCGGCGGTCACCCCGCGAATCCGCGATGGCCCGATACAGACCGTGCCGCTGCTGAATCTCTCCTCGACGTATCTCCGAGTTTCTGCAGACGAACTTCCGCGTGCCGGAGACCGTGGGCCGTGGCGACCGGAATCTCACTTTCTGGTGAGCGTCCTGAAGGCATGGTATGGAGACTTGAACGAGGGGTTGGAATGGAGTTTACATCCTTATCCTTGATGTCCTTGGCTATATTAATTCTTACTAGCCTTATAATCATGTCTCCAAAACGATGAGTAGTCTATATCTCCCTAGTTGCTATTTATCCAACATCGCCGAGTACTGTATGTTTATCCCCAGGTGAGTGCTCGCTTAAATAGTCCAAAGATAATTATGTCTAGTAGTATAGTATCATACTCCATTCTCCATCGACTATTATTTCTACTGGGCATTGCTTGTTCTCGGCAAAACTAACCTCAATAACCACAATAGTAGGGATACACATCACGCAACTCCTTTTGTATCCCTCTGCCTAAAGATTCCTACTCTTCTTCAACAACAATTCTAACCTCAAACTCAAGTCACTAGCAAATCACTTGCAAAAAATGATGAAACCCTCCCTTTCGCCGTGGCTAACTGCTGCCCTGCTGCCTGCCCTGGCAGAAGCCTTCAATCTCGCCCAGCCAGGCCTCTCTCTAAGCACCATCACCGCTACCTCCGTCAACACCGTCACCTCGACCTCGAGCTCGACCATCCCGATCATCACCACCGTCAACAATTGCGAGGTTGGCACCGCCCAGCCCACCGACAGCACATGTGTGGATACCATCTGGTCGACAGACGGCACCTATCTTTCGCAATCCTGCGAATACGCCTACGTATATCAAGGCTCCCTGATTCGATATACCTCCGGGGTGGTCTACAGCGCGTGTGTCGACGACTGCATCGCAGTAGCGTCTTGTTCGGGGCTGCAGTATATGAGCAACCATCAGTACTGTTACTTATATGGGGGCTCGTTGGATCTGGAGCGGGCTGGGTATACATACGACCAGGCCATGGTTTATTATACCACCAACCCGTGCGTGGATACGTCTACCGTCTCCTTCTCCACGGAGACTTTTGTCGATACCGTCACCGTCACTTATACCACTGTCTATGTCGAGACCCTCACCCCTTCTTATACGCCTGTTTCGAGTACACCTGTTGCATCTTCGGCAGCAGCTTCTGCTTCTAGCTCATCATCAATCTCAGCATCTAGCTCAGTATCAATCTCAGCAACTAGCTCCGCAGCATCTTCAAGTGCTGTGACATCTTCTAGCTCAGCATCAAGCTCAGCATCTAGCTCAGCTTCAATCAGCCAGCTCCCCCATTCGTCCTCCCTCACAAGCAGTGCTTCCAGCACCGCCAATCATACCCTTACAGACTCGGTGGTTATCTACAGTATAACCTCGACTGTCTTCACTACCGACATCTCCACTGTCTATGGCTGCGCAGCTTAGTTTCCATATATCCATTGTATATTAATAGAATGAGACAATAGAATTAAACAATGCACAATATAATCTATAGCAATTGGTACTAGAAGTATCCAAGGTTCTATTAGGCTATGTTTGTCATCACGGACATGTCCGAAGGATGCCCCTCGAAACGCGGGGAAAGAGACGTGATGTGCCAGGGAAGAGGGGCAAGGATAAGGTGGGGGTTATTCTTACTCTTATTCTTATTCTTCTTATTCTTCTTTAACTGTTGATTCTATCTTCTATTCCATTGGAAGAGGAAGTACGTCAGTCGTAGTGAAGCGCTCTTCTTCTCTCCCCTCATCTGATTTCCCCGTTCAGTTTCAAAGTCAAGTCGCTTTCAAAATGGTCCTCGCAAAACCTGCTAACAGACATGTCCTCAAACTGTTTGACCTGACGGGCAAGGTCGCAATTGTCACGGGAGGGGCCCGTGGTATTGGTCTGGAGGTGTCGAGGGGTTTAGCTGAAGCCGGGGCAAATGTAAGAAACAAAGAACAGATTCAATAGATGGTGGATAGTACCATAATATGAGCTCATGGCATGTTAACATTTAGGTCGCCGTGGTCTACAACTCGTCGAGTGCAGCTAAAGGCATCGCGGCAGAGATCGGAACGACCAACAACGTCAAGACGGCCGCGTACAAGGCCGACGTAACCAAGCAGGAAGAGATCGAGGCTGTCGTGCACCAGGTGGTCAAGGACTTTGGCAGGCTGGACATCATGGTCGCCAACTCCGGGATCGCAACCTGTATCGCCGCGGAGGATTACACGACAGAGCAGTGGAGAGATATCATGAAGGTCAACCTCGACGGCGCGTTCTACTCGGCGCAGGCTGCCGCGCGGATCTTCAAGACCCAGGGCCACGGCAATGTCATCTTCACGGCCTCGGTCAGCGCGACGTTGGTCAATCTCCCGCAGAAACAGGCGGCTGTAAGCTTTTTTCTTTCTTCTTCTTCTTCTTTTTCTTTCAAGGCACTGATGCTTTTTCTGATCAATGATCATAGTATAACGCCTCCAAAGCCGGTGTAGTACAGCTGGCAAAATGTCTGTCTGTTGAATGGGTGGACTTTTGTCGTGTCAACTGCATCTCGCCCGGTTACATTGCCACGGATATCTTGGATATCCACCCCAATGAATGGCAGAAAAAGTGGCTAGACATGATCCCGGCAAATAGAATGGCTGACCCGTATGAGTTGAAGGGAGTAAGCTCGGCCGCTTTTTTCTGTCTTCCTTTTGCTTCAAAAGAGATCCTTCTAACAAGCCAAGGCTTTTGTCTTCCTTGCCTCCGACGCTTCGAGTTATATCACCGGCGAGAACATGGTTATAGATGGAGGATATACCCTGCCATAGACAGAACAGCTTGTATTCAATACTTGATTCTCACTGCTTGATTGAAGGGATTAGCAGTAAGAATTACTGCAAGAATTAGTTCGAGAATCGTTATAAACCGCATCTGAAGGGGATGGGGAAGACTTTACCAGGTCGACTCCTTGAAGTTCACTAAGAGCATACATTCTGGAAGATATATTATTCACTTGAGAGGTATGTGTCTGTATGACTCTTGTGCTCCTGTTTGTCTGAGTTATTGACAGGCGGTGTTGATATCAGCTTCACGGTGCTGGTCAAGTAGCAATACTTAATTTAGATATTTTACCCTCTTGTAACAAAATACCGAGCGGCATTCCAACCAACCAGCTCGCATGGCTCAGTTGGTAGAGCGCATGACTAGTAATCATGAGGTCCGCGGTTCGAATCCGCGTGTGAGCATTTCTTTTTGGATTTCTTTTTTGATATATATAGTTTTCTTGTCAAAATAGTTATTTATTTTTAATTTCCAGTATTAAAAACACAATAGAATAGGAAATATCTTTGGCTGAAATTGCCTATTGGAAGAATATAGTAGATTGAATAGACTATCCTTGCCTTGCCACTTGGTTATGGCAATCGACTGGGTGAAGAGAAGAATATATATTGGAACGGTATCCATTGGATGAAATCACTGTATTAAACTTTCCACGACATTGGTCTCCAATCAGAAATACATCGTGGGATTCAAGTCAGCAAGTCTCCTTGCCTTTCCTGAATGATGATCATCTATATTTGTTGCTGTCCTCAAAGGAGCTTGCGTCCATTCAGCTTGGCCATGGTACTCCTCCCGCATATTCTCAGCGGGCGCTAAAGCATGGCCGAGATTCTCCAGTGATTGTTGGACTTGTTCAGGAGAAGCATCTGGGTTCCTAGCTGTTTGAATGGTCTGCTGCAATCCACGTGTATTCTCTGATTGCAAATGACGAAATGGTGGTGATGAGTCTGTCAAATCAATCGCCGTGGAATGTCGAGATCTGCTGCTTTCAGCCAATTGACAGACTGAGCTCCTCGAGCCAGGAGATTGAGCTGCAAGCTCATCTTGGACGGATACAGCGATGAAATGGTCCCTCTTCGCCTCCCACCAGCGCTCTAAGTTCGGCCAGCCGTCTAGAGGGAGGCGTGACCATTCTCGAGTCCTTGTCGATTTTTGTTCCGTGGACCCTGCACCACACTTGCGTGAGACCTTCACGAGAGTGGTGGTGGTGTTTATGGAACGCAGCGTCGAGAGAGCTTCAAACAGAGCTAACTCCGTATCCGCTAATCGTAGTTCGAGTTGATTCAAATATCCTTGCGGCAGACCTCTTATATCAGGTAGTGAATCAAAATAAGTAGAAGCTCTGGACGGTCCGAGGTATAACTTGATTGCCATACGTACCTCTTCCCACTCTCAGGGTATGTACATTTCGACGGTTCACCCACACACTGTTTGCAGAATGGACTATGCAGTCAAATAAATATCACCTTAAAACACCAAGCATATATAATTCGTACAGGTTGCGGTCACACTGTAGAAATCATCAGTATTCTTTCTCTTTTTTTGCATACCACTGCAGGCATAGTATATATAGTACCTTGCACTTCCTTCGCCGGCAGAGCTCGCAGGCAATAGGACTCAGTAGCTCATCTAAGTCTTCATTAATAAAATAATGCACCACTTACTCATGGAACGTGAAGCGAACTCTCACTGGTAGACATTGAAACACTGTAATCCGTACTGCATGGAAGATCGTTGACTTGGAACTGACTGTCTTGTCTGCACGGAGCAAGAAACCTCCGGGAGATTGTACCACGTGATCTAGCTGACTGATTACTTAGTCATACACATCGCATCTCTTCAGCTCCTGCCTCCCTCCCTGCCTCCCTCAAGACTTCAAGCGTCGGGTGGCAGTGTCCCCGGCGTATTTCGACATCAGAATGGATGAAGACGAAGAGCCAGAATGGCATTATGACGTTCGAACAGCCAAAAGACGCAAAAGAGCCTCCAGCTCAGCAGCTTCCAGGCCATCTCCTCGAGAGATCGGACTGATGAGGGGCCCTAAAGACACCGATGGATCCGCAAGTTTTCTGGGCAGTTCGAGTGGAATATATTTTGTCCAGACGGTATATGACGCGTTTGCGCGCCGCTCTGCGGATTTGCATCAAACAGGGATCCGGAGTCGAAGCCTGGTGCCCGGCGAAGATGACCATCTGCAGAGGATCGGAAGGGCGAATGGACCTGCTGAGCTCTGGCTGAAGGATGAAGAATTGGATTTAGATACGACAGCAGATGAGTATCCTTCTTTTGAAGAGCTGATTCGCCTGTCTCGTGGCTATTTTGAGATCTGGCATCCTATCTTCCCGCATCTCCATGCCCCGACTGTCTTGCATATCATGGAGGCAATCGGTGATGATAACGAAATGCAAGACGTGAGCCGCTACGATTGGATGATATTACGATCCATCTTTACCATATGTCTCGCCGATAGTCGGCAGGTTGATGCTCCTTCTGAGAAGGAGAAGGGCAAGAAAAATAAGAGGAAAATAGGCCCTATTCCAGCCAACCTGGTTTTCCAAACAATCGCCGAAGCACTGGATGCTATTCATGCCTTGTTTCTTGAACCACCGACGCTTTCGATGCTACAGGCGGCGTTTAGTATCCAGCTGACACTTTCTTCGCTTCTGCGTCTCAATGCAGCATCACGGGTCGGCGGAGTGATCGTGCGCACTGCCTTCCATTTGGGCCTCCACCGCTGCCCGACACGGTTCCCTTGTTTCAGCCATGAGGAAGCAAATATAAGACGCCGGCTCTTCTGGTCTATATATTGCCTTGAAAGATATCTCTCCCAAGCCCTCGGGGTCCCTCTCAGTATTCAAGATGATGACATTGATGTGTGCTATCCTGGGGCAGAAAGACATGGCACAGAGAGTGTGGGTGATCATGGAGCCGACCAAGGCCGACTGCGGATGCTCACTCATCTGGCCAAATTTGCAAGGATACGGGGCCTGGTTCTTGAGCTTCGAAACAAATCAATTCTACACAGCCATGAGAATTCCCTCCATGCAGCGCAAGTTAATAGCGAGTTGGCGCAATGGTGGAACGAGGTTTATGAGGATGCTTATCCGATGGATGATGATCATTTAGATGGGAGCTCAGAACAAGAGCCGCTGCTTCTGCCGTATCATCGTCTATTACTCATCGTCTTGCGACATGAGTCGGTTATTTCGATGAACCGCCCATTACTAACTGCCGAGAGAACTTCACCAGAATATAGAAATGCACTGCAAGCGTGCATTGAATCCTCTAGATCTCTCATTTCCGCCCTAAAGAATTATATTTCTCCTGGCAATTCCAGGTCGACCGGAAATCTAGAATCATACGATCGTGCGCCCCTGAATTGGCCGTCATTTACCTGGACGACCTGGATGGCTTGTTTGATTCTGATGTTCACAGCGTGGGAAGGGGAACTCCCAACACCGGTGGCGCTCAAGTATGCTCAAATGAGTGTCTCAGTTCTAGAGAACCTGTCGTTGCGTGGGAGCACATGGCCAGAAACCTGTATCGAAGCCATTCGAGGCATGGTATCAGCTCTATCCACGAGTCTTGCGAGCGCTAATGCCACCAAAGCCCAACTCTCGTCTTCACATTCCAACGAAAGGCCATTTGTAACAAGAGATACGCCGCGCAGACCAGATAGCCTACCCTCTAAGGAACATATACCCCTCCAGGAGGACAACCAGACTGATCTATATTCATCTCCAGCTACCAGTCGACAGAATACCACAAAGCCATCTGCGGTAGTTCCTTCCGGAGAAATCCAGGACATTCTCAACATCCCCTCTTTACCTAGTCATAATGTATCTGACGTACCCGAAGGGCAAGATACCTCTTTCAATACTAACCCTGCTGGCCTTATATTCGGGGATATGGCAGGCCTTGACATGTCATATCATATGGCCTCCGCTGGCAGAGATGCCCTCCCCTTCTCAGAAACAACCTTGGGCACAAATTCCCTGTGGAGCATTGCAGATGGGCCGTGGATGATCTATGAGAGTTTCATGAGGAATTCCGACTGATATCAGCATCATAATTTTCGGATTTGCTATACTTTATAACTATATAACTATACTTCATGATCTGGTCAACGGACATTGTTTGTCCTGGTGGGGCCAGCCCGGTCTTTCGAATGTCCGTATCCAAATATTTTAAAAAAGAGGATCCCCGCATTGAAGACAGACTCGTTTCTAGCTTATTACATTCCGTGATTACTCGGGGAAAAAAGAAGAATATTCAATTGATTCAAAACCATACAACATGTCTTCGAAAACGTACAGCATCGCCGCCATCCCCGCGGACGGCATTGGACCGGAAGTGATTGCGGCGGGAATCACAGCTTTGAATGCCCTGGCAGACACTCTGCAGACCTTCAAGCTGGAGTTTACGAATTATGACTGGAGCTCTGATACTTACAAGCAGACGGGTAAATATATCCCGGATGGCGGTTTGGACGCGCTTAAGAAGCACGATGCTATTCTCTTCGGTGCTGTCGGTGCTCCTGGTATAGTAGTTTATCCATCCTATCACAACATAAGCAACCTCTTTTATTGACAACCTCAACAGACGTACCCGATCATGTGTCTCTCTGGGGTCTTCGCCTTGCGATCTGCCAGCCATTCCAGCAATACGCCAACGTGCGCCCGACCAAGATCTTCCGAGGCACCGAGTCCCCCCTACGGAGGTGCTCGACCGGAGATCTGGATTGGGTGATTGTCCGCGAGAACAGCGAAGGCGAGTATGCGGGACAAGGCGGGCGTTCGCACCGGGGCAAACCCTGGGAAATTGCGACGGAGACAGCCATCTTCTCGCGACACGGCGTTGAGCGGATCATGCGGTTTGCATTTGAGACGGCGCGCAAACGACCTCGCAAGCTGCTGACGGTGGTGACCAAGAGTAATGCCCAGCGCAACGGTATGGTTCTCTGGGACGAGGTTGCCAAGGACGTCAGTCTGGAGTTTCCGGACGTCACCGTCGACAAGATGCTGGTTGACGCCATGACCGCCCGGATGGTCTTGAAACCTGAGACGTTGGATACCATTGTCGCCAGTAACTTGGTAAGTCCTCTAAATAACATACATACCGTTACATTAAATATTAATATGATATTAGCATGCCGACATCTTGTCCGATCTAGCCGCTGCGCTGGCGGGGTCTATCGGCATCGCGCCAACCTCCAACCTCGACCCAACGCGCGAGAATCCCAGCATGTTCGAGCCTATTCACGGTTCGGCGTTCGACATCACGGGGCTGGGGGTTGCGAACCCCGTGGCTACTTTCTGGACCGCAGCGGAGATGCTGGCCTGGCTTGGTGAAGAGGATGCGTCGAAGCAGCTGCTCGAGTGTGTGGAGAAGGTGTGCGAACAGGGGGTTTTGACTCAGGATCTGGGCGGCAAGGCGACGACTCAACAGGTCACGGACGCTGTTGTTGCCGAGATTAGGAAACTGTCCACCCAGTAGATTTGCTGTTCTGGGGTTGCCTTGGCGGTTGGCATTCTATACATAAAAGACAGCGATTCTCGACCTCACGAAGCCCTTCACTAGACTTCACTATAGTTTAGCGGTCGTATAAGAATTCATCCATCCTCTGGAAAAGGCGTCGATTAGATGATATCAGTATCTTGGCTCGGAGACCAGGATACCTGCCAGTGATGACGTATTGAGGAGTCATTAGACAGAGAGTCCAGTCTGTCTGCTCTCTTGAAGCTGATACCTGAACAGTCGGGGAGTTCCGAAAAACCGCTGCCTATTAATCCCTCGCTTGCTCGGAATACAACCCAAGAGCCTTTTTTCTGACGTCAAACCCGCAAGGATAGCTAGCTATCTTTTGCCTGCCGCCCTCTAGTACAGCTAGTCACCTAGGTAGTTATCTCTATACCTCCGTACCAGCGAACATCGGCAGTCGGACGTGGAGAACATTCGCGGACATCCGACGACACCCACCGGAGGACCGACATGGAGGTCCTTCCAGCTCGAGGCGAAGAGCCAATCCCCATCGCCACGGTCCGGCCGTGCTCCTCAGGGCGGCTCATCGGAGGCACCGCTGTGGACCCGAAAAACAAGACAGTTTCACCGTGCGGGTAAAGTTTATTACCGTCGGCGTCCCGAGTGTTACGGAAGCTGCAGGGCTTGGGTAGGAACGTAGGTCGTTCCCAGTAGTGATAGGGACTCCGTAGATCCGTATACCCACTGTTGAGAAGAGTCGTAATGAAAATTGCTGCTACCCCAGAAATTGGCGGGATTCCGCCGGCTTTCGGATGAGAGACCCATGGCGATTCGACGGTCTGGAAGGCGCTTGCACCGCCATTCCCTCCACCAACCGATTTGTGCTGGTTACGAAGTATGCTCTGGCCCAATCAGCGACTGGGGCCCAACATCTAGAAACCTCCGTTTGTAGGGAGCTGGTCTATTATTGAACAGTGCCAGAGCCGATGTGGATGTAACTTCTTCGTGGATTCAGCTTGTGGCTGTGGAGAAGGAAATGACGGTACGGAAGTTTCCGGGTATTGGGCCTCGTTTCTGTATATGAAAGAAAAAGGTCAACAATGGCAGGTGAATACAGAGTATAATAATATGGCTCTCATGGCCCACTCCTGTCTCGAGTCAATTGAATCTCTAAAAGAGTGAAAAGAAAATAATCGGTTGACTTCCTTATCTTGTCTGTTTCTCTCTCATCTCATCATGGCTCCCTCGATTGATAACGACTTTGCTGCCCCTGCTGGTATCCAGACGTTGCCTTCCTCGGCTTGTAAGATCGGAATCAATGGATTCGGTCGTATAGGTGAGTGATTGATTGCTGCGAAGAGGCCTGTTTGTTGGATCAAGGATCAAAACTTATTCTAGATTCCTCTGCTAGGCCGTAATGTCCTGCGTGCTGCTCTTGTCAGATCAGACGTCGAAATCGTCGCCATCAACCACACGTGCACCTCCGTCGAGGACCTGATCTATCTTATCCGATATGATTCTTCTATGGGCAAGCTGCACGATGAGGTCAACATCCGCGCTCTCTCAGACAACCTCATCAACATCAATGGCCGGCAGATCGCGCTGACCTCGGAGCGGGACCTTCAAAAGCTCAACTGGAGCAGCCTGGGAGTTGACTATGTCGTCGAATGTACCGGAAAGTTCACCAAGAAGGGCTTGGCCATGGACCACGTCACCTATGGTCAGGCCAAACGCGTCGTTATCTCGGCTCCTAGCTCGGACTCGCCCACCTTTGTGTATGGCGTCAACTCGAACGACTATCGTGCCGACGACGACCACCTGGTGATCTCGTGTGCAAGCTGCACCACCAACTGCGTGACTCCGGTTTTGAAGGTTCTGCAGGAAAGCTTCGGTATTACCCAGGGATTCCTGACAACGGTGCATGCCGCTACACGCTCGCAGCAGGTTCTGGACGGGTACAGCAAGAAGAGTCGCAGACTGGGTGAGATATGCCCTGAGCACATGCTTTTTTTTCCATCTTTTTTCCCATTTTGTTTTCACTGACTTTCTGAAACCCCAACAGGCCGCAGCGTCTTTGACAATATCATTCCTACCAGCACTGGGGCTGCAAAGGCCATTGCTGCCGTTCTCCCCGAACTGAAAGGAAAGGTCACTGGTGTTTCAATCCGGGTCCCGACGTGAGTAGAAGCGGTCAAAAAAAAACGAGAAATCTATAATCATGCTCAGTTCTGACACTCTCGCAGTCCCAATGTCTCCATGATCGATTTGACGATCAGCACCGAGAAGCCCACCTCGCTGGCCGAGATCACCGCCGCTTTCCGTCGAGCCAGCAAGCTCACCCTCTCTGGAGTACTGAGCGTCACCGACGAAGAGCTCGTCAGCAGTGACTACAACGGCAATCCCCACAGCGCAATTATTGATGTCCCTGCCTGTGCAGAACTGAATCCTCAGGTATGTCATTTCGGGTTTCTCCACGACAGTCAAAGTTTGGTTCCTAACTCTACAATCAGTTCTTCAAGATCATGGCATGGTACGATAACGAATGGGGGTATTCTAACCGCCTGTTGGATCTGACTGCCTTTGTTGCCAAGCAGGAGGCAGCGTAAGCCGCTTGCTAAGCTTTTGCGATGGATATGATGTTGATAATGTTTGCTGGCTGGCCACTGCTCTTTTCTTAATACCCTTTTTATCATAGAATCCATACAAATAGAACTTATTAGATTGAGAATGTCTTTCCAGTCCGAAGGTTGTTGTTCCTTAGAAAAAGTCGTCTTCGAATGAAAACAAACAAACCGAAACGCCGACGGTCACGTTTTCCGTCTGTCCTCTTCTGTCAATTCACGCCCAAAAGTCGGAATTTCGACTTTTGCACTTCTCCCAGCAACTTCCTACCGAGCTCCCTGCTTCTAGGTGGCCAGCTAATCGGCTACAGCCTAATAGCATCTCTCAGCTATCCTGGATTCATGATATATCTGGGTTAGTCTCACCTTCTCAAGCTGCTATGTCTCCTTTGAAGCTTCTGCTATCATCTACCATAACCAGCGGTGTCCCCAACTGACCAAGCCAGGCAAGAACAGAACGTACCCCTATCGCCAAGATGGGATATATGATCCATACGTCCAACGCTCATCTCTCGATCGGAGACCTTAATGGGGGGATTGGTACTCGCCGGTTCGATCCCGCGAAGATGTACCTCCGGCCCCTGGAACCAGACGAAGTGGAGGTTCCATGGAGCGAAGAATGGACGTGTGTGGCCTGCTACAAAGCAGAAAGATGCTCGAAGTGCAAGAAGATGGCTGTGCACATAAATTCCATCATTGTTGCCGTGGATGGGGCGTGCAGAGGCAATGGAACCTCTCATGCCAAAGCTGCCGCTGCAGTCTACTTTGGACCCCAGTCCGCTTACAACGTTGCCCGGGTTCTGAACAGCCCAGATCCAACCAACCAGAAAGCAGAACTGGAGGCAGGAATTATTGCCCTCGAAAGAGCCTTGGCGATATCTAAGAACGAGAGATTCTATTCCTACGACGACGACTCGGGCGCCCTCCTGGAAACGGTGGTGGTCAAGACCGACTCTGAATATCTCGCCAAGGGGATGTCCGAGTGGGTGTTGAAATGGGAGCAAAACGGCTACATCAATTCTCGAGGCTTGCCTGTTCTGAACGCTTCATTGTTCCGCACACTTCAAAGTTTGGCTGCTGAGCTCGAGGAGCGAGATGTGAAAGTCCTCTTCTGGCACGTCCCCAGGCATCTCAACAAGAAGGCCGATCAGATGGCGAACAACGCGCTGGACGGTAAACCTATCTAGGTTGTCTAGGGCTAAATCAGTCGAAAAAATGCGACATATCAACCCATCCGTTAACTAGTTATTTGCAAAACTTATCATGTTATCAGCTCAAAATTGTACGGCGGTTTCTGATTGAACATCTCCAGGCGACGATGTCCAGTTTGAAAAAACACACTCAATAATCAGCAAGAATGGAGGCAAAGGAGCAACTAGCTAATCACTTACTAACTAAGCAATATATGTATAATTTGACAATGGTGGCTGAATCTTTCTATCTTATTGTCTTTGCTAAATAGCCACAGAGTGCACAGACCCATTTCAGCTGAGACATTTCGTCTAAATACCCTTTTTCACCCCCCACTGTCCCCTTTTCTCCTTCTCTCTATTGTCGTGAAAGCAAGCAAATATGCGACAGAAAAGGTTCCTTTTGGCCCTCCTTGTGTTTGCATTTCTCGCCGCCTGCTTGTGGCTAGGTGGAGAGAGAGCATTGCCGTTGGCCGCCCGACTGCCAGAGCTTCCGTATGCGCTGAATGGGTTATGGCGCGACGAGACGGCCCAGCTGCACGAGGTTGCGGATCTCATGCTGAAGATCTACGAGACGCTCGCCCGGATGCGCTATATCGATCCCTCGGCAATCGAGCGTGGCCCACATAATGTCACGGAGCTACTCCCGCTGTATGAAACGCTGGGCCTGGACTCGTCCGTCATCTATCTCTACAGCATTCTCCCGTATATCAACCCCATAGTCGCTGGGCGGAGGGACTTTTTCCACGGCGGCCAGTTTGCCGACTTTCGTGACCCGGAGCAGGTGGAGCAAGGCCGCGACCCGTTCTACGCAAATCCTGAAGACAATGACGGGGACTTCGACGCGGAGAACGGACCGTACATGCGGCCGTGGATGACACCCCTGTCGCAGCTGGGGAACCACGAGAGTGTTATCTTGTACGACGCCCGGAAACATCGGGTCTGGATCATTGATCAAGAATCGTGGGCGAGCACCGATCTTGCGCTGGAGGGAGTGGAAGACGGCAAGCCGAGGAGTCATAATGAGAATAGCTTCGAGCATATTCCTAGTCGGCCCGCCGGGGCGGTGTTGCGCGATATCAACAACTGGTATCTTTCTCTGCAAGAGGTGCCTGGGGGCGGCGAACAGTCCGATGCGTCATGGGGTAATTGGCCGCTGAATCTGACGGCCCTGTACCGGGCTCATGGCTGGCCAGATGATTTCGACGGCGATGCCTTTGGAGTCAGTCAGGCACGGGCCTATGCTGCCTGGAATGCCAAAATAGATTCCGAGGAACCGCTGAGAAAAGTAGAGTCACTGGCGCGCTGGGAGAAGGCGTTAGATGACCAGCGCGTGAAACAACTTGGCGCGTCGGCTACGGCCAACACTCCAGATGAGAAATGGGCTGCCAATTTCGAGCTATGGAAGATCGACCGCAAGATGGCCTTGAACCAGCGAGCCCTTGAAGAGGCACGGCAAGAAGTAGACAGGCGGTGTCCTGGAGGAGCATGCCAGAAGAAGGAAGACCTGCCGCTGTGGGAGCTGAAAGCGCTGCGTCCTGAGCTCCAATCAAAACAGTCCGAATTGGCATACCTCCAGGACAGCGATGATGGCCCAGACCTTTTCAAACCCGGATTACGCCAAGCGGAGATGGAGGCCATCGCATATCAGAAGGCGCTTGAAGCTGCCACGGCCGATGCAGAGCGCTTGTGTCCCGGTAGAAGCCTACAGCTGGCCCCGGGGAGCGGCAGACAGCAGGTAGACAGGATTGTATCTCTGCAGGGAGAGTTAGATGCGTTCAGAGAGTGGGCGGTGCAGCTGCCGAGTGAGGCTCAGAAAACCCGGGAGATGGTAGACTCCGACATCCACCAATTCGAAGAGAGCCTTCGATTCGAGCAGAGCAGACGGCAGAAGGAGTCGAATACCGCAGCCTGACAGGTTTTACTCCGTACTGTCAACTGGCTGATTCTGTTGATAATCTCCCCTTGCTGTGCACAGCTCAGGTTACACAACATATACGACAGGGGAAAATAACACCCGTGAAGATTTCTTTCTTTCAACTCCCCACTATCCCATCAATGACACAGGGGGGTGCATCATGGCAGAAAATAATACCCCTCTTTGCGTGTGTCTGGCGCAATTGCTCCTGACGGCCACTCTACTCTGCACCACTCGCAAGGGCTCACCCGTCCGCCATGTTGCTCTTGTCAGTACTGTGGCCGGATTGTACTGGCAGAGGATGATACTGCCCGAGTCTGACAATGGGCCAACGGTCAAAGCATTTGTGGGTATCTACCTGTTCACGATGGGCATACATTCTATCAACGTGCTCTTCATCCTCAACCTGGATAAGACCGATCTAGCGCAGGAAAGAAGAAGACGAGGAGGAGGAGGAGGAGGAGGAGGAGGAAAGAGAGGGGGGAGTGGAAGAAGAAGAAGAAGAAGAAGCTCAAGTTCCTCTACCAAGAAGGAAATGCGCTCCCTCGCCGACTTTTGTACAGCACTACGACTATTACTTGATCTCCGCGCAGTGGGAACCCGCTGGCAGGCGAAGAATACCCCCCCGTGGCCGTCGTATTTCGGCACAGATCCTAACCCCCCAAGCCAGACTGCATTTGTTCTCCGACAAGCCGCAATCGGTCTATGGGAGTATCTGCTTCTGGACTTGATCTTTTCTCAGAGCGGACGGGGGCTACCCTCCGACGATTTCTCCTCCTTCTCGTCTTTCATCAACCCGACGCACGGCCGATGGCAGGTTCGTCTACTCTCCAGTCTGGCAGTTTGGCTTGTATTTGGCCGAACACTGGTGGACGTGATCTACCGGTTCGTTTCGATGGTGGCCGTCCTTTCGGGATTGACGATGCCGGACTGCTGGCCACCTTTTTTTGGGAGTATGTGGGATGCATACACCTTACGCAATGCATGGGGGTAAGCAAAGCGCCCCCCTCCTCTGTAGACAGAACCTCGAAACTGATTCCCAGTAGCAAATTCTGGCATCAGCAGTTCCGATGGCCGTTCACCACCTTCAGCTCATTTGTGAGCCGGTCCGTACTACATCTTCCGCGCCACTCCCGGGTCGAACGGTCTATGAGTGTCTTACTGGCATTTCTACTCTCCGGGCTAATGCACCATGTCGGGTCGCCTGTGGAGGAAGCGTCCGGGGCGATTCCATTCTTCACCGTCTTCGCTGTCGGCATGGTGATCGAGGATGAGCTGTTGTGGCGGTGGCGGTGCTGGTTCGGGCGTGGATTTTACTCGACAGCGACAACGACGATATGGGAAAGAATCGTCGGCTTTGTATGGGTATCTGTGTGGTTGGCTATGGTGGCGCCCTGGTACACGGCTGACATCGTCCGAGTGGTTGCAAGCACGAAGACTCAACTCCCCGTGAGTCTTGTGGATGCGTATGGGCTTTCGACTGCGAGTGTTGTTCTTGCTATTGGAGCAGTTCTTCTGAAGGTCATATTCAAAACTAGCCTATAACAGCTTTCCCGGTGAAAATGAGTAATGCATCCAGTTAATCAGGAATCACAATGCATACCTTTTATAGTAGTTAACCTAGGCCCAAGTACTCCGTAGTACACACGGAGTATTCCCCTACAGGCTCGTAAATGTTTTCCCGTATAAAAGTGAGGCAGGGATCCACGGTGGCTCTCCAGAAATGAATCCACCAGAAACACGCCGTCCGAATAATCCTAGACACTTTTCCCTTAGCCATTCGCTAATTCTAATTAGTCTATTAGTGAGTATTGGCGTCGACCATGACTAAGGTTGCATTAAAGGAAGATCCGGCCTATTGCAGCAGCCTGTCCTTTGACTACTCCCACGCTCAACTATGACGCAGGAGAGGGGCCAGGAGTCTTGATCTTCCTTGGAGAGCTGGCTGTTCTTTTGCTTGTGACCATTTGGCTGATTTGTCCTGCTCACGTCCCGGGTCTCTCTCTCTTTGTGTATATTGTACACGTTTTTGAAAAAAGACACACAGACTATGAACTGCTTGTATTGTACACATCATACCATAACAACGCCGTGTCGATGGCCGGCAAACCCTCTGGATCCTGTCCAAGGGAGCCGTTAGCACAGCTGCACAGGAACCGAACGAGTGCAGTCCGGTTGGAGTCCTCGAGAACATTGCACAGCTTCGTCAAGTTCATTGATGTGCGGACCAGACGGCTCTGGCGCTCGGTGACCACCGTGGCAGGGTTGTACTGTTCATATACGTTGAACAAGACTTCAATCACGAGAAATAGAAATCCTTCTAGATTAAGGGTCATATGGCCCTGCCCATTATATGCAGTGGACCTGGTGGTCCGAGCCAGGTGCTCCAGAAAGTATTGGGTTTGAGCGGGATCGTCTCGCGTTTCCCACAGGAACCATACAACAAGGAAGACGGCAAGAAAATGGCTCTTCTGCAGAAGCGGGCCGAGGTAGCCTTTTTCCTGATGCTGCATGAATAACGACAGCGGCGCTGCATCCAGGAGCTTGCGATGGGTTGGATTGTGGAAGACTCTGTCCCAGGCACTCGCTGCCGCATCCTGCGCAGCCCCCATCACATAAGTGCTGCTCGCCGCAGCTAGTTCATTGACCATCTCCAGCGCTCGTTCCAGGGCATCCCGCCAGCGACTCGGTTTAGAGGGTTTCTGATGACCACCAACCAAGTACACCAGAATATGATGTATTTGTGAGGTCGGGGGAGAAAACATGCTCAGCACCCTTTCCAGCCCGCCGTCGGCTGGGATAATTTGCTCATATCCTCTCCGATGGACATTGACCAGGTCATCGTTGAATGTGCGTGCTTCGACGATGATTGCCGTGAGGGCGCCCAATACAATTTCCCTTGTCAGCTGGCCTTGGCTCTCGCTAATCATTTGATTCAGCAGCTGATATAGCCTGGCTCGGCGTTGGAACACGGAGGCTGGTATCGGTCGACCGGCAGCTCTGGCGGCGTACGTCTCTGTCTTGATTAGGATCCCTTGTAAGGCTATCGGAGACGTCTGAGCATGGGCAAGGCCACGATCACTCAGCAGATGGATGCTTCCATTTGTGTTTGTGCCGTATACCATCGATGGATACGTTGTCAGGTCTAAGAGTTTCGTTCAGGTTAGCAGAAAAAAAAAAAAAAAACCACGCCATCGCTCCATGGATGAAATTCAATGAATGACATTGCAGACTGACACTGTTGCAGAAGAGCCCCTTCCTCCAAGTTCACTTCAAGCCCTAGGGAGTGGAAGATTGATTGTGACGGGAAAGACGGTATTTCCATGCTAGGCCGGTAGATTGGCCACAGAGCACCGGCCACGGAGGAAGATGGGGAACTTCCTAGTTCTATTCGCTCCTGATTAGGTGGCTCTACAGGTACATAGTCGGACTCCTCCTCTGTGATATCTTCCTCACATTCCTTCGTTGACGGTGTATGTGACTCGTTTCGACCGCTGATTCTCAGCTGTACCCGTTGTCAGTTTGACCATCAGTCTCCCTGCCTCCCGCGACATACCCGTTTCTGTGGCGCTTGTCCCGCCCTCCAGGTATTCATCTGCATTCTGAAATTGCCATCAGACGGCAGCGAAGACATTCGAATCTCTACCTAGAATGACAGGCAGTCATCCTCGAAGTGTAAGTCAACTTATGATGATGCTTGTCACCGTGAAGCGAAGAGAGGCTCTCACCTTGTGCGATTACAGCCTGAGTTTGTCTGCGAGTTCAACGACCGACAATGATTACTTCCCCTTCTTCGGCCTCTGTACCTTCTCCTCGCTCACCGTTCGCTACGGTCTCTCTGCTGGACAGAGAGTGGGGGTCTAAACGCCTGAGTGGGGATCAGACGATGACTGGGATCTTCAGTTCTCGCAGGACAGATGAGACTATCGACGCCTGTGGGAAAAGTTCTGCGCCTCCGCCATCACAACGCAATCTGTTCCTCCATATTGCTTGGTGTGTTAGATGACTGTATCAACTTTTAATCCACTATGCGCTTACGTATTCCCTCTGAAGACTGCCCGGTGGGTGTTCTCAGTCGACTCGGAGGCTAACTGCTGGAGCCATCGGCCGTCGGTGGCCGCACGCATCTCGTCAACCACCACCAATCTCTCAACATCGATCACATAATATGCCCGAAAGACAGGGATGATCTTAGTCAGACCCTGCCTCTCTCCTGGGCATCGGGCTCCACCTTGGCTTGTTGAGAATCCGCTGAAATACTACATATATCACCTCATAAACTGACACTGGTGATAGTCAGCCAAACGCCAGATTTTGTCATCCACGCGGAACTTTCAACTTGGAGCCGCGAATCCTTTGTTTATCTCGGTGCTTGCTTTCGATCCTGATTTGTAACTCTTAGTCAGCTTTGTCATCGAGGCTAGGATTAATAGTCTCATATGATTATGACGAGCTCTTGTCTCACAATATTGATTCGGAAACGTATTATTTTTCGCTGCTATTATTACTCTTCCCGTTGTCGACAACCGAGCGGCGATGCGATAAGTCAGCATATTATCAACTTATTTGCTCCGATCAGACATCACGCCTCTGTAATTCTATTTCAAACCGTGGCACTCACCTATCATGTGGCTGTAGGACTGTGTCCCTGGAGAGCCTTCTCTGTAGCGAGCGACAAAGACTAGCTATCGATAACTGGCCTCAGAACTTGATTGATCGAGGTCTTGATGCTTCTTAGCCCAATGACCGTGCTCTTCAGAGACACCAAGTCTGAAGATCCTTGGGGATGGGGATGTCTGTCTGGAAGATGGTTAGGGGTGACTTGACGCCAGGAAATAATGTCAGACGTCAAGCTCCAGCCTTTCCCAATCCAGAAAGCGCGGTCACGTTATCCCACATTTCCTACACTGCACACGCAATTTGGCCTCTCTTACTTCATCAGCTACACTATCGGTATCTTCGTGTGGTTTCTGTTGTCTCTCGAGAGTCATCTAGTAGGGGGAAGCCGATCTATCAGACACGTCCGTTGCTCACGTCGGCCCAAACGTTACCAAAATGCTCGTCTTGTCGGGTTCATTGGTGGTGTCTTGGTCCACACGGCCATCTGTGAGAGCTGTTACATATAATTTACCGGGAATGGCTCGCCGGAAAGTGGGATCCAATTGCTAATGATAGTTGTGGTTAAGAATAGTTTTCCTTCGCGGTGCAATATAAAGATCCGATGTGACCGGGGCTTTTTCCAAACTCTCCTCAATCAACACATTCGGATACGAACATAGCGTCGGTACATACAGAGAACCGAGATGACCATCCAGTCCCTTTTGAAGAATGCAACTCTGCCAAATGAGCCATGGCTCATAGACCATCTTCGAATCGCCTCGGAGGCTAGCCAGGTTATCGTCAATGACCCATACCTAGACGTGAGAGCGTCGCACTCACAGCTGTGGGCCGATGTTCTCCAGACACGGACCCGCCTGGGGGACGAGCTCTCACCATTTCTCCAAAACGGTTTCTTCAAGGAACCGCTGCACATCTGCGTTTTGTCAGAGCTAAATTACGAGTTTGTAGTTGGCGCTCTTGCAGTCCTGGCGCTGGGAGGAGTTCTCGTATCACTGCGTGAGTATTTCTCAGGCATTGGTTGTCATGGTTCAAACTTCAAAGTAACACAAAAAGAGAAAAAGAAAACTGACTTCGCACTTTCTTGATGGCTAGCATCAAGCCTCTCCCCACGAGAAACCCTGCATTTCATCCGAAACTGCAAGTTGAAGTGCATCCTGACTGGGCTGAAGTACATTCCCAAAGCCGGCCAGATCCAGAATTGCTCCACTTCTGTGCACGTTATTCCAATTTGCATCAAGACCAACGCTCCCGAGACGTTCTCCGCCCTCCAACTCCAGGTCGATGACAGCGCCGCCATCCCATCCACATGGCCAGGTCTCGTTGTATTCTCCTCCGGCTCTACCGGCATAACAAAGGGTGTCGTTCATTCACGTCGCCTGCTGAACTCTTTCCCTGCTGTAAAGCCAAACTCGGGTACAGTAGCGCACCGCCCTATCAGCTGGGCCGGGGGGACAGTAAAAATCCTCATGGCAATCATCAAAGGTCAGCGTTTGGAGATAATCGACCCCAATCTTGGTCCAGAAGAGTTTTGGAATCGGTTCCGCGAGGGAACCGTCACGAATATGTTCGGTACAGTCTTTCTGTGGCAAATTCTGGTACAGTATTTCCAGGAGATAATATCTCGGCTTCCGCTAGAGGACCGCCAGAGATATCTCGACGGAGTGCAGAGGTTGGAGAAGCCCCAGCTTGGGGGTTGCTCACCACCATTGCAGTTGCTCAGAGATTGGAAAAATATAACGGGACGCTCACCATACGTTGGGTACGGGTCAACGGAAATGTGCATAACGCTGCTGATGACAGATCCAGACAATGACGACTTGACGCTAGAGGTGAGTTCTTCCAGGTTGAATTCAATTTTTGCGTCTTATGGACTGTTTGGCTGATTTCAAGCCATGCAGCGATGTCTAGAAAAGCCGTGCCTTGATGGAAGTACGATCAAATTGTCCGAAGGTGACCGAGGAGAAATTCTCATCAAACAGGACTTTACCTTCATGGGGTAATCACTATATCCAACAAGGCCCTCCCCCCAAAAAATCGGACCTTCGGTGAACTGACGAGATTGAGAAAAGATACTTAAACAACGAGATCGCTATCGATACGCTCTTCGACGAAGACGGCTTTTACAGATCTGGCGACCTCGCGCATATGGTCGGCGACCAGTTCATATTTGACGGCCGCATCTCGATAGATTGTAAGCTTCCCGCCCATAGCAACAACCAATTCCTCTAATATTACCCCTGCGCTGTCACAGTCATCAAGACCATCGGCGGACCCGTTCCCGTCCTCCAGCTTGAACAAGAGATTCTGAAGCTGCCGTACGTCGTCGAAGCATACGTCCTGCCAGTCCCAGACCGCACATTTGGGCTTCGAACCGGAGTTTTGGTGCGGTTCCAATCACCGACCGAGCACCAGCAGTCTCTGCGCACGCTACGGGCCGATTTGGCTCACAGTTTGCCGCCTTATTCACTTCCGACGGCTCTGCGAATCCTGCAGGATCACGAAACGATCAGTGTGACCGATTCTGGCAAGATTGCAAAGCAGACGACTCTGGAGCGGTTCTTCCCTGCCAGCCTGGATCGTGAGCTGCGAGCAGACGGAGCAGTAGAGCTGTGGGATATTGTCAGCCCCGATGGGTTACGAAAGACCATCTCGTCATAACTGAATCAGAGATTGGAAAAGCCCTCATCCCTTGGCGATCTCGGGGGGGCTGACCCGGGGGTTGACCGGGGGGCCCGGGGCTTTCAGAAGCACCCGCCCCATCTCTATCCTGTTTCTCTTTGGACAAGAAAAGAGACGAAGAGGGGACAGGGGAGAGGTACAACAATAATAATGAACACCTTATGTACCCTCCTTAGGGAAACCCTCCAACCGTTGACCAGAACGTGCCCGGGTAAAACCTTCGGCCCTCGTTCTATGTGGATCTTCCCGACTGCCCGACAATGATCGGCGTCCGCTCTCCGGCAGAGCGCTTTGCCAGGCGCAAGCCAACCCGAAGGCTTCGGCAGCCCGTCATCTCTACAGACTAATATTATTAATTGACGAGCGTTCTATTGATCTCCACGATCCCCACGCCAGGGGGTTTTTTACTCATCCCCGGAATGCACGGCGTGCGTTGGTCTGGGGAGAAATGCTTCGCCGGTGTTCAATGCTCAGATGTACCCCGTGGAGATAGCACAAAAGTATAGGGAAAACTCTGCGTTGTCCTTCCGGCCGGTGTCCGCTCTCGGTCAGCGCTTCCGTCATTCCCTTCTTCACTGCGATTAGTTCGCTAACTTTGCTCTTTAACTTTGCTGTCGTTGAGAAGAATTGTTAAGTACTAGAGAAGGCAATCTCCCGGTCTGACTGTCTGCCTCCTTCTTCTATCCTGTCTATCTGTCGTTGGTACAGAGCTCCTTCGCCCCCCTCTCCCCCTGTTCGGTCTTTTTTTTTTCTCCTTTGGATTCTTTGCTTCGTTTGCTTTAGAAGAAAGAAAGAAAGAAAACCCTTGCCACAAAGACCATGGGTGTCCTCACCGTGGTCGAAGACAGACCGACGCCCTCTGCTGTCTACAACTGGCGTATCTACCTGCTGGCGGCCATTGCATCATGCGGTTCCTGTATGATTGGGTACACGAGTGCCTTCATCGGCACGACTATCACCCTGGACTCGTTTGAATCAGAGTTTGGCTTTGACACCATGTCTACCGAGCATGTCGATCTCATCAGCGAGAACATCGTCTCCTTTTTCATTGCCGGTGCCTTCTTCGGTGCCCTCTTGACCTACCCCATCGGTCATTTCCTGGGCCGTAAATGGAGTTTGGTCATTGCTTCATCCGTCTTCACTCTCGGCGCCGGTCTGCAGCTCGGGGCAAACAGCAAGACTGGCCTCGGGATCATGTATGCTGGACGGGTGCTGTCCGGGCTGGGTACCGGTACGGCATCGAACATCATCCCGATCTACATCTCTGAGTTGGCCCCGCCGGCAATCCGTGGCCGACTCGTTGGACTGTACGAGTTGGGCTGGCAGACTGGAGGCCTGGTTGGCTTCTGGATCAACGTGAGTTTTCTCCCTCTCTCCCTCTCTCTCTCCCTCTCTCTCTATTCACTCCCTCTTTTCTTCTCATGCTGAAATATGATACTTTTATTTAGTATGGCGTTGAGAAACATGTGCCCTCTAGCAACAAGCAGTGGCTCATCCCCTTTGCTGTGCAGCTGATTCCCTCCGGATTACTCTTCGTCGGAGCCTTGTGGATCAAGGAATCCCCTCGTTGGCTCTTCCTCAAGGGACGACGGAGCCAGGCCATGAAGAACCTGACCTGGATCCGCCAATTGGAAGAATCGGACATCTACATGGTTGAAGAGGTCGCCGCCATTGACCAAGCACATGAGGAGCAGGCTTCCACAGTCGGCGTCGGCTTCTGGAAGCCCTTCCAGAGCGTTGCCACGCGCCCTCGGATCCTGTACCGACTCTTCCTGGGCTGCATGCTCTTCCTGTGGCAGAACGCCTCCGGCATCAACGCCATCAACTACTACAGCCCGACCATCTTCACCAGCATCGGGGTCTCGAAAAGCGCGGTCGGCTGGACCACCGGCATTTTCGGTGTCGTCAAGACCATCATGACCTTCATCTGGCTCCTGTACCTGGTCGACCAGCTGGGCCGCCGCAAGCTCCTCCTCATCGGCGCCATCACCGGCTCCATCTGTATGTGGGTCATCGGCGCCTACATCTGCGTCGTCCGACCCGATGAGCACCCCAGCGAAACCCTCAACGGCGGCGGTATTGCCGCCATCTTCTTCTTCTACCTCTGGACGGCCGTCTACACCCCGACGTGGAACGGAACGCCCTGGGTTATCAACTCGGTATGTCCAATAATATTCTTCAAAGCAAAAAGAAAAAAAGAGATTTGAAAGCTAACTGTTCATTCAAGGAACTCTTTGACCCCAACATTCGTGCCCTGGCCCAGGCGGCCACCACTGCCAACAACTGGCTGTGGAACTTCCTCATCTCGCGCTTCACGAAGCAGATGTTCGCCACCATGTTCTACGGAGTGTACTTCTTCTTCGCCGCGCTCTCCTTCTGCGCCTTCTTCTACGCCTTCTTCCTCATCCCGGAGACCAAGGGTATTCCGCTGGAGAAGATCGACCGGCTGTTCGAGATCAAGCCCGTGTGGAAGGCGAACGAGATTCTGATGGAGCAGTTGAAGGAGGATGAGGCCGATTTCCGCCACGACATGAAGTCTCGGAGCGAGGAAATCGAACGGACCTCTGAGTTGAGCGATGATGCATAGATGCATCTATTCTCGCCTTTTGTTTTTTTGTTATCAATATAGAATTATAGAACATGTATAGTGTATAGAATAGATACAACGACCGAAACGGCATAGATCGTTTGCAACAGATTATTCGTCTTATACCATCCTTCTATCTATAAAATATGTTTCTTTACTGGTCCCTACCATTTACTTTATTTGACCCGGCCTTTGTAGATAAATATATTGAATGAATCGGTTTATCTCTTACAGCTTGAAGAGAAGAAATAGATACTGTTTCAACCATTCGAGGACCTAAATTCAGGTATTATAACTATCTCTATCCATCTATCCTCTTTTCTCGACGCTTGTGAAAGAAATAATAGCCGTAGACACTTGCCACAGTCAGAGGATAGGCCGCCATATACAAGGCCGAGGGCATCATGGTCTTCATGTTCTGGAGGACGAAGCGCTCGATGACCGACCCGGGGGCACCCTCGGTGAAAAACATGAGGCGGGTGACTTGATGGACGCGCTTGGTGAAGACGGCAGACCGTGCGGCCAACTCGTATTCGTACTTGATGAGTCCACGGTCCATGACTGCCAACATGTCATCGGTGGGTGAAACGGCGGCGGTGGCGGCGGCGGCGATGATGGCGTGTGAAAGTGCCACCGCGTCCTCCAGGGCATGGTTGACACCTTCCCCTGTGAAGGGACACATGACATGCGCCGCATCTCCCAGCAGCGTCACTCCGGCGCGGTGATCCCATCGAAACCCCACGGGCAGGTGGTAGAGCGAGCGGTGCGACAGCCGGGTATCGTCCGTGGCCTTTTCGACCAGCTCCACCAGCTCGGGCGCCCAAGCCTGACAATCTCGTTTGATTGATTCGCGCACCGTAGGCCCGTCTGTCGTCCAGTAGTCATCGCCGTCGCCAGCACCCGTCATCATTTTCTTCTCCCATCCTTCCGGCCTGACTTTCCACGCGTTGACCTGGATACTCCCGTCTCCCAGCTGCTGCACCAGCAATGCCTGGCCGGTCGAGTAGGCGAAGAGGGAGCCCCGGTTCACGAGCGCATGGCATTCCGGCGCCGTCGTCTCGGCGTCGGGGATGGAGAGTGAAAACCCGCCGATCCCCGAGTACTCTGGTTTAGTCTTCGACAGACACGAGGACCGCACTTTACTCCACGCCCCCTCTGCGCCGACGATGAGGTCGAATCCCGAGGCGGTGGTGCCGTCGGCAAACTCGAGGGTGCGGCGGTGGCTGTCACTGTCATCGCGGACACGGTGGAGTTTGTGGCCCCATCGCAGCATATCCTTTGGGAGCGATTCGGCAAGCATCTGTCGCAGAGCAGAGCGGTCGATCTCGGGACGTCCGCGCGAGGAATTCTCCGTGGCGGGATCCATCTTGATATACGTCTTGAGCCGCTCGTCGCAGAGGTGAAAGGATTCGCCATCGAAGCGGGCATGGGTCAGGAATTCATCGTACAGGCCTGCCTCTCTTACAGCGTGCAGACCGGTCTTCTCGTGCAGGTCGAGCGTGCCTCCTTGATGGCGGTAGTTGATCGACGGCTCGGACTCAAAGACGGTGACCTGGATGTTCGGATGGGGGAGGAGGAGGCGGGCAAGCATACAGCCTGCAGGACCAGCGCCGATGATAGCCACTTTAATAGACATGGCGACAAAAGACCGATGGCTTCAGCTGATGAACAATTGGATTCAATGACTGAATAAATGGTTGGAGGAGCCTTGACCATCCTGTTATATATGACGCTGGTCGCTCTCTCTACCCTTAATCGGTATGCACTGCGAGGCGTGCGACTGCTCTTTCCGTTTACGGTAGGGGAGATGTAAATATGATTATATAAGCATTAACCGTTGTATTTGGCTGAGGTATTTTGGTATTTTTGGTATTTTGGTAATTGAAATGGATGACTAATCGGTAATCACTGAAAATCACCTGATTGGACCATAAAGTACGCCAGGCAGGCGTATATTAGAGTCCCATATAGATTACATAATCACTATTCCCATTGTATATAGTTAGAGTAGATAAAAGTTGTCAGAGGTGCGTGCCCGATTAGGCCTAGCGTCGCCTCGTTTGGCGCGGCCGCACCGCACAACCACCTGCTTCGCGTCCGAGCCGTAGCAGCAATAGCAACCATCAGCCATCTCTTCCCTTTTCCAGGCCTGCTAGGCCAACAAAAGTTACTTGGATGTCAGATCCATATGCTACATACATAGAATTAGTACGCCATAACACAAGATGGTTATGATTTCATCTTCTCATATGCTTGGCTATTGCTTATTTCTAATAAAACTAATCTTAATAGCGCCAGCCTACTCCATAAACACAGATCGCTAACATTTATGGTCATTTTAACCGACCAGAACCCCTTTTTCTAATATGAATCGAAATTCACTTTGTAACTGAGAAAGTCAATTTTTCAACAATCATCATCAATCAACACGAGTCAAGATGAAAATCGCCATTGCTCTATTGTTGACTGCGCTGGCAGAGGCCATCGAGGTCAGCCCCCAACCAGCCGGAGTCTCTCTAACCACCATCACCGCCACGTCGGTCGACGTCGTCACCTCCACGACAACCACCAGCTTCGCCATCACCACCACCACCCCCTCCTGCGAGGTTGCTACCGCCCAGCCTGATACGGCCTCATGTGTCTCAACTATTTGGTCCTCGGGTACGAGGTACTTTTCGCAGGACTGCGCCTCGGCCGACTTTAATTACGAGACCATCCTCGTCGGCGACACTGGCAGCGTCGCCTATAGCTCTTGTGTTAATTTATGTCTCTCGAAAAGCACCTGTCTAGGTGTAAGATATATAAACAGCTACTCGATCTGTGAATATTTGTCGGGTGGCGTAACAGTGGTGACTGCTGGGGCCTCGTTCAACCAGGCCATGGTGATATATACTACCAATCCATGCACCGAGGTTGAGACCACCTTGACCACGACGGAAACCCTCGTCGACACTTCAACCGTCACCTATACCACTGTCTATATCTCGACCGTTACTTCGACTTCTTCGCATACACCTGTGGCCTCATCCAGCTCTGTATCAAGTTCTGCATCCAGTTCAGCATCCAGTTCTGCATCCAGTTCAGCATCCAGTTCTGCATCCAGTTCTGCATCCAGTTCAGCATCAAGTTCTGCATCAAGTTCTGCATCCAGTTCTGCATCAAGTTCTGCATCCAGTTCTGCATCAAGTTCGGCATCAAGTTCTGCATCAAGTTCGGCAGCATCCATCTCGTCCAGCTCATCCACCCAGCCATCTCTCCCCCCTCATGTATCCTCCAGGCCTCTCACAAGCAGTACAGCTTCCAGCACCGCCAACCACACTCTGACAGACTCGGTGATTATCTACAGCATGACCTCGACCGTTTATACCACCGACATCTCTACAGTCTACGGCTGCCCGGCTGAGTAGTGGATTATCTACTATAATATACTATAATTCTAATACTACGGAATATTCCATCCTGTCTAGACTCGCGCACTATCTCTCTATCTAGCCAGCACCGCTGATCTAAATTACCATGACACACAGACAGTGGAGTCTAGACACACTCTCTCGAATCTAACAGTTTTAATTACTACATAGTTAGTAGTTAATTGTTTTTACCCGTCATTACTCCGTATATTATTGACTAGACGATCCTTGCAGTGGCTGAGACAGTCTAATCAGGTTCTATCTTCCTGTTTCTGCACAGCCTCAACTGCCACTCCTAAGATAACCAATCATCAAGTCAAATAGGAAATAATTTCCCAGGGATTCTCAGCCTGCTATATAGACCTTCAGTGTCTGGAATATTATCTGGCTGCCTAGTTCGCAGGATCAAACTGCTCGTAACTTGACCAAGGCCTGTTCTGTGGAGTGGTGAGAACCAAACTAGACACAAAGGGAAATCCATTTCGAGGTGGTGGGCAGCGATCGTCCTTGGCCAGAATCTATACAATAGAGATATATAGTTATAAAGCCTGTCTTCTTTCTACAGTGCTATATTCATCTAAAGAACTCTTCTCTATATTTTTTTTACTTCTTCCTCTTCTAATTCTTCGTTATGGCCGCTCTGTTCGACACAGAAATCGCCATTTATGCCCTGCTGGCCCTCCCCATCCTCTGGCTGCTCCTCCGCCACGGCCCAGCTGGTCTCCTCGGCTGGCTCTATCTCTTCATCTTCTGTGGCCTGCGCATCGTAGGCGGGGTGTTGGTCATCAAGGGGAAACCGGCTGGTGATATCGTTGCCAGTGTGGGGATTTCGCCGCTCCTGCTAGCTATCGATGGCATCCTTCATGAAGCGTATGTCTGGTTTACTCTTTAGTTATATTATATTCATCTGCTAACCCTTCCTGAGTCGTACATACCGCAAGGCAGTCAATAGTGGAAATAACCTCGAATGGATCTTCGTAGGAATCTTTCACGTCCTAGTCACCAGCGGGATCGCCCTGGTCGCTGTCGGAGCCTCGAACCTGGAAAGCGCCCATCCTTCATCGAACGACTTTACGCTTGTGAAAGCCGGGATGGGTGTTCTGGAAGCGTGTTGGGTCATTCTTGCTCTCTGGGCTGTCTCGTCGCTCTTCTCGAAGAGTCGAAATGCACTCGCCTATAAAGAGGGAACAACTGTAAGCACACGGCACATATTACACACACAGACATCCCATGAATGTATCCTGACTAAATTGATTTGATTTAGCTCCTCTATTCCGTCTTTTTGGCCCTCCCCCTGGCTGAAATAAGAGTTGTCTACAGCCTGGTCGCCGAGTGCACGCAAAAGGCCGATCTCAACCCCGTTACGGGTTCGCTGGCGGTTCGTGTAGTCCTCAGCTTCCTGCCTGAACTCTTCATCACCCTCATCTTCGTCGTGGCGGGGGCTGTGACCAGAAATGTCCCGGATCCGAGGGATTCAAAGAGGAGGAATCAAGCTGTAGTGGTTATTTGATCTCTTTTCTTTTGTGTGTTTTGGCCTTTCATGTGGCCTGGTCTTGCCTAAACTGTACTAGGGATAGGGTTATCACGTGGCAATGGTGATTTTGTTTCTCAAAACTCTCCCTCACCTTCGAAATGTTTTCTTCGTCTCAACATTCTTCAGCAGGCTTCAGCAGGCTTCCATCCGACGAGTTCTCTGCTTCTCCTATTCATACTAGTGACCCGACATTACAGAGTGCTGCTGACATCTACCTGGTTTATATCTCAGACTCAAGGTAGATATCCTCGTCGTATGGCTTGCTTTCAACAGGAACCATTGCTGCACTGACTTTTTTGTCGATCTTGATAGCTATTTCTATCCTGAATGTCTAGGTCACCTTGCTTAGCTCTTTACACGGAACGAACAGGACTCAGCACTCGGTCATACATTTCCAGTATACATACCCCCGCCGCAGAACACCAAACATACCAACAATCTAAATGACTCAACCTGCCTCCTTGGATGGACTTCATAGTTTGTGTCGGTCAGTCACGGTGGTGCCTAATGCCTGAGGCAGAAACAGGGCAGCCCCGCATCATCTCGATGTATACTCCGTATATCCAATTCAACTACGGAGTAAAGTCCGATATACATTCTTTCTTTCTTGCTGTTCTCTGCCGTGCCTCACGGAAATCCTCCATTCTCGAGCGACATCGGCTATCAATCAGTGGCCAGGCTCGTCTGACGTTTGCTTCCATGCAGCAATAGCGATAGCCGATTGCGTGATCCCAGGGTATGCCATCCCGTATCTTGAGATGAAGGAGGCCTTATTCGCAACTCCCATATCGGTCTCCTCTAAGGCGTAATCGCTTAGTGATTGTCGTCATCTGCCCCTCACTGGTGGCTATGGCATCCTGTCCCGATAAAAAAAGATATATAAGCACGGCGTTTTCTTCGGCGGCCTTGAGGGCAGAAGACAAGAATGAACATTGAAGAAGAGTAAAAGAACGGTAAAATGCCTACTGAATTCATTAGCATCACTTTCCCCAATGCCTCGACGGAGCTCGACCCGATCATTGGTGCGGGGGTTGATCCTGAATTTGTTGTCCGCTATTCCCGAACACTGGACGACAATGGCTTCAACTACACCCTGATCCCGTACGATTCGGGGTCGTTCGACCCGTTCACGCTCGGTGCAACGGTCCTTGCCGTCACAAAGAACATCAAGGTTATCATCGCCCTGCGGCCAAACACTATGTACCCCACTGTCGCGGCCAAGATGCTGGCCACCCTGGACCAGCTGGGCAAGGGCCGTGTGGTTGTCCACTTCATCGCCGGGGGTAGCGACGCCGAGCAGGCTAGGGAAGGTGACTTCCTGAACAAAGAGCAACGCTACGGCCGGCTGGAGGAGTATATCCGCATCCTGCGGCGGGCGTGGCAGTCTGCAGACCCCTTCGACTGGGAGGGCGAGTATTTCCAGTTCAAACAATTCAGCAACCGCGTGCGGCCCGTCAACGGCACCATCCCCGTCTCGGTCGGTGGCTCGTCAGACGAAGCCTACCGCATCGGCGGTAGCTTGGCTGACATCTTCGGGCTCTGGGGTGAACCCCTCAAGGAGACCAAGGAGCAGATCAGCCGTATCTACGCCGAGGCCGATCGTGCCGGACGGGCGCCCAACGACCGTCCCCGCATCTGGGTGACCTTCCGCCCCATCATCGCCGAGACCGAGGAGCTCGCCTGGGCCAAGGCGCATCGCACCCTTGACCTCCTCAAGGCAAACCGCTCCCAGGGACTCGGCAAGACCCCCGCCAACGCACCCCCGCCCCAGAACGTCGGGTCGCAGCGTCTGCTCGAGATCGCGGCCCGCGGCGAGGTCCAGGACCGCGCCCTGTGGTACCCTACCGTCACGGCGACGAACGCGCGCGGCGCCTCCACCGCCCTGGTCGGCTCGCCGCAGACAATCATCGACTCGCTGCTTGACTATGTGGACTTGGGCGCCGAGCTGATCTCCATCCGCGGGTACGATAACCTCAACGACGCAATCGATTATGGTCGGTACGTGCTGCCGGGCGTGCGGGAGGCGTTGAAGAAGAGGGAAAATGGTGCGGCACCTAGCAATGGACATGTCGTTCCTGTGGAAGCGGACAAGTCATGATTGACCTAGGAAATACTGGCATATCTGCAACTGTCGGGTACTCGGTCGTATGTAAATTGAAGTATGCCCAAGTTGTCAAATATATATATTGAATGAACATCTACTATCTGAAAGTCTATGCTTAAAGTACTGACTATATATCTAATACAGCTGGTATAAACTGTATTATAAACATTTGCATAATGATATAGCCACATTATCCAACGCATAACAAGATACCTAGGCGTACGTGGGTAAATAGATATGAAGTAAATAATAAAGAAAAGGAATTATCTATCCAAATAAGGACAACTCTTTCATTCAATGGGCTTGTGGTTTAGTGGTATAATACTCCCTTAGCATGGGAGTGGTCCGGGGTTCGATTCCCCGCGAGTCCATTTTTTTTCTTTAGTTCTTCTCACTCGTTAGATATACCATGCTATGCTACTGTATTTCCCCTTTTTTATCAGGGTATCGAATCGAGGCTTTATGAGATGCTGATACTCGCAGAACTGCAAACCGAGCCTAACATACAGAGCACCATGGCTAAAATTATCAGGCGCAGGATACCCCCCAAGGAAGAGTATTACGACTTACTAGACAATCATATAAACAAGATATACCTACTGCCTTTAACCCCTTTCTCAAATGTGTATCTACTAACCGAAGCTTCAAGAACCCTGGGAGTGTTCGATAGCCCCCAAAGACGAGCTGAGCCCTTAGTACTCATCGAAGCAAGGCGTCCTCGTCATGGTATAGTAAATATCGAGTCTCGTTTGTGATCATAGAAGTGTCTGATTGACAGCTCAATATGCCTGCAGTAAAGCAGATGTGAATGTAAGCTGGTAGAGCAGGTTAACATGATGTTTGGTATAGCATGAGGTAGGAGTCCTTAGCTTTATTCTCGACGTATACAGATCCAAAGAGTGGATACAAGGAGAGCTAGGTATTTATAGATAAAGATGGTGTGATAGATGGACTGGAGATCTACCGGAGATACCTAAGAAAGTTGCTGCTAAAGGTTGGTGACATTGCTGGCTTATTCAATAATGGGACACTACCACGCCAGGTCATATAGAAGTCACGCTCACGAATAGAGAGGGATACTCGTACCTACCTATGCTGTTCTCAGCGCCAGTTCAACAAGGGAAGAAGAGTACAGGAAGAACAGACAGAAAGTAAATCAGTAAAGTTGATAGACGAAGGTCAGAGATTAATGATTTCATGATGGGATTGCTACAGATATGTTTTTGGCTTATCTAGTCAAAAATAGAGGCACTCTTCATCAATGGGCTTGTGGTTTAGTGGTATAATACTCCCTTAGCATGGGAGTGGTCCGGGGTTCGATTCCCCGCGAGTCCATCTTTTTTTTCGTCCCTCTGATTTTTTGCTCCTTGCCTCGATATTTGCCATTTTATTTCTGTGTATCAATAAATTTGATGCTTGTCCACATTTGACCGCTGCTTTCTCAACAGGCACGCAAAACATCCCAAAACCAACCGACTAGTCTCTCCCAGTTCACCACACTCCATCCTTCCACCGGCATTGGATATACAGTACATTCGAAAACGCTATCATGGCTAGCTCTAGCAGCAAGACTGGGCTTTTGGTGCGCCAATTCAACGCCCTTCCACGCCCCACACCCACCGCTACGATGAAGAACCACTACATCTTCACGGTCATGCCTCTCCCGCTCGGGATGAAGGGCGACATGGTTTTCCTGGTGAACACGCAGACGCATTAGCGCCACTCCGAGGGCCGGGCACGGATCCTTACCCTGCCGTCTGTGGAAGAGCAGGCGAAAGTCATCGTCCCGTTACTGCTGGAAGCGTTCGTGACGGCGTTTGACTACGAGCTCCCCGTTGCCACGGCGCCCGGCAGTTGGAGCACGACGGACGACAAGCTGGCAGAGGCAGTCTCGCGCCGGCTGGGGGCGCTGGGTGTCCGACGCGAGCTGCAAGATGTCGGGACGATGACTAGCGAGGCCGACCTGGCGTTGGTGGAGAAGGGGTTCGCGAGCTGGTCGCGCAGCTTCGAGATGTTTGCGCCCATGATGCCGGACCAGAACGTGCAGAACGCGGACCGGGCGTGTGCGACGTGCGGGTTCAGCCCGTCGGTGGACTCGGAGCTGAAGCGCTGTGCACGCTGCAAGGCCCGGTATTATTGTTCGGTCAATTGTCAGAAGGGGGACTGGCCGACGCACAAACAGAGCTGTCGAGCTCCTTGATTCCTTTGCGATGCATATAAAAGTTATTCATTACTAACCTACGCTTTTCACTTGGTCTCAATTAAATCATACTCTAGATGAAACAGCATAAACCGGTTCATAGACAGGGTTTGTCATATGTAGATTAGCTAATAATGAAGCAATCAACCAAGTCACGAGGGCTGATCGCCTTCCTCCAAAAAGTCCATCTTCTTCTCTACCAAGAAACAACTCGTGCCGACTACCGACCCGTGTATTCACATGCTTGTCTCTTTTTTTTAATCGAGAGAAACAAGGTTTATGGCCTGTTCTGCTAATTTATAGACCCTGACTCGGCGTGCTGATCAGTCTATTTAGTTTGTTTAGCTCCACGATGATCTGGAGAACGAAGCCTCCCCCCTGGACTGCGAGACCGCCCCGTACGACACAGAAGAGAATCGGGTTTCTAGCACAAAGGAGGATCCAAGAGAGTCTATAAGAATCGTTCGATTCCTAGAGTCTAATTCCCAAAGTCAATTCCTGGAGTTAAAAAATTCAAACCTATACTCGACTAGACAACCCCCCCTCCGGAGCTGGACCTCGGGAAATGACGTTCTCCGCATCTCCCATCGTCAGCCTAAACTCCGTATAGAGAAAGGCTACGAGAGAGTTAGAACCATTCCAGTTTGGAACTGACCAGTGCCTGTTTTTGGGATTATCCCCGGTCACTCTCGCGGGGCCCCACGAATCAGACCGTGGTGGATTGCGCGTCTGGTTCCGATTGCCTGAAGAGACCCTTGGGAATCCCTGGAATCCCTGGAATCCCTGCGGATTCCCGGGGTACACCAAACCACCACAACCCTAATCAGGCAAGGAGCTGCTGGCTGCTGGTTTTGCCATCCTACAGACTAGAATATACTGGAGCAAGGATTGGTGACAAAGAGAGAGAGAGCATGTGAAAAGGTTGCTATGGGGTATAAATACCAGCCGTGGCTGCCTCCCGCATTTATGAAATTGTCTTTGAAACACCACGCGCGCTTTGTACCTGAACCAAATTGATTCCAAGGGAATCTTCGTTCTAACCAAATCCATCACCATCATGAAGTCCTCGGTTTTGATCCTGGCGGGTGGTCTGGCTGCCCTCGCAAACGCCCAGTCTGCGTGCCAGTCGCTCGCATCTGCCATCCCATCCTGTGGTGTAAGTGATGTGTTTAATGAGTTTACCAGTTAGTTAATATAAAGAAACCTGCTTATTGACGGGGCTCTCTAATAGACGGCCTGTATTATTTCTGCCGCCTCCGCCGTCGGCTGTGCCAGCACCGACTACGACTGCCAATGCAGCAGCTCCGCCTTTTCAGCCATCAATTCGGCCGCCCTCGGCTGCGTGGTGAGCTCCTGCGGCGCCGTCACAGGTCTGGAGGTCCAGTCCTCTGCTGAAGCCATCTGCTCCTGCGCCGCGACCGCTGCTTCCAACTCCGCCACCACCACCGCGGCCTCCGGCTCTACGGCCTCGGCCACCACGGGCTCCAGCGGCAGCGCCGCGACTTCTTCATCCTCGGGAAGCGGCGCCGCTCCGGGTTCCTCCAGCGGCAGCTCGGGGGCTTCCTCCACAGGCTCCTCGACTGGTGCTAGCTCCACCAAGTCGGGCTCGTCCTCGACCACCTCCGGGTCTTCTTCTTCCTCTTCCTCTTCCTCTTCCGCCGCTGGCTCTGGCTCGTCGTCGGCGGCTGCTTCTTCAACAGCTGCCAGCGGTGCTGGCGCTGTTGTCAGTTCGTCTGGTACCTTGCTCGGTGCTCTGCTTGCTGTCCTTGCAGCTCTGTAAATGGCTTATATGATTTTTGACTATGACATTGACTATGTATGTATACTGAAGACCATGAAGTATGGATAAAGGATCAAAAGCATCTCTATCTCCAGATCTGTATCTAGCTATTATAATAACCATTAACTTATTCAAGTAAATGCTCTTTATCTTCATCTTCATTCTCTAGTTTTCCTTTATATCCTGTGAATGTGAATGTGAATGTTACATTGACTGTTATTCATTCAATGGACTTCACCAACATCAGAATATGCTAGAATCTAGTGTCTTTGGTATAAATACCATCTCCTACTCTCTACTTTCTTCTCTCATCTACAACTATTTATAATCTTCCTTCCACATATGGCATACCGTATACCATATTTTCTTGCCCGTCGGTCAATTCCACAGCACTCGATCGATCGATCTGATATACCAATTCTGGCATACATCAGCATCACTCGTCTGTCTAGTCTTTACTCTGCGTATATATCGGCACTTTTTTCAGCCCAATTCCTCGTTCAAGGACACGCGGAATCTATGTTTCCTTCCTTTATACTCAAAGCAACTCAACATGAACCAAAATTCCTATTGCACCTGGCGACTGTCATGGGTTTCTTCTTTCTGAGCATGCCCAACTCTAGGAAGATCCAAGCGGACTGAGAGAGTTCGAAACGCTCAGATCTGTTGTGTGAATAGATGACAGCTGGATGAGGATAGAAACAACCAACATGCCAAACATTTATGGGAGAGGCTTAACGAAGAAATGGCCTGGTTTCTAATGGCCGGCGCTTTCATTTTTGACACGCAGCTGCCGGTCTCAATGATTTATTACCAAAAGGATCCCATGGAAAAAACGCTAGTATTATTGTCAAGTCCTCTTACAGCACAGAGATCAACGACTTACCGCTGATGTCCTTGTACATGAAACCTCTGACAAGGTAGAAGAACATTTGAGAAGCGGAGGCCGACTTCTGTTGATGCTGGAACACCGCTGATCGAGAGTATTATAAAGTCCAACAAGCACTCTCAAACAAGATCCAAGACACAGTAGAGAGAAAGGAATGAGAACTCATATCCTCGAGCCATTCTCAATGGTGAACGAAAAAAAAGCTTCATGATCAAAGAAATGCATAGCTATTCCGAGATATCGAATTTCTGTGCTCGAAAGGACAGGCCTGATATGAATCGCCAGACCGAGACCCGAAACATTCGAATTATTCATACCCGGTCCTTGAAAGCTCTCTTCAGCAACTTGTATCTCCATCGTTGTCCTCCCCTTCATCTCAGGCATCAGGAACCAGGTAGTCGTTGCCGTCACCGCACACAGCTCGGCGTACAAAAACCTCGTTTTCGCTCCCAGATCCCCTGCGTCGGTGTTGTAGATATACGGTAACACCAGATCCATCACCATGTTTGAGAGCATATACATCAAGCTTCAGTAACTTATATCTTCCAGCGGTATAAGGCAAATGATAGTCTCTTCCATGACTATACATTGGCACGACACATGGCAGGTGCCACTGTTATTACAACAGTTGTCTGGTCTGGCGCTCTGTTCAGCTTGACAGAGATACGTAACGATGTCGTGCTCCGCGGTCTTTTGCCACTATAACATGACTTGGCGGTGTTTTCCAGCCATTTCAAGCGTTGGGTTAATATTGGATCGTCAGCAATGGAACAGAACGACCATCTGGATCTCCCTGTTTCAAACAGACACATTAGTCAAGCCTTACTGACAGACCTGAACGGTCGAGACGTTGTCATCGGGACATATAAAACTGACGATCAATACCCCAAAGATCAACGTGCTATTACTATGCGAAAGGAATGGACGACCGTCGAAACGGGTACTAGAACAGTGAAAGAGAAGCGGAAGAGTGAAGCCAGTTTATTATGGACTTATAGTGTACATTCACACGTATCGAGTCATCGATGCTGTCAATATAGTGACCATAATATTTCAATTAATAGCAATATTGCATCGTAGATAAATAAGTACCCAATATACAAAAATTGATCCCATAAAATGAACTTGGAACCTCTTCATGCCTAGGCGGAATAACCAGGCAGTATATTTGACCGATATGACGCTTCTGGACACCAGAACAAATTCATCCTCAATATTTCCCCAGCTTCCAGCATAAACTGTCCACCAAAATGGACAAAATTGTACATTCAGCCCTGTCAGATCTCGGGAGCAAGCTCAATGCCCTCCTCAGCAGCCTCACCACGTCTCCCACCGCCGTGGGAGCCCCCGCCGCCGCCCTCTCTCTGCTCGAAGCCGACGACGCGTTAACCTCCGCGGTGGAAACGCTGCGAGTGCACCAAGCGAACTATGCCAAGATCTTGAAATTACGCTTGGAGGCCGAACGGCTTGAGCAACGCGTCAAGGGGATTGTAAGGGATATCGAGAGCTTCGATAAGGACATCCGTACCACGTGCCACGAGGATGGAGACGACAGTGACGGGAGTGATTCTAATTCCGATTCCGAAGCCGAAACAAAGAAGGAGAAGAAGAAGAACCAGAAAGAGGTGGATTACAAGCTACTGCTCGACTTTGCGCGTCGGATCAGCAAATATAACCATGAAGCCGCTGCGGATGCGGCGGCGGGGGTTCCGCCGAAGAAATTGCCTCCGGCGGGACACCAGGATCAAGATGTGGATATGACGGGGACCAACGGTGTGGAGGGCGGAGAGCCAGTCTCGTCGGTGACGAAGAGCGCCACGCGGTGGTTGGACGACTCGGCGAACCAGACGCGCGAGGTCTACATGCTGCCGTATCCGACGGAGGAGCGGATCCGGATGGGGATGATGGGTCAGATCCAAGCCGCCGCGGCGGAGGGGAGGCCTGGCTTCGATCCGGAGACGGAGGTTGAACGGCTGATTCGTGAGTCGGAGGGTCTGGAGGTTGCTGCTGCTACTACTACTACTACTACTACTACTACTACTGCAGCAGGGCCAGCAGTTGGGGAGGAGAACCAAGTACAGCATGCAGCAGAGGCGGCCAAGGCTGCTGAGAGTGTCTCTAGTTTGCCTGCTCCCCCTGGTGCTACGAGGGGTCCTGTTCCTGTGCGTGTGCAGGCAGCGCCGGCGCCAAAGCCGAAGGCTACACTGGATCTGGACCTGTATGACCCGGAGGATGACGACTTTTAGCGGATGATGATACATTTGTTCTTTCGTTTCCCCTTTCATTTTCATTTTTCTTTGGCCCCGCTCGTTCGCCCAAATGATACCTGGATATTTGATATGAGCTTGCTGGATTCTAGCACATCAGCTGTCCACCGCTTGGGGCAACGGACCATTTCGCCATCTACAAAAAGAGTATAGAGAATCGAATCCTATCATCCCGCCGACTGAGTAACTGAGGATAGTATCCTGACTGTTATGACGGCGGAAGAGAGGGCTTCTGGCCAGTCAACGCGGTGATGAAACAGAGTCCAGACCGCCGTTGCCTTTCAGTCCTGCTGAAATACAACCATAGAGAACCACCGTCAGATATCATCTACATGGACTATGATGCAACTCATCGTGAAGATGGCCACCTATCATCTCTCCACAATGTTTTCTCATCGCCTCTCGTATGGTTGCGGAGAAAAGGCAAAATCTGCTTGCCTCTCCTCAGACATTGCCTCCTTGAATCCCATTTTCATGGAATGAATCTCCGGGATCTGGAGATGTCTTCCTCGTCGCCGCTCAGATAACAAACCCCAGCTCTCACTTCGGGGAGACCATGTTTCTCGACTCTGCCGGGTCACAATCGCGACCTGTCGCTAGCGACCCCTTGTTCCAATCGTGGAGGCGATTGCGGAGAGGCCTGCTGTTAGTGGACGGCCAAGCTCCCCGGGTGTCTTCCTCCGCATCGCAGATAGACAGGCATAACCGTGGGTGGCCGCCTGTGATACATGACGTCAAACCAATCGGAGAAGGGAACTGGGCATCTCCGATGCGAGATATCGAGAAACAGATGCAGCCATCATTTTGGTGATTGCCTCTATCATGATCAGTCAGTGGGTAATGGGGTAATGACCCCCTTGATTTTTATGTGTTTATATACGGGTTGATCACCCAGCTCCAAATGGCATTTTTTTTATGCATTTCTCTCCTCATGGTTCCTTTTTTATAGCACTGCATACGGATTTATCTATATTATTTATTTCAGCATCGTCCTAGCTAGCAATGTCCCAGCACGGCGACATTCCATTTCGTGGGACAGCCGTCCCTGACGGCGTGGGCACCGAAGACCTGGAGAAGCAGAAGACGGAGGAACAGGGCGCGGACGGCACTGCTGGTGACCATGGCCACCCTCATCACCACCCTGGTCACCACCAGGAACACAAAGATAGGCATGATGAAAGACGCGAGCTGCATGAGTGGGAATGTTACGACAAGCTCGGGTACTCCTTCTCCTGGGGCAAGAAATGGACCATCCTCAGCGTGATCTTCCTGGTCCAGGTCTCGATGAACTGGAACGCCAGTTTCTACGCCAGCGGCGTCGATCTGTACGCCAGCCACTTTGGAATCTCGGCGCAGGCTGCGCGGGTCGGCCAGATGATCTTCTTGATTGCATACGCCTTTGGAAGTGAGTTCTGGGCGCCCTGGAGCGAGGAGTTTGGTCGCTGGCCCATCCTGCAGCTCAGCTTGTTTCTCGTCAACATCTGGCAGCTGCCCTGTGCGCTGGCACCGAACTTTGGCACAATTATCGTCTGTCGAATGCTGGGCGGTCTCTCGTCCGCGGGCGGCTCCGTCACCCTGGGGATGATCGCCGACATGTGGGAGCCAGACTCGCAGCAGTACGCGGTGGCTTTTATCGTCCTGTCTTCCGTTGCGGGATCGGTCATTGCACCCATCGTAGGCGGGTTCGTCACGACCTTTCTGGACTGGCACTGGAACTTTTGGTTACAGCTTATTCTGGGTGGTTTCGCACAGGCAGTGCATTTCTGGGTCCCTGAAACGCGATGCAGCATCCTCGTTACCCGCGAAGCCAGACGCCGCCGGAAGAAGGGAGACATGGTCTGGTCCGCGGATGAGCTTAAGGGCAGACGGATCAACATGTCTCATCTGATCAAAGTCTGGTTACGGCCCTTCCTCATGTTCATTCGCGAGCCGATCGTCCTTTGTCTCTCGTTGCTTTCTGGATTCAGTGATGCCTTGATCTTCACTTTCTTGCAGTCCTATACTCCTGTGTATAAGCAGTGGGGGTTCAAGACCATCGAAATCGGGCTTGCCTTCATTCCGTATGTCGTACCAAAATCATTGCTCGTTGTTTCTGTCTACTGACTTATTGATCGCTTCTAGTATCCTGGTCGGCTACATCATCGCTTATTTCACTTTCCTGCCCTGGATCTATCATCACGATAGAGTCCGCGAGCGAGACCCGGACGGACTCCAGCCTGAAGCTCGCCTGTACTGGCTTTTATATGGTTAGCAACCCCTCTTCCCTGAAAGGCCCTTGAACCTGTACTAAGGTGAATCATCTCTAGTTGCACCTCTTCTATCTATTGGTCTTTTCGGCTTCGCGTGGACTAGTTTAGGCCCTCCGCATACTCACTGGATTGCGCCAATGATCTTCTCGACCCTCATCGCAATTGCCAATGTATTCTTTCTCCCCTAACTGCATGAATACTCTTTTCGAAGGCCGCTGACTGTGAAATCTAGTATTCAATTTACATGGCTACAATCGATTACATGGTCGCCTCGTATGGCCCATACGCTGCCTCTGCGACTGGTGGCAATGCCCTGGCTAGAGACTTCCTGGCTGGTGTTGCAGCAATGTACTCCGTTCCAAGTAAGCTACTCACATATCCTTTTCTTTCAGTTATCAAGAGTTTTAACTGGGTGTTGTGTCAAGTGTACCAAAACTTCGGCCACAGCGCCACCCTCGAATGGCCATCAACGCTTCTGGGTTTTCTCGCCGTCATCTTCACAATCCCCATCTACGTCTTCTATTGGAACGGGCCAAAAATCCGTGAACACTCCAAGTTCGCCCAGACGCTGGCCAGCGACAGGAAGAAGGCCGGTCGCCGCGTCTCGAGCTGTGGATCAGGTCAGCCGGGTCCAGAGGAGACGTACCTTGCGGAGGTCTAGGAACTACCTACCAATCTACTACTTACCAGTTATTACCTTCAAGAACAGTTATTCTATTGACTTAGATTACTCAGCCCTTTTTTCTTTTTTTGATGTGATATAAATTGTTTACCTTGATACATCAAATGCATTGCGAATTATAACATAACAGTATACACTACTATTCTTTCTATTGTAGATCATTGACGGATGTTCTGTCATTGTCATTGGATATAGTTACTGTCCGACTCGTTCCATGTTATAAGATAATTCTCCATGTACAGCCTACATACAGCCTGCAGCTGGTATGGTCCGAGGAATCTATGATCTTCCCGCCCGGGTAAGATTAATTTATGATGCAGGTTACTAAGATATGCAACTCCACAGCTCTTCCAACTGTGTGACTGTCGACTCAGTCTCCCACCCCGATTCGGCCTGTATCCCCCTTAGCAACTCGACGATGATTTCGTGCTCATCCGGGGTCTCAAGACACTGCCCAATAGCTAACAGGAGCGGTAAGATATAGATCTGCACGGCGGCGGGAGGTCTCCCCAGGGCGATCCCGCAGATCTCGCGGCTGCGGTAGTCGACTTCCTTGGTTACCTCGCGATACCCCTGGAGACGGTGGAAGGCAGTGCTAGGATCGCTGACCACGTCCGGCGGACGGTTGAGGAGGAGCGCGATCCGTCCAAAATGGTAGTGCTGCATCGCGGCGGCGCAGGTGGGGTGGCCGTAGAAGATCTCGGGAAAAGGGAGATGGCTGGTGTCTGGGCTTTTGGCGATGTTTCTGGGTTTTTCGATGCGGATGCTTGGGCGGAACGTCTCAGGAAGGTCTTCCAGCCAAGTTTGGAAGTCGAAGCATAGCTTCAACCAGGTGGTTGTGGTGGGGGCGTCGTGAGTGGCGGGGTTTGTGGGAGTTGGCGCGGTCCACTGCGCGAGCTGTGACTGTTTGTATTGGGCGAGAAAGTTGATGACCTTGGACAAGAGCCATGTGAGCCCGTTTGCTGCGAGGTCTTCTCGAGTGGAGTCCAGGGTTTCGCTTTGAGATAGATGCAGGTCCCCGACATCATCAAGGGGGATACCTGCAGCTCGCCAGAGTGCAAGGTTGCCAGGATCGAGATGTGTCGGCCTACGGGTAGGATAGGACGCGAGATAATCTTGACGAGCTAGGGCCCAGAATGCAGCCCGGATACCGGGAGAGAAACGAGGACAGGTGCTAGATGTGAAGGTATGTTGCATTTGCAATAAAGCCTCGCACAATGGGCGGATGCCGACAAGTTGCCTAATATTTGATTAGCGTTCTGAGCCACAATGGGGAAGTAAGGGCTTTGGCGCAAACAACGTACGACTGCCAATCCACTAATCTGGTGTCAAGCAGCCTATAAAATGTAAGAATTGTGACTGTTGCAAGCAGATCTTCAGTCCTTTTGGAAAGAACAGCAGCGGCAGGTGAGTCTGGGGAAGGCAAAGGAGTTGTTGGATGAGTGATCTGACGATGGAGCCATTGGCTCAGCGTTTCGATAGGTGACTCCAGCACGGCTGAGCTGGAAACCAAATCGTAGGCGCCTGAGATATCCCGATTCATATGTGAAACTGCTAGAAATTGGTAATTGGTGGCCTTGAATAGCCAGTCTACCTGGGCTGCATTCGGATATATCTCCATAGTTGCCGGCCGACTTCGTAGAAAACCCCTATTATCTGCAAGCCTTTTGCCTCCTATGCGGCCGATATGCTTCGCTGCAATAGCTGCAATAGCATATCTCAGATAGGAGCTGTTGATAGCACGGATAGGCACGCAGACAGAAAAGAACTTGGTGGCATCGGACAGATCGAGCCTGAAAAAATGTTAGTACGGACTCTGTATCGATGGCCTGAAAGAAAAAATATACACACCAAGAGCCGATGGTCTCGGAAAAATGTCTAACTAGAAAAGCAATCTCGTGTTCTTTCCCAGTAGCTAGCTTGGCAAAAATATCCTGGAACTCTTCCTCCTCGGTTCTCTGAGACGCAGCTCCAGACGAAGGCACCCGTGAAGCCTGTGGCCTGTGATCAGTAGACACGAGAAAGCTGCTGCCAGGACCGTTATAAACTTCCGTTGCATCGTTGATAGATGTTGGACTGTTAGTAGCAGGACTGGGCACCGAGGAACCCCGGTCCCCAACACCGATTATATTAGCCTGGTAGAGTTGGTGGCGTTGCCGAGAAGACTCAAAACGAATTTGAGTATTTTCAGAAGGTTTTTTGACGTCCCCTGAAGCAATTGGAGGACTCGGTTGGGTTGCTGTAGTCGCTATGCTACCGGAAGTGGCCCCCTCAATGGAATGCGATTCTGGCAATGGCCGTTGATCGAATGTAATAATACCATGCTGAGGCGGCGTCTAGCTAATCGATTAAGTAATGACTTGGAGACATATAACCAGCAAGACTGCCTACCTTTTCCTTGGAACTACCGGTAGAACTAGAGTGACCCGACTCGTAAGGCGCATAGCGACGCCTGACCGACGCGCCTTGGTCGATGAACTTGCGGGTTTGGACGTATCCCGGGCATTCTACGCCTGCAGTGGCACACCTTTGACATCCTGGACGGCCCTCATCACACTGAGAATATTAGTTTGGAGACGGGGAAAGATAGCCCTGGAGATGGGAGGGGTTCTCCACCTTCATATGGCGTCTTTTACACCGCTCACAAGCCTTGTTGGACGGTACCCCTGGCATTGTTTCGGGGGCATCATTGGGACGGGAGAGACCTCCTCAAGATGGAATATCTCCGATCCGTTGTCAAGACCCCTGCTGGCAGTGCAAATGGCAAAGATCAGGCGGTCGTTCGTACGGCGTTCGCGATTGATCGACAGGAGGGAGAAAATCCAGCCTCGGAGACGCGATTGGGAGATTAGAAGCGGCTAGACTCAGCCGACTGACGTCATCTCGGCGATACATCGGAGGCAGAAACTCACCGCCGGCGGAATTGTATATGCTTCCACAAAGGGAAAGTACCACAACAATGACAGGCCAAAGGAATGATTTCTGTTAGATATATCGCAATTATACAGCTCATTGTATAACTAGAGCATCCTATCTATCAACGCGAGTATGGTATCGTCCAGATGTACCTCTAATGGGGGGGTTCGCATTCGGTTAGGTGTAACATGCGTTATTTTTGTGCGACAACCAGTGGAACACGTAGAGAAGGGGCTGCTAGAAATTCAAAAGTAGATCAGCGCATTTGATTCATTTCCAATATTATTTGGGCCTGGTGACTGAAGCCGTTTCCTGGTTTGGCTGTCGTCCAGAAAGTTCCTTCCCCCTGCAGCCCTTGCGGAAGCTGTGGCATTCTTTAACAAATCCTATACGTATTCAGGGCCAATAGTATCATATTCCTATATGATTCGCACACTCAGGCCTATCTGACGTCGGTCAGGCCAGATATGCCTAGTAAATAAAAAATCAGAGTGTAATGCTAACTACATTAGGCTTAGCTAGTTAAGTGATGGTGTAAATATACATAAATCATCCTAATTAGCAGCCTTAAGGTCATCCTTTTCTATAATATACCTCTCTAGTGTCATCCTAACTCTATCATCATCTCTATCATCTTAATATCCTCTATACTAAGCATCTTAATAAACTTCTAATGCTATGGTCCTATTAATATCTTTATAAAGCTATCTATAGGTATATAAGTCATTAGGATCTACTAGATCTATATTATCCTAGCCTGGGTCTCCTGGCGAAGCTAGTGCTGTTAAACATTAATATATTAAAGCTTAGTGCATATAAATGGCACTTCTTTTATAAGTAGGTTAACAGTCTATTTATTATTGCATAGGATACTTAACTAATGCTTTATATTAAATCTAATAGATATAAATAGTTATTTTCACCAGAATAGCTCCTTTCCTGCGTGCAAGATTATAGTTAATTTGGCCTCTATAGTTAATATTATTATAATTTATTACTTTAACACCTTCTAATCCATAGGTCCTTTATATAATAGATAGATATATCCTTATGTGCTTTTATAGTCATTATTATCTATATATACTATATTACTTATACATATAAATACTAGATAATTTATAAGTGTTTAGTTAACTAATAGATTATTTGTGGGGCTCTCTACTAAGTATCTATAGTAAATAGCTAGGAATCTTATCTTATATAGGTATAGAATTGCCCATTCTGCAGCTTTAATATGCTTAGCTAATAAGTTTAATAGGAATTCTCCTAATTTATTTGCAATCTAGGCCAATTCCGCCCTTATAATAATCGTCATGTAGATAAGTGATCTTACTAATTCCTAATAGTATCATATCTAGCTTCGCGTCGCGGTCTCTATATTCTTAATTAAATAATTAACTAATGCCGGCGTCCGCGGCGGTTTATAGTCTAAAAGCTTATACTTTATAGTGATTATTATAATATAAGCATCTTAATATAGCTAAAGCTTTTAATTAATATAGTCTTTATAGATCTATATATTAAGGAACTATTTAAGTTCTATCTTATATATCTAATAAATACTATTTAGTGCTCTACTAAATTTATTCACATATACTTTATTCTCTTTAAAGTAGGTAAGGATAAAGTCGTTAATATATACTAATAAGATAAGCTTATTATTTATAAAGAGGCAGGGGTCTTTAGATGGCTTTAGTCCTAATACTTTAAGAGTTATAGCTAGATCCTTTTGCTATAACTTTAGTAATCTTTATAGTCTATATAAGGCTTATATTAATAAGAGGGCTTTATCATCCTGTGCGAATCTAGAAGGCATATCCATATAAATCACCTTATCTAATAGGCTATTAATAAATATATTAACCATATCATATTGGCGTGTCTTTAGGTTAAATATAGTAACTAATAATATTAACATCTAAAATATTTGCGCTGCAAGCGTTGTAGCTCACATTTCCTATACTAAGAAGGGCTATAAATCTCCCTATATATATAATTATACTTTAAACTTCATCAAGTAACCGTCTAAATTAAATTTATAGGTAAACACCTATTAAAGTGAGATGATCACAGCATCATTTGGTTATTTAATAGTTTAAAATATTTTATATTTAGATAGACTATTATATTTAGCCGTTATAGCCTTAATAAACTAGTCCTTATATTAATACTTAAGCATCTTCTTCTAATTATCTAGGGGTGGCGGCATCTAGCTTTAATATGGCCGTTTATTTGCGCTTAAAGCCTTTAGGTCTTTAGGCTTTATTATAATTAATATACTAAATGCGCTGTATATACCATCTAGTCCCTATATAGTATATATATCACCATTTCTATATCACCTTAAAGCTTTGTGAGTTTATTGTCCCTAGATTATATTTTTAGCATCTAGGCTTAGTCCTATCTTATAGTGCTCTATATCATCTAGTTCTTAATCTTTATTTATGGACAAGATCCCTAATGTTCGCGTTATTATTAGAGCACCCTATAGTTACTTATTTAACTGCTCATCTAATTGTTCTGTTACTATCTATAATTATTATAATAAACTTAATATTGCCACTATTATATATATAGTCTATAATATTGGCGTCTGCTCTAGTATTATTATCTATAAGATAATTATTATTTTCTAGTGGTCTATCTACTTATTACTATAGTTCTTAAAGGGTCTATAATAGCCTTTCTTAGGGGGTTCTATATTAAGTATATCTTATTTAATTATCTATATAATAGCATCCTGCTCTTAGGTATCTAATCTCTAGTATATATCCTCATCATCAGTGCTCATAAGGTCGTCGGCTTTAATTAGCTCATTTATTAATAATATTAATAAGTCTATAGGTGGTTTAGATAATGTCATCTATAAAGTAACCTTAATAAATAGGTTATTTAGATTATACTTAATTATCTTATTAACCATAAAGTCGCGGTATCTAAATATGGTCTGTTTCCTTAGGTTCTATATATAAATAATATTTAATACTAATTATCTGACGAAGTATCTAACCAGTGCTTATAATTTTATCTTTTCTTTTTATAGTATGCCTTATTATTATACATATATATGAGAGCTATATAGGTATATATTAGCTATATTTCTTTTGACTATAATGATCATGCCGCTAATAAGCTTATCTAACTATTATCTTAGGGTTTTCTACCCCTAATCCTATATAGGCATGTCATTGAGCATTTACACCCTATAATTAATTATTTCTAGCCATAAATCTTATAGTATATTATCTTTAATATATAGGCTTCTTAACATCTTTAATATTACCCCTCTAGCACATTCAGCACAGCTATTCTGTTCTGCTATTCCTAAAACTATCTATTCTAATATCGCGCCAGTAATAAGGCGATTAATATCTTTAATTAAGGCCTTTTTATTATCTATATAATATGCCTTTACCTTAATATTAAACTAATATTTAACTTAATCTTTAAGGTCTATTATCATTCTGCAAATATTACTCTTATGTTTAATATACTTAATCTAATAGAATCCTATTATATCATTAATAAAGTGCGTGACCTAATTTAGGTTATTATAGCTTATAATTATCTAAATAAGATTAAAGTATATATACTTAAATAGTCTATTTATATATATTATTTATTATCTTAATATTTTCTGTGGAGTAGAGGTAAGTCTATAAACATGATATTCACCCTCTAGCTTCTTAATGTCATCTATAATCTCAATGCCATTAACAGCGCCTATGAGGTGCTTTAGGGTATTATATTTAATATAGCTATATTATCTATGCCATCTCTCTGTAGTTCCCTTTATTATTAGGGGTTTTTATAATCTCTATAAATCTTTGCTTATAATCTTCTAGTTATTAGTTATAGCTATTATTATAGCTTAGGGCATTATATCTGCCATAAATGCAGTTTATAGTTTATTATATTTAAGTATAAATTAATTATGCCTATCCTAAATAATATAAATACTAATTAGTCTATTTATAAGTTGTGTGTTTAGGTCATCCTAATATAATCCTTTCTCTTTTAATCACTTATATGACATGAGATTTATATAGAATCCTAGGGCATAGGTCACATCTTTAAGATCTAGGGAGGTCTAATATCTATTGGCTATCTTAGGATATATTATAATTATGCCCACTCCCTTATATAGGCTATACTTTATACTGGTGTGATATCGCGAGCGAGCGATATTGCGAACTCCTGCGCAGCCATGAGCGGGATCACCTTGGCAGAACGCCAAGGTGCCTGCTCACCAACAATATAAGATCTCCTAACCCTAATGGAGTAGTTATATAAAGTTTTCACTCTATATTAGGGATTAATTAATTCTATAGAGTTCTATTGTCACCGGGTTGCTTAGCTTTTAATAAGTTAAGGGGAGGTATATAGATACCTTCCCTCTAACCTATAGTAGCAATAGAACAGAGATTTTCTAGAGACTATTAACTTTTAAATATTATATCTAGTAGTATATTATATTAGGGATTAGCCTCTATGCTGACCTTAATGGACTGCCGCTCCATAGATAATATCTAAGGATTAATAGGATTTAAAAGTAGGATAAAAGGGATGAAAGACCCCTTAAGTAAAGAAAGAAGAATTATTAAGTATCTTTACTAAAGAAACTAAGTAAATAAAAGACTTAATCTTTTATTATAAGTTAATAATAAACCCTATTAGTAATATATAGAACTACCTATCACCTAAGGCATTTAAAATCCTCTTAATAATTATAACTATTAGGATAGATAAGATAGATA